TATAATTTCACTGTTTTGTGCAACATCAAAATATTTTAAATTATTCGAAATACACACACATATGTGTTTTGATTTCCTAATTATAACATTGATCTAACCAGGCCTCATCTGCCCTTGCTGATACTTAGATGATGCAAGTTTGGGCTGATGATTTATTAATTAGTTGTGAATCATTTGCAGTACATAAATAATCAAAGTATATTTTTTATCAGTCCCCAATTTTATGACTTAGTTGTCAAAATATATAATCAACTATAAAATATGAATAATTAACTTTATTGAAAGGGACTCAAGTCAAAAGTACTTTGGTTTTATAATTGACATGGAAAATTTTGCAACCCTTTACAAACCTATAGGTAAATATACAATGGATTTTATTTTTGAATCCCACAGGAACGTACAGCTTCTACCAATTTTTGCCTCATATAAATAGTAAGTCCGAGATGATAGAAAATAGCTCAGGAAGTAAGTTTCAGAGAGTTACCTCCTCTTTGATAGAACCTAATTTCTGTTCTTCTGAAGGATATTGCTTGTGATGTTCGAATTTTTAAAAAATGTATATGGATTTTTAGCTTTTAGCATTCAAAGCTAGTTACTCACTTAACCGAATTAAAATCCTTATCTAAAAAAAGAAAAAAAAAATTAGATACCAACTGAAAATAATTTAGACATCAGTTTTCCTGTTATTTTCAATACAGTCATATCCACGAAATGAAAATGAATATTTGATTAGTTCTGTGTAATATGTTACATATTAAGCACACCAAACAGGCATTGGTACATCATAATGCTTTTTTTATTATTTATTTACTCTTTTTATTGCATTATGGTGAACTTGCTAATCACAAGAACAAAAGTTATGTTCTATTAAGCTGGGGACACTTTTCTGAGTGCTACAATTTGTGTGACTTGATGCTGAATATTTTCATTAAATATTTATGAATTTCAATGCACACAAAGTCCCATTAATGGGTTGCATGTCTGTGTCATAGATATAGATGTTATATTACACAGCCTTATAAAGACAGAAGCAAGCATTTCAAAACCCAAAATATCTCTTCTTGGTTCATAAGTAATATTGGCTGGTTTATACTATAAGAGCAAAAATATTCGTTGGGGATTAAATTTCGTTTATTTCATTGTTAACAATTATCAACGAAACTAGAATTTTTATATATTACAATTTATTAAAGAGGGTTACCTTGTAACAATGAAATTTAATGCGCACAGAAACTTCTTAGGTGACTAATCAACAGAATTTTATCCCCCAGGAAAATTTGTGCTTCTACAGTATTACATGTGATATTAAATGAGGAGAAATCAAAACACATACAATTTTAAAAACACACAGTGATATATTGTAATGAAGAATCAAGAATCTGAAAATGACTTGCTTAGGAGTTTGTCTTTCTCTTAGACGTAGCTTTTTATTAAATTAAAGAGCTTATAAAATATGGAAATTTAACAGAGCTTCAAACTTGTGCTTTATGACTTCTTAAGTACCTTGGAATTAATAAAAAATTAATGAAACAATAGGCAAGTTCAAACTATTGAACCAATAATCTTTCCTTGAATCACTCATACATATGCAATCTGTTAAATACACAATGCAAATGAGCACCATCACAGAAAAAGTGAAGTATAATCCCAAAGGCTAGTTAAACTGGGACCTCACCCTAATTTGTCCCTTCATTTAAAATGAAATGAATTCACCTGAAACAGAACTATATATACTTGGGATGTCAACGAATAGTCGACTATTCGACCATCAGTCGAACGGACCGACGATCGAATAACGAAACGACATTCGAATATTATTATAATTAAACAAGCTTATCTTTTAAAAAGATTGGTGAGCTAGCGCTGTAGCATAATAAAATACAGAAGAAGATATCCCAACCATTTGTTAAATTTGCTGAATTGATTAATTATTAATAGGAAGGCAGATTGGTGGTTGAGTTTGGGGGGGGGGGGGGGTCACAATTCAGAATGGTGGATCTAAGAGTGTGCTTCACGTCGGCAATGGCACAACTCCTAACTGTGCTTTAAGCATTCTGTATTTTACTGCAATTTCAATTTCGAGGTGAAAAATAAAAGGTCAGTAGAACCAATGAGCACCTTCTGGCCTTTCCGGCAAGCTCGGAAAACATATCCGAGGTTGCCGCGGTTTTTCGAGCTTGTCGGAAAGATCTATGAAGGTAGATTAAAAAAGCTATGTATTCATTACAACTTAAGAAATAACAGTCTTGGTTGTATAAGACCCGAGTTACTGTTACTTTTGTTCATTTACGTGCAGGTTAGACAACAGAACACGAAACTTCAGATCATATGTATTTTCAGATGATAAACACTAAATTGCCATGTCTTTCCGACATACTCTGAAAAAGATTTTTGTTTTTGTTGTTGTTTTTTCCGAGCTTGCCGGAATTATCCACTAAGATGGTAAAACTGTAAGGAAAGCTAGATGTCTAGAATCTTGGCATTATATGGCCAAATTTTTTCTTGTACTTTTATGTGTAGGTTAGACAATAAATTTAAAAAAAAATTGAGAATCCGGATCTAGACTGGTATTGACTGTCTCTAACCTACGAAATGTATATCGCGCATATCAGACAGGAAAGGCCAGTGTAAATTCGGATCATTTCTATTTTTGTATGACAAAACGAAATTGTTATCGTACAGTCTATCTACAGTAGTTTTCCCAGAATGCCCGTGAAGTCGAGCATGCGTATTTCAGAAATATAGACTAACGTAGTTGCTAGCGCTCTCGAGCGCTAGCAATAAATGAGTAATAACAGGATGGAATTCTCATCACAAAACTGAGAAAATGTCTTTCCTCAGAGACAGGCGATAAGATAATTTTTCTAAACAAAAAAGCGGTTGATTTTCCCTTTACGTATAGAAATACTGTTATGTACTTATAAGTGCTTCACTAATGCGAGAAGTATTTGCCAGTAACGGCCTGTGTTGTTTTGTAATAAGTTACTAATATGCTGGGCTTTGTTTGTAAGAATATTAAATGGACGTATACCATGTACCAATTATCTTTTGTTATCTTAAGATTGCTCAAATGCAAGGAACAAACTATAGCTGTGACATGTTTTGACACTTCGATAATTATTACAATTATTATTAAAACAATTCGCTTACATTTTAAACTGTTTAAGGACATTTTGATAACCAGAGCGATGAATAATTGAATAAGCAGTATCTAACTGTTTAACAATTTCATAGGCACCTGACGTGTAAAAAGTGTGAGGTTAAACCCCCCCCCCCCCATTTATTTCAAAATAAGCTTTAAAAAATATCGGCTGTCAATTTTTTAATGCTTACTAAAATAAAAACTGACTGCATGACTGTACAGACCGATTACTGATTTCTGCTGAAATCATACATTTTGGAGAATTAGATTTCTAAATTTATTTCATATAATCATGCTATCCACGCGTTACGTTGTATTACTTTTGATGGTACTTTTTAAATATATTTAAGTAAAAGGGTTTTTGAGTTATAAATACGTCATGTAGCAGTGAAGTTTGAAAATATTTTTTTTTTTCAGAAAATGTTCCGAATATTCGACTATCGTTCAAATAATGCAATCGAATAATCGACTAAGGAAAATAATTTGACATCCCTAATATATACCCATCTCTTGTACTTTTTAGTGCATGACATGTTGATCTGAACTTGCCAATAGTTGCCTTTGGGAAGAGTGTCAGGGAGTGGGTATCAAACCTTTTTTTCTATCATGACCTACATCATCCTAACAAGAGATGAAAGTGATTTACCCAGTGTATCAAATAGATTAGAAATAAAAGAACCAAGCAGAAGAAGACTAGGGTTAGAATTGAATTGATTTGTTTCCCTCTGTCTGCCTGTCAGGTTTTGTAGTGTAACATTTATGTGTGTGACATTGATGTGGCAGCTTGATTTCCTACAACTTTAAATGGATAGAAAAAAAAAAAACTGAGCAAGCCTGGTTCTTGATTAATGACTTTATTTAATTGAATAGAAGAAACCTATTTTCCCCTCCTGAATAGAGCTACTTGTTTTCTGTCTATTTACATGACATTGAAATCTATTGATTAATAGATTTGCTCTTAAAAGGATGATTTTAGGCTACATATTGTTGGTGTTGTATTAAAAAGTCAACATTATCTGAATATATTGAAATTTTAAAATTCCTCTTTTTCCTCATTGTAAAGAGTGTAATTGCAATTTTTTTGTATTGCATATACTTTTACGTAGTAAAAAGAATGTAATATATGGATTTTGCATCCTGCAAACCAGCTTTCTTTCATAACTACATGCAATTCCTTGTGCAATTTTGTCATTTGTTACTTGTTAAAATGCTGCAATTGTTCCTTCCATTCTTTCCTCATTAAATTATGTCCTATGCAAAGAAAGTTAGATTATGATTTTGTATTATGTAATGAGATAATGAATATGTAAATGTAGTGAAAGGCATCATGAATATGAATGTTAACAAAGAGAATGAGTGTAGCCTGCTGCATATTAATGAATAATATTAAAGTAAGATAATTTATAAGGAACAATTTATTTGTTGGCAGTTAAAGGCATTTTCATACACTAAATATATTTGTAAAATAGGAAAAAAATGTAATATCTATAACACATGAAAAGGAGGGGGGGGGGGGGCGTTAATGTATAGCAAAGACAGAATTTTCAGAATGTAACAAATTATATCGGGTACTCATAAATGTCACTGATGGACTCCTGTAAATAGATATAAGGTATCTCAACTTCATCATCATTTGTAATTCAGAGACAGCTTATGACTACTTGAAATTCATACATATAGCATCCATTTTTTTTCCAAAACTCTGGAAGGTGTATGCAGATGCCTTGAGAGTTATTTGATGTCTCCGTATTCTTTACATGAATGTATGTCTTAGCATGCCTGTATGTAGTGTCTCCACAAAGGTAAGGCCTATCAAGAGAATTGTAACTTATCTATGCTTTCCCATTGTATTTTGTAGTTGCACCACAAATTACCCAGGAAGTTCGGAACCTGACTGTGGCTGAGGAACTTGTGGTCACTTTTGTCTGTAAAGCATCTGGAAATCCACAGCCTACATTTCATTGGGAAAAAGATGGGAAAAAATTGAATATAAGGAGGAACAGATTCAAAAAATTAGACATGCCGTATGGTAGTATTTTGAGAATTGAGACCGTGCGTAACAAGGACAGTGGTAGTACCTTTACCTGTGTGGCTGAGAATGGTGTGGGGGATCCAGCCAGAAGTACTGGGCATCTGAAGGTCTACCGCATTGACAGGGAAGGAAACGGTAAGAAGACATTAAATTTGTTCAAATGACTGTGTGGTTTGAAAGTTGTGATGTTGCTTGGTCACTATACTCTACATCTCATACCAACTAGACTTTGTATAAGAATTTTATTTTGAGAAAGATGGGGATTTTGGAGAGAAAATTGTTGCAAATTTCAGCATTACTGCTCAATATTGCATCTGGAATGTTTGAAGTTCATGGTTGAACATTTATGAAAAAATGACATTGGTTTATCCCCCCCCCCCCCTTTCCATGCATCTGTATAAACTTGGCTTCATCATGCCATAATTGGCAGAGATAAATTTGCCTTGATCTGAGCTGATTTTTTGATGCTGTGTTTAGCCTCCTTTCAAGTTTTAATACCCATTATAGAATTGGAAAACACATTAGAAATGCAATGTCTGTGAAGTATTTGCCTGAAGAAAGAGTGATAAACTGTCTTGCAATACACATTGTCTTTTGAAGATTTTCAAAAAAATATATCTTTCATGATAAGTATGTAATATTCATAAAAAAGAAGCATTTACAATTGCTAGAATTTTAAGAAGTTCAGAGAAATATGGATGACAGGGTAAAAATTATTGATATCTTTCATTATGTTTCATGTTTTGTCAGATGGATTGATTTCCACTGAAGCACACAACACTAAGAACTGATCTTTTTATATCTCAAGAGAGAAGCTTTGTTCCTGGATGATCAGGGCAATGCAGGGATTATTATTTTTCTTTTATCAACTTTTAACCCTGCTGAAGCTTGTGTCTTGTCAAAGATCTTCACATAGCAGAACAGCATTGCTCAATATTTAATGACAAGAATATTGAAAATTGACTTGATAATTACTTATTCTTTCCCCATAAGAATAAATTGCTATGATTTTATGTTAAAATAATGTCCAATATCAATTTTTCTTGACAAGTTCTCATTCTAGTATTTTTTTTGATGAAGATTAGGAATTATCTCCCTTTGGGATGTCTTTCTTGTTGTTCATTTTGTGCATTAAATTGATTTAATCAAACAACAACAGAAATAATACACTTGCAAAAAATCATCAGCTGTTTATTAAGTAATCATGTATTGCAACAGCTGCAGAACTGTAGCATTATGGTTTTATATATTAGTCTTTGACCATAACGTTAAGGTCAAAGACTAATATATAAAACCATAACGCTACAGTTCTGCAGCTAGTATTGCAACTGATCCAGAATGGGATGTCTCATCTTTAATTTTGATCAAGTTCCATCTTGATTTTGTAAAAAGGAACTCAAAAAAAATTTGCATCTGCATCTGAAACAAATGAAACTCAAAATTTGTCATCTTCATTCTTTAAAGGAACTCAGACTTCATCATTGTACAAAGAAACTTAAGAAGATTTTGCATCATCTTTGTACAATGGAAAGCCATGTTTTTCATTAACATCCTTACACAAATGAACTCAAAATTTGCATCTTCATCATTGTTCAATGAAACTTAAAATTTTTGCATCTCCATAAAAAGGAACCATAATTTGCACCACCATCATTGTACAAAGAAACTCAGATCTCTGCATTTTCATCCTTGAAAAAAGCAACTCAAAATTTTTCATTTCATCCTTGTACAAATGAACTCAATACATTTCATCTTCATCCCTATGCAAAGGAACTCAAAATTCTGCATTTTCATCCCGGAACAAAGGAGCTCAAATCTTTATTTAAAGGAACTCATAATTTGCATCTTCATCATTGTATAAAGGAACTCAATTTTTTTTCAGCTTCATCCTTGTGCAAAGGAACTCAAAATTTCACATGTACAAAGTAAAATTCATCTCATTTTCATCCTTGTATGAAGTAACACAAATATGTATAACTATGTATAACTATGTAAAGAGGTGCCATATATCTTACACTCTCTATGTTAACCTGTGATTGGAAGTCGTGAGGGACAAAGGGACAGATTTCATTCATAGGAATCACAAACGGAACTATAGGAGATTATCTCCGATGATGTTTTTGACACATGAATGATTCTTAATTAAAATGATTTTTTTTCCAGCAACAATAATATATGCAGTTCACTAACTCAGAAATTTTTGCTTCCGTTAACGGAGCAATTAGTCAATCAATATGTTTTCCCTCTGCATATATATATGTTCAGTTTCTGCAGCATACACATTAGTCATGAAGCTGAGCTTTTTAAATATGCATTGGAACTGTTATGACAATTAAAAGGCTATCAAGTGACAGAATTTGTTGACAAGGGGAGTGCCAATGTACTTGGTTCACCTGTTCCAGAATTGGCAAAATAAAATAGAAGTATATACGCACTTTAATATGTTCAATATAGCGATAAAGCAGTAACTTTCTATGACATGTACTCTTAGATATTATTGGCTAGTGTTAAAGGTCCAGAATAAAATGTATCAAAGTGACGCCCTCACTGTCACTGTAGGGAAGACAGATTTCTGTATGTCACTGGGCGGACAAAGAAAATGGTCATTAGAATTATTCTCTGCCTTGTCAAACTAGCCTATGCTGCACTATACACCAAGTATTGATTTTGTCTCAGTTACCATGGAAATCAAAGCTCTAGTCATGACTTCTTTAGAGGAAGAATAGAACAACAAAATGTTATGAGAGGAGTTAGTCATCAGCTCTAATCTAAGTTTAATTGTCTAATTGCCATAAAAATGCAGCTACTTTGTTCTGTGATAAAGTAAAAAAGACCTTATAGCTTTTTCACAAAAGAAGCATATTTTGTGAAATATTTTATTTTTTATTCCAAATCTTGAACTTTTGGGCTAATGCAAATTATGCTTTAAAGTGTCTTTCTGATAAAATTTATATATCATGTTCTATTTTTATCACAGATTATGATAAGCTGCCTTGGAGACAAATGTCATGTGATTTATTTTTTGAAAATCATTTAGAGGATATGGATAAAATATGTGGGTTTTTTAAAAATTATTATTTCATTTAAGTAAATTTATAATGCTTTTGAATCTAATGTGTTATCATCCTTAGAAAATAGATTGCTATAAATTTCAGGTGAATATCTTAAATGGAAAAAAACTTATAAAGGTAGCTATTGATGTCTTTTTGCTTTTTATTCTAATGGATCCAAATTTCTCAACCCCAAGATGGAGAAAAACAACAATTTTCTTTATCTGTTTTTCATTTGCATCTTGAATAAGTGTTGTAACGTAAAAGTTGGTTCACAACTGTCGTGAACCAAGAGAGATAACTCAGATTCAACACAAGAACTTTATTTAAGGTACTGTAGATTATTTTGCTCACCTGAGAATATAGGGTGTATATGAGCTACAAAAAGATAAAACATGCCTGCTAAACAAGAAAGCTAAGGCATTATAGAAATAAAATTCTATTAACATTATAATTAATAAGTTAAAAATTTTGTTGTTGAGTTTTAAATAGCTGAGTCATTAAATAGCACAAGTAATATTTTCCTAGATAAAATTTGTTACAACAGGCTGATGCATTGGTTGGTTTATATTTCAGCATTTTCATAAATTAGAAAATCTCAGGTGAGCAAGGCAGCTCTTTCAGCTTTTTTCAAATTTTGAATAGATGTGGTCTATTGTATAATTGCACAATACAAAGCAAACTTTGTATACTTTCTGCAGTTTTCCACTGTTGTTTGACAAGTAGAGATGCCTATATTTTCCTTCCCATAATCCTCCCATTTACCCAGTCTACCCATAATTCCTGCTCTCTGTCTCTCTTCTGGACCATCCCTATCAAAAAACTTTACTTCAGTGTATATTTTTTCCTACAATTTGGCATTTTGTTATCATGTTAAAACATTTTCCAGAAAGATTTTTAAACTGTCATGAGTTTTATCATTGAAGAGTGCAAAACTGTTCATCAAAGTTTTACTAAAAATGTATTTACTGGTATATATAGACCACAATGTATAGATTTCTATTCACTAATGATTTTTTTTAGTGATACTGAACAATCAGTTGTCAAACAAATGTCATAGATTGAGGGGATACAGGTACTTTTTCAGTTGAATGTGGAATTTCACACGTACTGAAATGTTAACAACAGAAATGGATCAGCTTATTTAGTGAAGGAGATATTGCACTATTTATCAAGAAATAAGAAAGTCAAAGATTACTCATCTTCGTTATTTTTTTTTTTTTTTTTTACAGAATTTCCAGTAGGATATCCCAAAATTATTGTTAATCCAGAGCTAAAATCTGTTGAGAAAGAGAAACCTGCCATCATGCAGTGTCAAGCTGATGCTAATGGACACAAGTTTGACATCGAGTGGTTCAAAAATGGCATCCCTGTAGATCTGGGTGACAACAAACGGCTCACAATCACAGAAACAGGTTAAATGATACAGCCAAATATTTTAAGCAAGAATAGTTATTTTGCAACATAGCCACCTTTTAAAACTTAATGGTGTTACATGTACTTTGTAGAATATAGATTACAAGAAAGAATAAAAACTAAAGCACAAATGAATCATTGACATATTTATGTAAATGAGTCAAATAACTTGTTGATGAGGTCACATATTGCAATTCTTGCACCCTATAGGTGCCCCTTGTATTTTCAATCTGAAAGAAATTAACCCCCCACCCCACCCCACCCACACACACACACACACACACTTTATTTTTAGGGCACACATTTAACAAATTCTGTACATCTTTTTTTTTTTTTAATAATAAAAAAAAGAATGCATCTTTCCCCCCAACAGATAATTTTTTTAAATATCAAAGCATTTGTACAGATAGTCTACCTGCTGGATAATGTCTGTCTTGAGGGGGATTGACTCATTGTGATTCTGTGGGTTGTTAACTTCAGGAGAATCAAACTGAGTCAGTAACCTTAAAGGATAGGCACCAGTTGTGATATCTATATTGTTTTTCATAGTTAAAAGATGTCAACTTATTTTTGGATGCAGGCAAGGTGAAACCTTTGAAACTTTTAGAGATCAGAAAAATAGCTCAAGTAAAAATTGTAAAGTACAGGTAATGTTTAAATAAGGGAAAACTGAAAGCATTCACATTAAAAATATTGTAAAATTTACATGTTGAAGAAGACCTTGTAAAAAATATCTTTGATACTGACCTCTTGAAGAAATAGCACTATAAACCACCCACCCACCCACCCCTTCTGTTTTTACAGAAAATTTTCATTCCACAGGGAATTCAAGTATTTATGTATCAGTTGAAAATTGTATTTCATAGCTTGATTGAAATATTAACATTTTGGAATGTGTTTCCTCTTTATCAATGGAACAATCATTTTCTTTTCAGGCTCTTTACGGATAGCCAAGGCTTTAGAGTCGGATTATGGAAAGTATGAATGTGTAGCTACCAATGAATATGGAGTGGCATACTCTTATGCTGCTATGTTATACATCAGAGGTGTGTATCTTCATAAGTGGCTGCTGAGGAAAAAAAGAGAGAGAAAAAAACATGCCAATTTATAAATCAAATTTTACAACTACACAAGAGTCAGCTCTTGAAATCATAAATTCTGAATAGCATAACAAATGATTATTTCTTTGAGGGGAGAAAAAAATCTGAATGAATAACATGATCCCATCAATTAGGCTGAACTGCTGAACAAAGAATAATGTTTAGCCTAATAGTTGAATAAGATTCAGATGGCAATGGACCAATACATTGCTGCAGTGATAGATTATGGCGTTTCCTCCCTTAGATCTGGTAGAGCTTCCTATATGTACAACCAATTCAAATTATTTCTGTTGACTGGCATGACACTGAATGAAGGATGACTAGAATACTCTTAAGAAACATCTGTCTACTATCACAAACAGAGACTTTTCATATTTTTTTTTCTTATGTACTACAAGGTTGTTAAACCTAGGGGTTAGATACCATCAGGCTTTATCAGATAAAAGGTAGACAACAATGTTTCATGATCATACCATCATGTCAGTTTTGACATAAGTAGTTCTGCAGAACTCTTCGTCTTGCATACAAAAAGAATGAAAGATAAGAACTCTGTTAAAGAAAAAAATTATAAATCATGTAAATAAAACTAAAGTTTTGTATCGTGAATATTGTTACCCATTTAACAATTTTATTCCTTACTCAAAATTTTTCAAATTTTTTCTCTTATTATGAACTCTAATTTTTTCTCCTCTTGTATTTACTGTGATTAATCAATATGATCTTGTGTCCACTTCCCTATACTTTACAAGTATAAGTGGGTTAACACTTAACATGCTACCATATCTAAAGATGGAACAGCATCCTATAGACGGTGTGCTAGATATGGGGGTTATTTGTGATGTAACATATGCTAGGTTAATCAAAGATACTGCTAATATCAGGTAATCTTAGAACACACCCCTGTCTTATTCCTGCATATCACCAGCCCTACTTAAACATGGTAATAGATCATGCTGATTTGAATTTAATATATTTTTCGTTGAATCTACCATCATCAAATTATGATATCTTTTTTGGATTTCGGTTTAAAAAACACACTCCCATATATTATTTGATGCCAACTAGTCTTATCTGAAAACTTAACTTACATTTATCTCAGAATTTTTAGAAGACTGCTGTTGTAGATTGATTCAGGTGCAATTACTGAATGTTCATTAAGTTTTGCTCTTGAAGTATTTTAAGTTTATGAAGCCAATACATTTTAATGGCAGCATCTTTACTCTGCTGTTTTTCATCAATGTATGCAAGAATTCATGACAAGAAAGCTACAAAAAAGCCCACCTGTAAATAATATGTTTACATGACATATAGCAAAGCTATAATGAATTATGACTCTTTTTTTCCAGTACGTAGAGTTCCCCCTCATTTTACCCTCCCTCCAAAGAGAGTGGAGGTGGACCCCAACGGCAGTGTCAATCTGACCTGTGTGGCTGTCGGATCCCCTATGCCACATGTCATGTGGCGAGATGGTGCCACAGAACTTGGAAAACCTGTCATAGGAAAAAATGTCCTTCAACTTAAAAATGTCACAGAAAGCAAGAACTACACTTGCGTGGCGTCCTCTGACTTAGGGAACATCGAACATGTTGGGGAGGTCATAGTTAAAGGTAAAATATCTATACAGCAACATGTGGTCTAATTCATTAGAAATTATACACAAAATACTAACAAAACTTTACTAACTTGTACTGTACCTGAGTAATGTCCTGATGGGAATGTATTTCATTATAATTAAGAATTCAGTTCTTATCACCTTAAATTTTAGTGCCAGTCATTTAAGAAAATGATTAACTGAATGTTTACACTCACAATCAATTTTTAGAATTTATTTTGATGCATAACGTGCATGTAATAAGTATTGTAATAAAGATTCAACAAATATTCCTGAATGTATTCAATTTTTAAAAAAAAAAAAAAAAAAAAAAAAAAAAAAAAATTTAAAGTAAGCAGTAGTCAAAAGAATGCAGTTTATGTCAAAAATACCAAATACATCAAATAGAATGACAATTTTCAGATATTTTTTTCTTTTAAGAAAAAAAATGTTACGTTCCAATAAGTATTCACTTTATGGTATGATTGTATAAGCCAAATTCACTTGATTTTTTTTTTTCATTTTGCCATCTCCTTTTTATGCAGCCAAGAGTAGTGGTATGCTATTTCACATAGTTTCCTTACAAAAACAGCATGGATCTGATGTTTATCATAATTATATATATAAAAATGATTAAAATCATCTTTAAGTGTATAATATAATCTGTATCAGTTTCTTCTTATACATAATCAATTCTTTCATGACATTTCTTTGCATCATATTCAGCTGTTGATATAGGGTTATTGTGACTTTGGGTAAAAAATTTGAAATTCTGTATATCTAATATAACTTGATTTACACTAGACTGATAAAAGGAAAAATATATTGTATGCTCTTTGGCACTGTCTTATCATTACCAAGATAATTGGAAATTTTAATGAATTGAGGATCTACTTTTATTTTAGTGAACACAATTGCCCTCCAAAACTCAACTTCTTAATAACATCTCTTAGAAAATGCTCATTATGTGTATTTGTTCGCATGGGATTAGGTCTGATACTTATTATCAAATTTCTTGAAGCATGTTTGCATTTCATTTTACACTGCAGTGCTACAGAGTAGATATGAATCGCAGCTAAATTAGCATTCAACATCTGCCTCAAGATTATCGCATTAATTTGGATTTCCTGTTAAAAAGTGGTTAATAAGAATCGGCTAATACTCAAAGATTTTGCGGTATTTTCATTGAGAACATGCAACATGCATAAGATTGCAGAACTGCCTTCTAACATGCTGTTAAGTTGTAAGGGAGTTATTATATCATGTTTTTTCTACCCTTACACATATTTACACTATACACACTATTTTTTTTTCCTCGTCTGTGTATTTTATGTGATGTCTTATCTTTGTCCAATTTTCACTGGTTAATTAAACAGCTGTAGAGCCATGGGGAGGTAATGAGATTTACATGTGCTTTTTGTTGATACTTTTCTCGGGAGGTGGTATTGAAAGTCATTAAAAAATTGATCAGGCTATGCTGATGATCATCTTGGGGCCCCTCCAGCCTTTGATCATTATCTCGGGACCTCTGAATCAACTTAGACTTCTTTGGTAGATTGTTGTTTGATTAGATTGAATGGACCATAGTCTAATGTAGTTTATATGAAATACACATTGTAATTACCATAGAAACTTATTAATTTCTTAAGGTAACTTTTTTATTCACTCCTAACTTAGTATAAGTAGACACTAGAGCACAGAATATTATGTAGATATGTTGATGAAGATTGTAAAAAAAAATTCTTTTGCCCACTAAAATGTTTAGTTTATTTAATCAATTGTTAATGTATGAGTGCTTTTTTCTTCCTTTCACAAATTTTGAATTTCAAAACCAGAAATTTAAGAGCACTAGCTTCTTAGAAAAACATTTGATAAGTATGAAGGCAGTGTTAAGATTCCTATCAGATTCCTGGTGGAACTAGCTTTGAAAAACAGTTGATGGAGAGCACCAAATTTTATTCGCTTCATATTTTCTCTAATCTTTGTCTTATCACATAGATGTATGTTATTGAATGCTTTTTTTATCCTCTATCTGTCAGATAATTCTGATAAAAAGCCATTTTCAAGTTTAGCACATATCAAAAGATGTTGGACTACATTCAATGCACTGTATTTCTTAACTGACACACCATGACATAGAGTGTTACATGGTGAGTTGCTATGACAACCAGATTACCAGGATGATGAGAAGTTCCCCCCTTTTTCCACACAGATAATGATTAACCAATCAAGTGAGTGAAGAGAGTCACATGACCTCTCAGTAGTGATGAGCCTGAAGTTCCCTGTGTTGCAAGTGATGAAGTCAAAATGAAAGCAAAACAATACAAAGGATTGTTTTTTCTGTGACATGCAATTTAATTAGAACGGGCAATCAAGGATAAGTTTCATCAATAATTCTGTTAACAGCTTTAGTGTCAGGGAATTAATTTACCCTATTGCAGCAACATAATGTGATGATCACTCTCTTGTTCTAAGAGAGATTGGGATTTTTTGAAACCTGATGAAAACTTGTCAAACAATATGGAACTAATTTCTAGGAGCTTTTACTACAAGGATTGTACTGCAAGATGTGTTTTTATATTGGTATTATTGAGTGGAATTACTGGTCAGAGTGTACCAGAGAAACCTACAGGATTAACTCACTGGGAAGTGACTCCCCAGTCTGTGAGGCTGACGTGGAATGCCGGGAGTAACGAAGCGGTGATCCAGTACAAACCCAAGGATGACGATAGTTTTCAGTGGATTGAAACTCGTGCTCTCAAAAAGTCGGAATTCACTGTCCGACGTCTACAGCCTTACACAGTTTACCAATTTCGTGTTGTAGGTGTAAATAATTATGGCCGTGGTCAGAGCAGTGATACAATTGAAGTTCGAACTGGAGAGCTAGGTTGGTCTCAAAATTACAAACTTCTGCAGAATATTATTATGGAAAATTGCATGATCCATTATCTTTGGCAGATGTTACAAAATCATTTTTTTCAATGATTTTGCATCATTTAAACTTTAGGATGAAGCTCTATTATTTTAACCTATGTAAGAGCTGCTGTTTTAATATTCTGTTGTCAATTATTGCTAACCAAACACTTGAAATTTGACCCAAAACAAGTATACAATTGTGAAGATAAAGTAGCCTGCAATGAACTTGGCCCAGTGCACTCTGTGTATACATGTTGTTACAGAGGTTAGAACATGGCTAGGATTGTACGAGTTAGTTATTTACCTACATGCCATAAGGTAATTAGTGTCCATCAATCTACAGATACTGATTATCACCTATCAACCCATCCTGTAGCAGAGATTGGGCAAACTGAATAGCTTATCTACTGCACGGCAGACTTAACCCCCTCCTGTGTTTATAAGAGGTTAAAACACATCTTGCCCCCTCCCCTGCTGAGAGTACAGGGTGTGAATGGACATTGCATAATCAGTCAACTATAAACACTATTTAGGGTGATAGATAACTTTCTCTAATAATTACTTGGAATTTTCCACTTGGAATCTAAAAACTGGATGATAATGCTTGATAGAAATGTGACACTTATTGACTAGCACGTTTAATTTATTAATTGATTATGTTAAATATTTTCAAGTATATGATCAAATTTCATGATATTGAAAACTTATCATATAATCTTGACATGTGCTTATAGAATGTATCAAGTTCAGTGCTGGTTAGGTAATGGTGAGTGATGCCATATTGATTAAAAATAATTAATGGCTACTTTGTTGTCTTTGACAGTGATCAAAGAAATGAAATAAAAGCCCTACACAAGCATGATGAAGCAGGAAATTAACATTTCTATCAAACATATATTTTTTTCTGAAGTTAATTGCGTATCACAGAGTAATGACTCTCACATTGATTATATCACCCAGGTACAAGCTTTAAGTGATTTCTGTAGACAGATTTTAGAATCGATAGAACAATTTGTTCTACAAGAAATGGAATTGTCAATGGTCTAAAAAATGAAGATGAAAAATCTGTTTTTTGTCTGTAAGGTTTTTGGCCTTAATGATTTATACAACGACTCCTTTGTGACTCATGTGGTACACTATAGTATCAATTATCAGGAATGCTTCTCTTTTTGTATGTGATCTTATAATTCTGATTTTAATTCTTGATTTATACTCGTCTTTAGTATTTAATTTTGATATATATAATATATATACTACACCAGTATGTACTCTACAGTCTACATACACCTGTACTAGCTTGGGTAAACTTTTATTACTTTTTAATGAGGTCCGTTTCTCTTTTCTCCAACATCTGTACTTGTCAATCTTTTTCCAATGAGGAGGATTGGTGGTAGGTTATTCTATGTAAACCCATATAACATGATTCATCATCTATGCTTCCAGCAAATCTTAGATGAAGAGGAGAAAAAAAATCTTATCTGATCACTGAGGAGTAGAATTTATCAGGCCAAATCCCCCTGTGCCTTCGTGCAGAAATGCACTGAAAATGTTTCAACATCTTGGGTAACTTTGCTATGGTATATTCTGAGAATGATCTTATCAAGCCTATGTTGTTGTACTGATGTGTTTAGAGGAAAGTTTAGAAAACAAAGTTTTACAGAAATTCACAGGGTTCTAGATACAGAATCTTCAGTTTCAAAGTTTTACAAAATTATGCTGATGAAATATTTGGCATCTCCCACTCTTTGTGTTTTACCTAACAAGATAAAAGGAAAAAAAGAAGGCCCTAGTTATCAAGCTGTTTATTATGTTTTTAAATTTAGATTAATGATAGGAAAAAATGAAATACTTTTTTCTCTTTCAAAAAAAGTTACCTTTGAGATCTTGCTGGTCTTACCCTTTAGTTTCTGTAGTACAAGTCTAAATCAGAAGGCTGGTTAAGTTCTGCTGGAGATGCATGCATCTTTTCCAAATCTTCAGTTAAAGTACAGGACCAGGAGATAAAGGACCATGGTAGTTAGGAGGTCAAGGACATCACTCACAGAGGTTGGTCACCCTATCCAGACTCACAGTGGGAGTGCCCTGAAGAAAGTCAAGGACATGTTCATCACTCAGAAAATTCAAGAATTCGGTCACCATATCCAGGCTTAAACAGTGGGAGTGCCTAGTAGCAGAAGCAGGAAGAAATTCAGACTTGACAGATGAAGAGTGCCATTCAGGAATGCACTTCATCAGTTCTTTATTATATGTCAAACCAGTGATAACACCACTCTAGCTACTTCATGGGATACCCTTAAACTTTACTTTCCTTGTTTAACAATGAGAACACAAATTTCTTGAAGGAAAAAAAAAAATTAACTGGGATCAATGTTTATGAGGATATCATAAACAACTTAAAAAGTTTAGAACAATATGAATTTAATGTAAACATTTTAAACTTGAATCAATTCATGTTCCAGACCAAAATATTTGTTCCCCAAAAGATTTCACAAGTATTAAAGATGGTTTTATCAATTGCCAAGCAGAGAGAATGTCATACATGAAAATGTGCCAACATCCAGCTGTTTGGTGCCTTGCTGTTTATAAAGTATTTTTCAACATTATGATTAAAATAGGCTTGTATATCTATTTTAGAATATTGGCAGCTTTCTGAATTATTAAATAGTCTAAAATTGAGTTAGATATCACTTCTGTAAACCTATATGAAGGCAATATTGTCATACTAGTAATTTTGCTAGTCCTGTTGTATAAATGTGGATTCCTAGAATTTTAGAGTTTAAATAATGGATCTGCATTGATTAAGGATAGTTTGATACTGCAAACTATTATACCCATGGCAAAATTATCCATGTTTAAACTTTTTATAATTGTTAAGATACAGTATTTCTGAAATGTCCAGAATCCAGATGTCCTAATTTATGGATACTAAGAAGGTACATATGGTGCTGTGATCAAGGAATTATGTCTGCAACAAATTCACTTATCATGCCCTCACTGCGATTTTCATAAGTCTGTTTTGAATTCATTAGAATTTGATACTTTATTGGCCAGCCTGTATTTATAAGCTGTGGATGAGATTTTGTTTTTTATTTTAAAAAAAAGTTATCGTGTAAGATACGCTACATCCTGTCAGTCTGAATATACTGTTTCGCCTGGGTTAGCTTGCTTCTGGCAAGACGCAGGCAGTCGGACATCATGGGGAGAGTTTGATTAGCTTTACTGGGAGTCAAATTGTGTTTAATCTTTTTACCACATCTCTTCTATACTGTACACACAGAAACTGGCCTTTGGTGAAAATATGTTCCAAGGTCACCCAGTTTCTAAAACTGTCCTTTAGTACTCAGGTAGTTGACTTAAAGCTGAAACAAAAAATATTTTAAGTCAAGTTTTTCGTCACTTTTCATTTTAATATCACTTGTGTATATTTTGAAATACTTGTATTTTCACTGATGGTTTTGCATGGTTTATCAAATTGTGTACTTCTTCTGTCCTTGGAGGCATGAACATTTCTAATTGAATATGGTCAATTAAGCTGATCTTGCTTCCAAGTATTATTTTCACTGAAGCAAAACAATTTACATTGCAAAGGCATATTTTATTGATTAATTTAATTATAAGATGCAAAGTTAGACAATTATGTTTGTCCCAGACAGAGAATGTTGGCTGAGCTTCTTAAGTGAAGTTAATTTTGTTTTATGAATCTGGATGTTTTTTTATCTTGCAGCACCTGGAACACCTCCAAGATATGTTACCGCCAAGGCTCTTAACTCCAACACAGTCAGTGTGTCATGGCTACCTCCAGAAAAACCAAACGGTGTCATACAGGTTGTTGCCGACCAAAATAAATAAATAAATAAAAAAAAGAAGAAAAATAATCTGTACCACAATTATATTCTAGTCCTTTTGGAATAATTTATAACAGTTTTCTATGCAGAAATGTTCTTAACGCTGTTCTCTTTTTCTTAGGGATACCGAGTGTTCTACACTCTGCAAGCAGATTTACCCATAATTCTGTGGAACAACAAAGAAGTCCAGTCAAACACCAATGAAACTATTATAACAGGTCTGAAGCCAAATGACACATACACAATTTGTGTCCTAGCTTACTCCAGTAAAGGGGAAGGTCCAGTGTCGCAGCTTATAACTGTCATCACCAATGAAGGAAGTAAGTTGTCATGTGACTCTGTTGTGGCTTATCCATTGGTTGATTTCTAAGTGCAGTACTTTTACAAGAAAGCACGCAATGTGTCTGTTCCATCACAGATGGAGCTGTACCAAAACAAATGCTATGGCATGTTGTTAAAAAAAATATTTCTCTGCATGGTATCAAAACACAATTACCATGGTGATGGCATGCATTTATCATGCAGTAAGTACACTGTAGAGAAGTAAAACAAATAATCAATATTTGTTAAACAAACTTATGATGTATGGGCTCTAGAGCATATGATCAAAATTTATTATTATTTCTGGAAAAAATAATCCTACAAAAGGTATGGATATCTTTGAGCAAAGCAGAAAATGTACTTTGCAACTGTTAAATATCTTGTTATGTTTACTTGCTGGTAGCCTGTACTATGACTAATTTGCATGAAGTTAGGTCTTGCAGTTATGCGAGTAAATCCCTGTAGACTGGTTCATGTGACTTAGCACTAAAACTGCATGCCGTATTGAATACCAAAATATTGCAACAGCCAGATATTAAATTTATAGAGTTTTTTCTCATCATAACGTGCCTGATCAAGGACAAGATTTGGCTATTGTGATAGAATTGGTGACGCATCCTTTTTGTGACATGCATCTGATTAACATTCTTTAGAGATTAGCTAATCAAACTGGCTTGGCATAGGTATTGACCAACATGTAGAAGCATCCTTTTCTTCTTTCCAACTTTTTTCGACTAGAAATGTTTATTTTGGCTATTAGTCTTGTCAGAAGAGATAGGAGCCTCAGATCATTTTTTTTTTTTAAATCAGTTCCGAACTTTGCAATTAATTTTGGTTGGCTGACCAGGTTATACAGAAACTGAGGTCCAAGGAAGTGAGAAAGATAATGTACCTGCTAATTCGTGTTCTTGTTCTATTTAGAAAGCAAGGTTGGGATACAATACACATTTGCACTAGATATGCTATTATGTATTAGGGTTAATTTGTGAACACAGATATGGATACTAAAAAAAGGAAAGCTAAAATGGGAAGGGGAGGGGTAAGGGGGTACCCTTGTTCTCTTATATGGTGGAACACAATGGCAGAAAATCTGTGTACCCTTCTTGTGCTCTGAAGTCGTCTAAAAAATAAATCCCGATTTTTCTAAGTTTATGCCTCCTTTGCAGAAATTCCATTAATGGTAAAACATAATGGTAATAACGGTTTTTCAAGTAAGTTGATTCAGTCAGAACACATACTTGTTATTCCTTTTTTTTCATCAGGTGGCATTTCTCTGCTGTCGTTTGACATATATAACTTTGCATGTATTGTTTATCATTTATTGTGTACTCCTGTAAAGTGTTATCACAAAAACGAAATCTGGGAAATAATTTTACATAAGAAAATGTGAAAAAAACTTTTAACTGTCCATTTTATATCTGTATTTGTTATACTTGTGATTTCTCTACTAATGACTGTGTCTGCAGTATATAATGTGCTCGCGCGGTGTTGTACAATTTGCGTATGAATATAACAGCGCACTGTATAGCTAAAGCATGTTGTAGTTGCTATCTAGTATCCATTTTTTGCTGCGCGAAAAATGTGTAGCGTCTTTTTTTTCCTTCACATTTTTTCTGTATCATTGAGTGTTTTCATGATTTTTTGAAAGAGTATAATAATTTTAATTCTTAAGGTAAATTTTATATTTTGAAAAGAAGAAAAAATAATCAAATTTTTACTATGTTATTGTAATCGTTATTTTAAGCAATATGCGCATGCATGCGATAATTGATTTATAACAAATTCTAAAGTTATGCTGTCTGCTGTAATGAATTTGATGCATAGATATTTAACAAGCGTTTATTTCTTTTCCCCGTTACTTACCGTGCAACAGGCAACTTTCAGGGTAAGCAAAGCGATCATTATTTTTCTATGTTCTAAGTTTTTTTGGTCACAGTTTACCCCCCTAACACTTTCCATACAATTGATGATCATTGCTAATGCCTATTTTGGTTTGGATTAATTTGACAGGTTATGAAATCTTAAGTTTAATGATAAAATTCCCTGTATTACAGTCATCAAATATAGACTTTTTATATCTTAATCATTAATCAGATCTAATGAAATAGGGATATAAAATGGTCTAGATATAGAAGAGCATTATGCAATGGAATCATTTGAATGTTGATTTGTGTACTTTCCGGAAGAATTGCACATTTGATATTAGGAAATGTATATTTTTTTTGTGATTAAATGCAGTATATGTTCATTTTCACTTCGTTGTTTCACTTGTACCTACATTTACCCATGTATTATCAAGCAAATATTGTGGCAATCCAGACCAAAATGTCAAAAGAATTTGTAAGGACAAGATTAATTTGAAATTTCCGTATTTTTTTCCAGGTGGCTCTCGTAAGTTTTTAAAATATTATGCATGAAAAAAAATCACCATTATTATGGATGAATGGTGTATATACTTGTATGCCTGTAGAAGTTGGAGAAAATGAGGTTTTTTATCTAGACATGGATTTAATATTTACGTAACTGTAAAAGACTATTTGTAAGAGAAATACTATCGTATGAAATGAATGCAGTGTATGACTTTCATGATCACACTTGGGAATGTAATCTGCACATTTTTCAAAATGAGTCTTACTCATTGAGTATCTGATATCGATCTTTCTAAAACCTTGAAACACTGTCATGGAGGCTCTCGCATGTTATCTATTGAATAGGACATTAATGCTTTTTTTTTGGGATTAATTCACATTGTATGTGTAGCTGAGCATTGCAAACAGCAGTAAATTTGATTCTTGCGGAAATTTTCAGATGATCAAAACATGATCCACTAATGGAAACAGTATTAGAACATATGCTAAGAGGATTTGAACACAAGATAGTGCATGGTGAATAGATCATTATTACCAGAAGTAAAGGTCAAATGAGGAGGAATGTAGCACTGTACTTGATGAAATTAATAGCATTCAATATCTGATGTTTTATTACTTTATTTTTATTTTTATGCCTAAGAACACAACTGGCATATGCTGTATTATCTGTATTTAGGATTTTTTTTCCTTACTTTAATTCACACCTTTTAAATATGCAGAAAATTATATCAACAGTCAAAATTTTGTTATCTTGAACTCAGTGGGACTAGAAAAATCTTCGTTTATCTTCTTCTGAGGATTCAAGATTATTGAGGTTGAATTACGTACAGAAAAAGGGGTTGGAACATCCATTTTATTTGAGATATCACTGTATGAGATACTTAAGGTCAACTGTATATTATATATAAATGATTGGAATGTAGTACTAGCTATAAATTTTGATTTATCTAAAGACCTTAAATCTTCATAACTGTTCGTCATGAATAGTTTTAATTCAAATAGAACAAAAGAAAAAAATAATCAACTAAACTGTGCTAAAATGAACATGCTTCATTTAATCACATACAACCAATATGTATACATTTTTTTTTATTCACAGAAATTGTGCAATTTGCTAATGGCTATTTCACCCCCACTTAATTTAGTCAATCTGCAAAATCATGACCAACTAAGTTTTCTTTTGAAAAATTATTGCTTATTAAGTTTTTTTTTCTTAACTTACTCTTGTATTCTATAATTTTCATTGAATAAGTGGTTGTGATGACATTATGACGATTGGATAAAAAAGAGTGTGTATTAGAATAGAAAGTACAATGGCTAAGAACAGGTGAAAAATAGTTATTAATAAAAATTTAGGAATAATATAGTATATTTATCATTACTAGTAGATAGAAAATTTATGCTGGATATTGCATGAACCAGTAATCAGATACATTGCACATAACAGGATTAATTTATCCGTATGCATGATTTTCTGTAATTCCTCAATATTAAGAGTCAAAAAAATCAGTCAATGAAAAAAATAGTGAGCAGACCAGAAATTTAAGATAAGAGTACCTACTGAAGTTTATATACTAGATAGCACTGCCACATAACCAAACTATAGATATAGATGGACAAACTGCTGCAATGCAACTTTCATTGGTCTGCATAGAGGCATAAAAATACAAAAAGTCAAAATGCTGCAAAGCAATTGCAAATTTGAATAGCGGTACTGTTTTCCCGAAGCTTTGCTGCAATTTGATTAGCGATGGCAATTTCTTATGCAGTTAGTGTAAAGTAATTTGTGTTTCATTTTAGGCAGAAGAAAATTTAAAATGTATGATGATTTAAGAAATAGAATAGGCACATATTTGATAGTTTTACTCTACTTTTCAGTTCCGTCACAACCCCGTAACATTTTTGCGGAAGTTACAGGACCTAACACTATAGATGTATCCTGGGACCCTCCTAGTCAGATTAGAATTGTAGTTAGCAAATACTTTGTGTACTACAACGATACATACTTAAAGCAAGAGAACAAAGCGGTAGTCCAAGGCACAGAGACCAAGTATCAACTGCAGGATTTAACCCCCGACACGGTGTATACCATAAAAGTCTCAGCCTTGTCAGTGAAAGGTGAAGGGGCCGCCACACGCATCATCCAAGCCAAGACACTCCCATTTGGTATGTCTATAAATACTCATATTCATACACAGCAGTACTGAATTTCCACATCAAATCTGTGTGCAACATCACAGAACTTGGGGTAAAAAAAAAAAAACCTTAGTGTTCAAGTTGAAAACTTTCTCTTTTTTTGTATTTATATATTGTTCACTTGTGGTATTTCCCCTAGCCACTCACTGAATGACCCAGTAGTAAATTTCTTTATATTATATTTGTGTTTATGTTGTGAACATTGTTTCTTCATCAAACTTTTAAAATTTCAATTCATGACTGTTTTAATGATTTTCTGGATAGCCCTTGAAATGCTGGGTAAGTGTATGGGGTAGTTCAGTTAGATGATTGGGTATTTGGTCATAAACAGTAGTTGGGTTTATTTTTTCGTAGATCAAGGTCATTTTTTTTCTTTAAGAAAAATTTAAGAAATGAAGTTTCCAATGTTTTTTAATTGCTGTGCAATTCATGAAAGGTCAAGGCTATTTAATGAAAATAATTTTTAAATCAACATTTTAATTCAATTCATACAGTTTTCTTCAAATGCATGCATTAATCATGGGATGGATAAATTAATTTTATTGCAAAATTCTCATTGAGACAAAAGATTTGTCCTTTATTTTGTTATCATCTTTTTTTCCCTCCAGTATCTCACTTTTTGGCTTTAAATGTGTTGACATATCATTATTTCTTTTATTTGTTTACACTATCCACATTTATTTTTATCTTAATGTTGTGAAAATTCAGTCATCAACACGTTTCCATCTTGAAGTATCCATTTTGTCATAATTTATTTGTAATTTTTAAGCGAAAAATTCCAGATAATTTTTTATTAATTTTGAAAAAGTATTTTGATTGTATTATGGGTCCATATTAGCATCCATAGATAGAATAATTTTCAAAATTTAGATTTCCTATTTCAGAATAGTTACATAGGTATTTGTACAATTTATTGCCATTCAGTTTCACACTGCTGAAAACTGAAGCTTAGAACAACTTCACATTTATCAAACAATATCCATTATGCAAATACATCTAAAGTTAAATTATTGATTGCTTCATGTAGTTTAACTGGAAAGCTTGACTCATGGCTCATATCTCAATAAATACTGATAGAGAGCATGCCTGATTTTGATGGCAATGGAAAAAATTACTTTAATAGCATACAAGCTGCATCAAATGCATAAACTTTCAATTATCACCATGCATGTCAGCATATAATGGATGCTAATAAGTGGTGCCATGATGCAAAAATAGAAAATCAGCACTGAATTCTGTATTTTATTTTATTTCATTCATTGCATGTTTTTGCATGTAAATTTATTTTCCGTTATATGTGTTATTTATTCTCATTTTCTTTTCCCCCAACCCTCACCACTTCACTATAGTGCCAAGTGCCGCCCCTCAAGCTGTTAGTGGAATGCCCTACAAAGACTCCAGGAGTATCAAAGTCACGTGGAAACCTCCCCCAAAAGATCAGCAAAATGGGGAGATAAAAGGCTATAAGATATTTTATGTGAAATATGACCCCAGTCAGACTGATCAGGATGCCACCAGCGTCTCCGTTGACGCTGAGAATCAGGAGATAGTGTTGGGCAAACTTGAGATCTTTACTGAGTATAAGATCTGGGTTCTGGCCTTCACCAGTGTAGGAGATGGTCCCAGTTCACCACCCATACGAGTGTGGACCAATGAGGATGGTAGGTATTGTCCGTGGATTTAAACAAATCATCGTCTTGCATTGACCTAGATCTTTGGATCATGGATGACTCCGTTGTTAATTTTTCCTTTTTCCTCAATGGTGTTATGTTTCATAACTGTTTGGATTTAGACAGATTGACCTCGTGTCATTTGAACTCAGAAAATCATGCAGAACATTTTAAAAAAAAAAAAGAAGAAAAAAAAAAAATTGTTGAAATGGAGTAATACATCAATTGATCTCTTAGACATACAAGAAAAAAAAGAAGAAAGTTCTGCATGATTTTAAGGCTTCATGATTGCATCAAACATCTTCATTACAGATTTTTTGTGTTAGTGTCATGAGAACCAATTCTGCACAGACATGTGACTAAAGGCATTATTTGATACTGAAAATATAATCTTAAAGTGGGTTATGTCAAACCTAAAGTCACATCTCTGAAGGGAATGTCACACATTTTCACATCGTTGCTTTTATTGTTTTGTCATTGCACATTTATCATTAGGTTTTCATTATTTGGAAAGAGTGTGGCATTGCTTAAAGTGGTTTTGGAACTGTAGGGTCAGAAAATTGCTTTAGTTTGATCAAATTTATTGAAAACTACATTGGAATTTTTAATTATCATTCCAGCCATTTATTTTCTCATTCCTTTCATCCTTATCACCATTTTCATCATCATTCAATCGTTTTCAAGAACAAAGACTAATAGAAACATGGATATTTGTAGTTGTCAAACACAGGAAAATGTGTTGTAAAAATGCGTTTATCTGAACTTAAAAACAGTTAAAGTATTTACAGCAAAATTATGCAATATGTTTATTTCACCATAGGATGTAGAAAAACCTGTTCTTTGTTGGTTTACAATCATGAATAGGTGTATAAAGACAGCAGGGTAACATATGGCTTAACTTGTCTTTGTACATTATCCTGGAGATTGACAGTGGGGGGAATTCCCTCAGAAGTTATACACATTGTACTAATTAATTAGAGGCTCTATAGGAAGCAGTGATCAGAGAATCATCAGAATATTGACCTTAATTATTGAAAAAGCAGGGAAAAAAAGCTGTTAAACTGGCAAACGTTATTATGTTGTCAAAAATTTGATGTGAGGTTGAATACAAACATCTTGATACAAAATATGGTGTTAACAAATTGTTAAGAATAAGCCACCCATCATCAATTATTGTTTAACATACAATTATCCTTATAATTCTTCATGCTCAGTTTATCATAAGCATGCTTTATAATCATAAAATACTTTTGTCATATTCAACATGATCATCTTCAAAACTTTTCATCAAGTTGATCTGTCTGAATCAGAACATTAACACATATAACATTCTTGGACATTTGATAACCTTTCTAAGCAGTTGCCGTGGGTTAACCCAGTTATTTACTGGTTATTTTGCTGTGGGTTAACCAGATTATTAACCAGTTATTTTGCTCGGAGTGTTGGTTTTACAGTGAATTAACTTGTACTGACTTCAGAACTTAGTGATTTTTCTCCCCTATACACAAACTGAAATGCTATTAATAGTCATATTTATAGGTAAGTGTTTTACCCTCCAATTTTGATGTGGTCTTCATGTTAGAAATTTCTGCATGTTTGGTGTTGCATGTATTTTAGATTTTCTTTTCTAATTACCTGGTACTACATCTTGTGTTTTTCTTTTTCTCTCTCAAAACACAGGAATAGAAAAACAGTGGACAGATTGTGCTGTTCAAAATATTTGGGGGGAAAAATCAGAACATTGTTTTATCATAATAATGGATAAGTTTAACTCTTTATTAATTTCCATTCAAAATTACTTATTATGGTAGCGACTTAGATCTTTGGCATCAGTTCAGTCAATTTAATAATAATTAAGCAAGAGATCCGCACCTTTGCACTACATAATTTGAAGGAAATCTTCCATAACATTCTTTAAAAAAAAAAAAAGATAATTTTTTCTACACAGATGGCAAGAAATGTAATGTGTACATGAGCAACACACAATGCCACATCTATTCACCGCACAAAAACCAAGGCAATCTTAAAATTGAATGATAAGAAAAACACACAAGGGTGAGAAAGTATAAAAATAAAATTCAAAGCATGAACAATTCTTCAGTCTCACAGGAAAAGAATTTGCATTGAAAGTTTGAATGTTACTAAAGATTGTTATGAGGTTCGAGTGTTGTGTGAGATGCTGGATTAACTGTTTACATGAATGCTGACATTGCAGATGATCATAATGTTGTGAACTTTTCACTGCATAAAACAGGAGATTAAAAGCTCTTTTCAATATAGAATTTTATATACTTTAGCATAATTTTTTTTAAAGAATCTTTTCTTTAGACAAAATGCACCTTTCTAAAGATTTCAAGATAACATCAATTAGATGCATGTTTATCATTATAATTTTTATTAACCACATATGTAAGACATACATACTTTAATATTCCTTTGAGTCATTTCTAAGTTTTATTTGATAATTTGAATGAAATACATCAAATATTACAGTGCCTAATGAACCCACAAAGGTAACAGCTGAAGCCATCAACTCTACGGCCATGTTTGTGGACTGGCGGCCACCAGAGGGCCGGGGCAGCAATGGTATTATCCGCGGATACTATGTCTACTACTACGAGACGAATGATAAGGATGAAATGGTCGGACAGGAGTTGGTACATGATACGCATGATGGAAATAGGAATGAAGCTGTGATCACAAACTTGAAAGCCGACACACAGTATTCTGTGCAGGTAGCAGGGTACACAAGGAGGGGAGATGGAAAACGCAGCAAAAAGAAGATAGTCAATACAAAAGGGGCTGGTAAGTTATAGAAAGAGTGCATCAAACAGAGTACCCTGTTAAATATAGATTTCTGAAGTCTAACTCTACCCTCCAACCCCAACCCCAAACCACCACTGTGAGAGACCACTTTATGAAAAGTTTTTGGGGGGAGATTTGGATTTTTATCAGTTAATGGATATGATGAAAACTCAGGGAACTGATAAAATGTGATGAGTTATTACACCGGAGAACTAAATTGTTTGTGTATCAGTATTGAACTTTTCAATTTTAGATGAGATAGAGAGATTACATGCTCATTGACTCCCACATAAAGAAGAAAAACAATTAATATTGCATAACTTGTCATGCTGTTTAATGCAGAAGAAGGAGAGTTATTTAGTTCAAAAATGAAATGTTTAGTTAAATGGAATTATCACATAAAGTTTCTTCAGGGATGGGTGCTATAAAACTTTGAAATTGTTTAGTTAGTGGGATAATGCTGAAATAGATTTTATATGAAAGAGAATATTAAATATGCAGAAACAAGAAACATTTACCAAGTCTCAAGAATATACAGACGTCTTCATATATTAAATGAAAATTTGATGAGAGACATTGTTTTCCAGTGCCCACACCACCAAGGGATCTGAATGCTGTACTGCTAGATGAGGAACGCCCACAAGTTCATGTGACCTGGAAGATACCAAAGGAGGTGCATGGGGAGCTGATGGGGTATCAGGTGATCTGGGGACGCAAAGGGGAATCCTACCAAATGCTCAATCTGCCAGCCATGAGACAGAGCTACATCTCAGATATCTTAGGTTTGTATAAATAAAAGAATGAAACTTGAGTTACTGGGAAATACATGTAGTATGAGCGACACAATAAGACACAGACAGGTACATGTCGAACAGAATCTTGGGCCTAAAATAAAAAATTGTTTGTTTGCAGTTGCCTACCGATCCACTTTAAAATGCACCCGACTGAAACGTTTCTCAGCCATTTTTTGAGATGATTTTTTTTGTGTGTAAGATTCCAGTTTTCAGGATATTGAAACTGTTTCTTTTCTACTTTTGATATTTGTTTTTATCAATTAGTGGCTTATACAGTGTGTAATATATGGAGCTTAATTACATAAGTAACCCTATGAAAATCTCTTTGTTATCCAACAAAAACCTGAAAACTAAAATCTATTTTTTATTTCAACAAAAAAAAAACCCTACCAACCTACCTATTCACTATATTACCTATAAAAATTGTAGGTTGTCAATTGCAAACTAAAAATTTTTTAAGCTTTGCTTTGTACCCTATTTTTTAATACATCTCTTGCTCGGAGATAGGGTTTAAGAAAATTACAGGATGTCTTGATCTGTTTTTAGACAATCAATATTCTACAAATTTGTCTGAAGCAGGATAAAAGGAAAAGGTAACATGTTGTAAAACAGAAATATCTTGGGGTTTTTTGCTATTTTTTTTCTATACTATTCCTATTTATTTCAGATAAGGGAGCTACATATGAATTTAGAGTAAAGGCAAAAAATGAAGTTGGACTTGGTGAGAGAGCATCGGCTGTAATTATTACTCCTGATGGAAGTATGTTGCAATTTTGATTTTTTTGTTGTTAATGGTCCATGGTATTTTAAAGTTTTAAAGTCAGATGTAAAGTACATTTACATTGTTTACAAGAAATTTCCTGTTTGAGGCCCATTGTATTTCTTGGTCATACTTCTAGCTCTACTGGTCACAGAACAGAAGAGCTTATGCAATTAGTAAGGTGTCTGTTGTCCATCTATCTTTCTGCCTCGTCGGTGAACAATTTTTAAAGCGCTACTCCTCCTACAGTTTTGGTCCAATTTCTATAAGACTTTGTACACAATATTACACTAAGATAGATAATTCTGTTTAAATAATTTAGTTTCCAATTTCAACAGTGTTGCCATGGTTACCAAAAATAGAAATTTATGTGAAATTCTTTCAAAACGCTACTCCTACATTTTTAGTCAAGTTTCTTTGAGACTTTGTACCAGTACTTGAGGACACTACTGTAACTTCTGACTTCTGATTTCTTTGTTTATAAAGACATCTCTTATAAATGTTTCATCTCGCAAATTTCAGTCCCAGCAGGAGCTCCTCAGAATTTTTCAGCTGAGAGCTTGACAGAAACCAGTGTTTTATTGGAGTGGGACCTACCAGCCAAGCACCTGCAGAATGGAGAAATTGTCATGTACCAACTCATGTACCACAAAATGGCTGATTCCATCAACGCTGAAGATCTCAATATCACTGGACTACAGTACGAGGTGAAGGGACTGGAAATGAACACAGACTATGTTTTCCAGATCCGAGCCTTTACCAGTAGAGGACCCGGCCCCTGGAGCCCTAAATATATGCACCATACATTCGGAAGAAGTAATATATCAATTATTAAATTCAATTTTGTGAACTAAATCTTATATACAGTGGCGCCTCGTTAATCCGGACACCTCCGTCCCCAACGAAATCGTCCGGATAAATGAATCGTCCGGATAAGTGAATCACTTCTTAAAAGGCGTACCCTCTTAAATCATATACATATGAGGATAGTGGTATCAAATGTGAAGACAAAGAAAACACCTTTATTTTACCTTGACTTATTGATTTTATTTTTATAGTTTTAAAAGAAATAATAGATATTTAAAAAAAAGAAAAAATTAAAATGTAATTTACACGATGAAAAATGGATAGGCAGTTTTATGTTGAGACTTCCTTTTCTAACACAGGAAACTTTATTCGCCTTCTATTTGACATGCAGTTACATGGGCTGATCAAATTTTGATCTGCTACTGTTTTATTTCGGCACATTTTTTTTATATTTATTGAAGCTCATATTAAGTAGAACTGTTCATTATCACCATTGAGAATGTTCAAATGATTAACCGCGTATATTCACTACATAGGGAAGTAAGTAACTAAATACTGCAATCAGTGTACGTATTGCAAACATTCAACGTAAACACAAGCCATATTCAGGATTATCAATACTTTTTCTAGAAACTCCACGTTATATATCTTGAAAAGACATGATCGGCATTTATAACTAACGCCAGTTACGTATTTCTTAGTGCATTAATAGAAATATATTTTCTTGAATTATGTATCATAATAAATTGTCTTATGAAAAGAAAAAAAAGTTTCAAATAATGTACGATCGTATTTTGATAAACTTACGTAACTCGATACCACGACGAAATCTCGTGATTTATTATTCAGTAAAAATTTTATTTACAACTCTCCAAAATTCTCATAAATTTATATACGTTAGCAATTTAATTAATGCACAGTATAAGCTAAATTCTTCGGGCTTTATAATATAAAAGACGTGTGTTTTAGCTGAGGTAAACACACGCTAATTATAGACGCTATTGTTTAGAGGTCACAGGTAACCGCGTTCAAACTGACTCCACGGACGTTTTTACAATAATTATCACTACTGCAAGAAAGGTGTGAAAAGTCGTTCCTCGAAAAATTACCGTCCGGATAAACGAGTCATTTTTCAATGAAATATTGCGTTTTGTAGTAGAAATTGACCGTCCGGATCTGGAACGCGAATTTCCGGATTAATAAGACAGAATAACGTGGAAAAAATCGGTTCCCAAAAAATATCGTCTGGAAGGTGAAGCGTCCGGATTATTGGCGTCCGGATTACCGCGGCGCCACTGTACTTAACGTTATTTATTGCAGACCGGTTGTTTTTTGTAGCAATTTAATTCCTTTGCCTTTACATAAGATTAAATACATGCAATTAAGACAAAGAAAAAAGATTTTATTGATAAAAGGAACATTTTTTTTTAATTTGCAAACATCATTATTTATTTGCAAAAATAAATGTTTTCAGTATGCCTATTAATTAACAGACTTGTCAAAATCTCGATCCTGTCGGAAAGGCTGGTGAAAAATAAATTGTCTTGACTGATAACTATCAAGAAAACATCGGTCCAAATGACCATTTGAAAAAAATTGAGTATGATGCAAATTTTTAAGAGATTGGGATTGGTGTGCACAGGTGAAGGTCACAAAAACAGCAGAGATGGCCGCGTGGTGACGATGGTCAATTAAACTTGTTACAACAAAGACATAAAATGTCATTTTAGTCTCTGATTAAAGACTCTCCATCTACAGAAAAGAACTTTTGAGATTAAAAGCTGTTGGAAATAATAAATGGCATTTTGGTGCAGTTATTTATTTTCCTCTCTCAGCGTCAAAATAGGTAGATGTATCTGGTCTGACAAAACTTCGTCTGGTCCGAAGACCAAATTTCTGACGGTGATTTCAAAATTTCGACAAGTCTAAATTAATCACATCAGTGTATTCATATAATCCTGTGAGGTATTTTACAATTGCAAGTGTTGATTGCATATTCATCTATAATTACAAAAAAAAACACTATACATACAACTGTATTTCAGTGCCAGACAAGCCACAGAATGTTCGTACCCGCCGCAAGAATCAACATAAGATTGAGGTGACCTGGGACGAGCCTAAGATGGCTGTGGCCGGATATCGGGTTTACTACAATGACTTTGCAAGCAATAACATGGAAGACTGGTCCAAGATAGAAATTGGTCCCTACACAATAGCAGACATTGACATCCCAGATGACAAGGCGACATATGTTGTTCGAGTGCAGGCCAAGTCAGTGGATGGCAGATTTGGAAATATGTCGGAACCTTTCGTAGACTCGGTCGTTATTGTATGTAAGTAATTCCATTGTTTTAGTTCATAATATATTATACATCCCATTTGTACAAGAATTTTTTTTTTTTTATTACTGCGAGGACTTTATTTTCGCAGAATTATGAGAGACACTGCTTGTGAAAATTTTATTCTTGGAAGATTATATACAACAGTTTTCAGAATTGATGAAAATTTTGTCTCGCATATAAATACAGCTGTGTCGCAAAAATAATGTGAATGGTAATTTGGTAATCTACAGTATTATTAAATAAGGATTTCAAAATACATATATAGAATACATCTTTAACCAGAAAAAGTTTATTCTTGCAGTAATGTGGATGTATGTATTTGTTACAAGTGCATGCATGTTCATACTGCCTGCCATGTATGACAATTATTAATTTATATAATTAGTCAAGGCCATGTGAGACATATTTGCGGGATAAAAATGAAATGTAATTAACATATTTATGATTAATTTTATGATGCTTGCTATCACATTATTGTTTGAAGTGGACAAATCCATCATTGACTTGAACATGTTTATAATTTCAGAATCTTTGATTGTTTATTGTCTTCTAATTTAGTTCCCTTAAAAGTGTTAAGTCCTATCTGGAGTCTTGTTCAGCTCAAATATAATACAATACATTACATATTCTTTCCAAAGCATTTCAACTGAGAACAGTACTAATGTACATGTATTCAATCACAAAAAACTTGACATTGTTTTGTAAAACTGATCAAATGCAGGGGTTGAAAAGTAGCATTAAATGTCATATCCTTAGCAATTTCATACATGTAAGAACATCGTACTTAAACAGAAGTCAGCTGTGCAGACTCAACTTTGTATTGAGTTTACATCAAAAAATAAGAAACATACATGTATAAAGGTTTATTTTCTTTTAATATGATAAAAGTAATCTAATATATAGGTATACTTCAGTTTCTGTCTTTTCCTACAGATGTGACGGATAAGCAGGTGAGAAATTTCCAGGTGACTCTACGTACAGCCACAGAGGTGCATTTAAGCTGGGATCCCCCAGAAAATTCTGCTGTTGTCTTTTACCAAGTAAGATATATATATATATTCGGTACGGACGCCAAAGTCCGATGGCTGGTTTCCTATGAGATGAAAGTGCAATGGTCTGACACGCCAAAGTCTGATGGTGCAGAGAAACAATGAATATTTATGACATCACAATAATCCAACGTCAATCCTCGACCCCGCTGTCCGTAATTCAAAAGCCAGTAATACAGAATTAATCCTTGCATACAAATTTGACTGATTTTGCTTATTGCTTGCACCCCCAGGGATATTAGGGTCAGTCCTTACACACTGATTTACCGATTTTGGGATAGCTTCGCACCCAACCAAGAGTTAAAGGTTAGTCCTCGCACACTATTAGACTAACTAGGGTTAGTCTCGCACCCCAAAGAGATTTAGGGTAGGTTCTTGCACTCTTTTCGACTAATTAAGGTAAGTCTCTCTCCCATCCAGCATGTAGGTTAAATGTTTTGAGCGATTAGGGTTAGTCTCGCACCCATCCGAGAGATTAGGTTAGCCTCACACCCACTCAAGAAATGAGGGCTACTAGTACAATTCTTTGCCACATGCTAGTGAATCATTTCACTTCTGCGTTCAAATATTTAATATTCATTTTTATTTATTTATTTATGAGACGCGGCATCGCAATTCATGGCAGTAGTACTATATGACGTCATAAATGTAGATTGGTTTACTACACCATCAGACTTTGGCGTGGCAAACTATCAGGGTTTGTGGCACAGATCATCGGATTTTGGCATGACCATCGGACTTTGGAGTCCTACATATATTTATATAGTCAATTTTCCACATTAAAGAATATTTTAAAATAGGGAAAAAAAGATAAATTTCAATTGTCTTAACAGTTGGAATATGTAGGAGTTCAATCGAGAAGACACAAAGGTCAACTATTACCACCAAAACAATACCAATCCAAACCTATCGAGATTTCAGGAAACCAAAAGAGTTATATCGTGAACAATCTCCAGCCCAAAACTTTTTATACGTTCAATATCACAGCTAGATTCCGTGACGGAACAACAGGTGATCCACAGATGGTGAGGGCCTACACTCGTCTGCTTGGTAAGTTTTTCTGTGGTTCTTTTTAATCAATACGCAGCACAGTTAAGGCTACAAAGAGGTGGCGGAGCCTAATTTGTACGGGAAACATTAACTATGACATCATACAAAACCAACAATTCTTAAAAATCCTACAAAATGAAATAATTTGCTATTTTAAACTATAGGAAACCATCAAACTACATCTAAACTTACTATAACATGCTGTTTGTCTTTAGTTAAATTCCACATAGCAAGGTATAAACAAGTCACTGATCGCGATGCACTTTTCTATGTGACGTCATTTCGTAAACCCTGATGCAGTTTGTATGCAGTAAGTGGCGGATCAAGAAATATTTTCACAAAAAAATGCATTCTATAATCAAATAAAATATTATCTAAAGATATTTAAGAGATAATTAACTTGGATGCAATGTCTTCTTTATGATTTTATTCGTATATATTCCGTATATTTCCTATTTAATTGATACTGCCGTATATTTGTATGCAAGTACATCGGAGGGTAATGCAAGGGTCTTAATAAATCCATCTAGTGCAAGGGCATACACTCAATGGATCACAGTAAGCTTTTATATATAAACTCTAGAAGTATTAAGGTATCTGAAAAGTGCCGCAATCCTGGTGAAATCTTGAAAATGAATAAATTATATCTATATTTAATGCTGCTGACCAGCAAAAAATACAGAATGTGGTCATATAAATTTGATTTTAAAAATGAAATAGCAGAATCTATAGAGGATCGCAGCATTTTTCAGAAACTATGATGCGTGTTGAAAATATTTATACTCTAAGTTTAGAATTTTAACTTGATTATGCCCTTGCACTAGTGAAATTTATAGGTGACCTCAATACTGCAAGTATATGTGGTATATCACGTGTCTGCCACATCACATGACAAGTCTAAATATAAAATCTTATCGTCCTCAATATGTAGTTATTAACCATAATTACATTTGTCGGATATCAATAAAGTACTGAAAAGAATCGCCATCCTGATTAAGAATATATTTTCAATCGCAAAAATTGCCGATATTTCCATTGCGCACCTTAACTGTACTGCGTACTTCATACTTATCATGTAGAAATACAGTTGAACTTCGGTATCTCTAACACTGATATTTCGATTAATGGATATGTTGAAGTGATTTGAAATCCCAACCACTTATTTAAATATGTACCGGTATTTTACCATCAGTATCTCGACAAATGGATTTTTTTCTCTCAGTCCCATCGAGTTCGAGATAAAAAAGGTTTGACTGTACTAACAAATTTGTGTTTTGTGAAACATTCATATTTTACCAAACAATACTGCTATGTTCTTAAAGTACATGTACCATTTCTTTTGTTAAGTTATTTTTTAACTTTGTAGCTCCAAATAAAGTTCCTCAACCCCAAGTGAAAGGATACAGGAAAAACTCAGTCATTTTAACGTTTGATAAAGCCAGTGAAGAAAATGGCGATTTAAGTTACTATTACTTAGTTGTGGTACCACAGAATATAGCAGCACAGAAAAATCCACAAGATTTCAAAGAGTCAGAGGTTCGTTGAGATATGTTTTCTTTTATTTTAATGCAAGCATTTCTAAAACAAAACATAACAGATGCTAGTAAATCTTTTTTTCTGGTACTTAATTCATTCATTTTTCCAAGTAAAGTTATGAAAATCATGGTCATATTTTTTCATTGCATGCGTACAACAGATAGGGTTGAAGTTGAACACAACAACTAAAACGGTAAATACAAAGGATGCTTCTCTGAAAGCATTTATTCCTGGTATTAGGTTGACCCTGTTGTCGTTATCCTACAGTATATTCAATATGTGTTGTTGTCTGTATGACGTACTATCTGTTAAAATAGTTTGACCAAAAATAAAGTAAAAGAAAATTTAATTATACCCCCCGCAAACGAAGTTTAGGGGGGGTATATTGGAATCAGCATGTCCGTCTGTCTGTCCGTCTGTCTGTCTGTCTGTAGACGAGATTTTGTCCGGACCATTTCTTGGAAACTGTTGGAAGGATTTGTCTGAAAATTTGTACACTTATTATTCACCATATGAAGGTGTGCACCTGGTATTTTCATTATGATTGGATAATTATTTTGCATTTTACAGGTGTTTTTTTCATTTTTATTATGTGGTTTTGTCTGGATCTGTTCCCAGAGACTATTGCATAGATTTGTATGAAAATTTGTACACTTATTATTTACCATATGAAGATGTGCACCTGGTATTTTCAACATTATTTGATAATTTTTCTGCATTTTACAGGTGTTTTTTTTTTTTATTGACTTAGTCATTTTGGGTTCATGTCTAAGGTTTGAGACATAGAATCTAGAACATCTGTACAAAAATGTGAACTACAGCTTAAAACTACTCATTAGAGCTAAAAAAAAAACACAAAGTATTAAAAACAGTTTTTACATTACACAGCAGATAGTGTAAATCCATTTGTCCCTTGGGAGTAATGAGTGGACATGCATCCAGTTAAAGATTAATTAATGAGTTCAGTGTGGGAAGCTGTTAGGGCATCTCTGATCAAGCAGGTCTTATCTATATCTCAGGGGAATTGGGCAGAAAGAAATAAAGATCTCTGTTGTCTAAGTCTCTTAATTGTAATTTATGTCTGTCAAAATACATAGTTACTAAAACCAGCCTTTTATTTTTAAAATGAGTTTGATATAAAGGTATTAAAATCAATTTGATTTTCTATAATTAATTATGATATTTTTTTTTCAACAATCAATTTGCTGTGTGTCATGTCTCACAAAGATGGCAGATAGTTGCAAACTATTTTTTCAATGTAATAAAAAACACTGTAATTATTAGTGTTGATGGTTTATTAGGCTGCACCTTAGTTTCATTCATTTAATAAAGTGCCCCACCACAGCATGATACGCCCATCAAATATTGTTAAATTATCATAAACAGTTTAGATTCAATTGTTTGAATGACATCTTAGCGAGACAAGGCAGTCTGCAATTTGTTGTAAAGATATAAAAATTCAAATAAAAAATGTACAATAAATAATTAGTTTAAATTATTTTATACAATATCATATAAGTTTTAATTATTATATACAATATCAAATTAGTTTTAATTACATCAAATTTATCTTGAAAGTAAGACTAGCCAACAAGAACAATTCAATACAACAAAAGCAATTAATTAAGAGACTGATTCCTTTTGCCCATTTCCCAAGAGATGTAGATAACACCTGCTTGATCAGAGATGCTCTGCCAGTTATCTCCTCACACTAAACTCATTAATTTATCTCTAATTTGACATGCAATTTTCTGCTATCAAAATTTTCCTTGACCAGTGCCTGATCATTACACCCATGGGAGAGGTGGAATTTTTGTTGTTACAGATTGCTGTAAAGAACATAATGAAAAAAATAAGACTAGTATTTTCTTGATTTAACACTTTTTTAATAAAGATACTGCAATACTCTGACATCTTTTGGGATTGTGTAATTTAAAAGTTAAAAGACATAGTTTTTTGATTCTAAGTCTAATGGTTTTCTAGTTATGATTTTTCCATATTTGGCCATAGCGTCTTTATTAAAGGTCAGAATGACATGGTTTTAATGTGCGACACACCTTCTACCCTAGATGTATCAGCTGACAAAGTTTGATAATTCTAGGCATAATAGTATTAAAGTTATGAGCCGGACATGAAAAAGCTTATGGACGGACAAACATGAACGCTATAACATAATACGTCCCGTCGTAAGACGGACGTATAAAAATATATAATGAGTAATTAAATTTTCACTGTAAATGTTTAAGGAAATTGTGAACACCTCTCACATCTAGAAAACATTAGTGATTTGGTACTTTCTCTGAAAAACCCAGCGGGGGGTATTTGTCCCTTTTGGACAGTTCTAGTTGAATGATTCTGTGGAAGCAGTTTTTAGCTCACCTGAGCCAAAGGCTCAAGTGAGCTTTTCTGATCAAAATTTGTCCGTTGTCTGTCGTCGTCGTTGGCGTTGGCGTCGTCGTTGTTGTAAACTTTTCACATTTTCATCTTCTTCTCCAGAACTACTGGGCCAATTTCAACCAAACTTGCCACAAAGTATCCTTGGGTAAAGGGGATTCAAGTTTGTTCAAATGAAGGGCCACGCCTTCTTCCAAGGGGAGATAATTAAGAATTCGTGAAAAATTAATGGCATCATTAAAAAATCTTCTTCTCAAGAACCACTGTGCTTGAAAATATGAAACTTATGTGGAAACATCCTCAGGTAGTGTAGATTCAAGTTTGTTCAAATCATGACCCCCGGGGGTCGGGTGGGGCCACAATGGGCGATCAAAGTTTTACATAGGAATATATAGGAAAAATCTTTAAAAATCTTCTTCTCAAGAACAGAAAAGCCATGATTGGTCATATTTATATGGTATCATCCTCAGATAGTGTAGATTCAAGTTTGTTCAAATCATGACCCCCGGGGGTCGGGTGGGGCCACAATGGGCGATCAAAGTTTTACATAGGAATATATAGGAAAAATCTTTAAAAATCTTCTACTCAAGAACAGCAAAGCCATGATTGGTCATATTTATATGGTAGTATCCTCAGATAGTGTAGATTCAAGTTTGTTCAAATCATGACCCCCGGGGGTCGGGTGGGGTCACAATGGGCGATCAAAGTTTTACATAGGAATATATAGGAAAAATCTTTAAAACTCTTCTTCTCAAGAACAGAAAAGCCATTATTGGTCATATTTATATGGTAGCATCCTCAGATAGTGTAGATTCAAATTTGTTTAAATCATGACCCCCAGGGGTCGGATGGGGCCACAATGGGCGATCAAAGTTTTACATAGGAATATATAGGAAAAATCTTTAAAAATCTTCTTTTCAAGAACAGCAAAGCCATGATTGGTCATATTTACATGGTAGCATCCTCAGATAGTGTAGATTCAAGTTTGTTCAAATCATGACCCCCGGGGGTCGGGTGGGGCCACAATGGGCGATCAAAGTTTTACATAGGAATATATAGGAAAAATCTTTAAAAATCTTCTTCTCAAGAACAGAAAAGCCATGATTGGTCATATTTATATGAAAGCATCCTCAGATAGTGTAGATTCAAGTTTGTTCAAATCATGACCCCCGGGGGTCGGGTGGGGCCACAATGGGCGATCAAAGTTTTACATAGGAATACATAGGTTAAATCTTTAAAAATCTTCTACTCAAGAACAGCAAAGCCATGATTGGTCATATTTAAATGGAAGCATCCTCAGATAATGTAGATTCAAATTTGTTCAATTTATGACACCCCCCCCCCTCCCCCCAAACCACTTTTTTATTCAAACTTTTCAACCTTTCAAGACTGAACTGATTTCTGCTTTTTCCTAGCCATAGTGCTCAGGTGAGCGATGTGGCCCCTGGGCCTCTTGTTCCATTAGATTTAAAAAAAAAAATAAATACTCAAGAGAGTGATTAATCATGATCAACAATTGTGTACCCAGAAAAAAAAAAATTTGAAAAAAAAAAATCAATTATCAAAGTTGTCACAGATGTTGAAGTTTTCAGAATTACATGTAGCATGTTCAATTGTTTATGATTTTATGTTAAGTAAACATTGTCTTGTACACATTTATGTGATTTGTAGTCATTCCGTACACCTGTTTCATAAATACTTGTTTTAACAACCCTTTAATTTGGATTTTTGTTGACTTCACTGTGAAATGTGCCCTTACCAGTTCAAGGTCAAAATTTCAAAAGGAATACAGATATACCAAGTACATGTATTGATGCTTATTGAAAACATCAACCTTAAGAAACTCTCATCATGAGAATTATCTTTCTTTGCAATTATTTTTACAAATTAAAGAAACTCTCATTATTAGAATTATCTTTCGTTGCAATTATTTTTACGAATTGAAGAAACTCTCATCATTAGAATTATCTTTCTTCACAATTATTTTTACAAAATAAAGCTATCAATAGTAGTTTTATAGTATGACCTCACCATTACTGGTTTGTTTTTCCATTTAGGAATTTGTCAAGGCACAAAGAACAAACTGTTGAACTTGGAATATTTTGCGTATAATATTTTATTATTTCCATTTGTAGTTTTATTCGGACACCATGCCTTCAAGTTATCCTGCCAGAAATGTGTACATCGCAGCAAAGTTTAAGGCTGATCAACTTCCCGAGGAGTTTACTTTAGGTGATGGCGTGGAATATGGAGGATTCACTAATAGACCTCTGGAGGTGGACAACACGTATCGAGTCTTCTTGCGTGCCTACACAGTTGAAATGGTATGCTAGGCTTTAGAAAAAAATGTTTGTTTACTAGCTTTTACATGGTGATTAAAAATAGGGTCTGTAGATAAAATTATTTGTTATTTTTAGCTCACCTGAGCCCAAGTGAGCTTTCTCATCAAAATTTGTCTATTGTCGTCGTAAACTTTTTACAATTTCATGTTCTTCTCCAGAATCATTGGGCCAATTTCAACCAAACTTGGCACAGAGTATCCTTGGGTGAAAGGGATTCAAATTTGTTCAAATGAAGGGCCACACCTCTTCCAAGGGGAGGTAATGAAGAAAAAATAAAAATTGTGGGGTAATTAAAAATCTTCTCAAGAACCAGTGGGCCAGGAAAGATGAAACTTATGTGAAAGCTTCTTGACATAGTATAGATTCAAGTTTGTTCAAATCAAAACCCCTGAGGGGTAGGGCGAGGCCACAATGGGCGATCAAAGTTTTACATGGGTATACATAGGAAAAATCTTTAAAAATCATCATCTCAAGAACAGCAAAGCCATGATTGGTCATATTTACATGGAAGCATCCTCAGGTAATGTAGATTCAAGTTTGTTCAAATAATGACCCCCCAGGATAGGGAGGGGCCAAAATGGGAGATCAAAGTTTGTAGGGTGGAGCCACAATAGGCGATCAAAGTTTTACATAGGAATGTAAAGGGAAAAATTAATAATCTTTTCTCAAGAGCAACAAAGCCATGGTTAGTAATTTTTATACAAAAGTATCCTCAGGTAATGTAGATTCAGATTTATTCAAATCATGATGCCCCAGGAGATAGAGAGGGATCATAACAGGGGATCAAAGTTTTAAGAAGATTCAAGTTTGTTGAAGTCATGTTACCTGGGGGTAGAGCAGGGCCACAATACAAGATCAAACATAATGGGAAAAAAATCTTGAAAAATCTTCTAAAGCCATGATTAGTCTAAGAAATATGGATGCATCCTCAGTTAATGTAGATTCAAGTGTAAACATGTCATGCCCCCCATTTCCCCTGGGGGAGGGATGTATTTGCAATCACTTATATATTTAATCTGCTCAGTACTGAACTGATTTCTGCTTTTTCCAAGCTTAGGTAGGTGATGTGGCCCATGGGCCTTGTTTTTATTATTTTATTAATTTTTTTTTTCATATAAAGGCATAAGTTTGAAATACAATTTTTTAGAAACATTTTGAAGCTCTCTTTTTTAGCAATTATTATTATTATTATAATTATTATTATTTTTAACAATCAGCTCTAAAAAGTGCCACTATAAAGTGACCTCATGACCTATAAACCATCACATTTGAAGGAAAACATACAGACTTGGAATATCTGAATTTTTACGACCAAAAAAAAAAAATGTTTGGGTCAGAGCATAAAATTAGGGTTGGTCAGGTAACTGATAACATACATATTTTTTAGGCCTTTGTAGATAAATAAATTATGATGGGAGTTAAACGATTGTACAGTTGAAGTCATAAGATATTACTGCTGCATTTCATTTCTGGAATTTTGCTCAGCATTTCCAACATTTTTTATTTTCGTTTTCGACATTTATTTTTTATATTTCTGGAATTTTTGGGGGAGTACTTTTCCAGCAATTTAATGTTAACCAGGTAGGTGGAAATAGAATTTTTAACAGGATATAAATATTACCTTTATTTTTAACCACATTTTCCATATCAAAACATACATGTATGTACAAACAGCACTAGTTAAAAGTTTTGTATTATTTAAAATGTAAACGCGAACAAAGCTTGCTTTATATGTGAACAGTCAAAACTGAAAAGTTTAATGTATATAAATGCATTGATATAATTTTCCATTCCAGAAGTCAAAATTACAAAATCCTTACAGAATATAACGTATCATATTATTGTGAAGTAATTGGATTGTCACAGATTTATTAAAGTGAAATTTATTAGACATACATGTACATGTATATAAATTTATTTTCTTAAGAAACAGAAAGTTCAGAATTCAGTTTCAAAACATTGAGGACAGTTCAATGCTTGAAATGTTATATTTAAATGTAATTACCCATCTGAAACAGGAAATATTGAATTTTTTTTTCTCAAATAATTCTGAGTTTTAATCATTTTTATTCCAAGTCGGAGCTTGTGTGAAGACCCTTATAAGATATTCAGTAGCAACTTTTTATAATAAAACCACCCCCATAATTGTTTATTTTCCAGACTTTGTACAAGTCCAGTGATTATTCTGCTTTTTTGCGCGTGCATCCCAAGAATCCAGAACCAATTGGCCCCAATGAAGACTCTGCAAGTGTCAAAGAAGACGACCCTACAATAGGGAAAGAAAGTGTCGCAAGCTCTAAAAGTGTCATGATAATAATGATTGTAGCCCCTGTCTGTGCTGGCGTAGCCTTCATAATCATCGTCTGTATATTGGTGGTGTGGTACATGAGGTACGTTTATTTTAAAGTATGCCGAATTTTACTTACATTTGCCATTTTCTTTGCTTTAACAGGATCTCTGCACGTCTAGTATATATTCGGATGAATTTAAAGGAGGACATGGCGGAAAACGTTATTCCATTTCGGAAACAATGTCCCCCCAGGATGCACCCACTAATCCCAACTATCTGATTGTAGTGGGGGGATCGGTGTGCGCAGGGCTTGTCCTAGTGTGTTTTGTAATCTTTTTGATTTGGCTGGCGAGGTCAGTAGTCCTATGAGGATATGCAAGGACAAAGTCGTCCATTGATGTTGTGACAAATCTCCTAGAGATGACGTTGTACTGCTTATGATTTTGTTTTTCTCTTCCACTATTTTTCTGTCAGGCTCTCATCTTGCACAACTTCACCAACTTGTGTGTACATAAAGCAAAAGAAACTTTAAATTGTGCAGAATACACGTTGTTGGGAAGTTTACTGAAGTTTGGGATATCTTCTTGTTTATTTATGTTATATGATTTTGTAGGTTTTCAGGTGTTTGATTTTGAGTTCACTTTCTTAATTTCTAGTCCAAGGCTGTGCTTGATATCATTTCAGTATGACATTTATTCCATACTTTGATGCTTCCAAACTTTTTGTCTTTTGTTACAGTTATGATCAGTTCAGATTTAAGGTGGTCACTCTTTGTTGTCCATTTTGGTATATTTAGTTTCATTTTTGATATTGTCCGAATATTACATTTAATTTCAGCTATAAAGAGTTTTATATATAGAATGGTTGTAAAGTTGATTGTAATTTTAGAAGGAAAAAAAACTTAAAGAAAATCAAGACTTATGATTTCATATTAGATACATACTTGTATGAATCTTTTCTATCTGAATGAGAAATTTTAATTTACAATACTTTTACTCTGAACTACATGTATTTTTATTAATCATTAAATCATGTGTAACTTGCATCACATTTTTAATTTTGATTAAGTTATAAACAAAATTTAAAGTGTCTGAAGTTGTGGTTTATTTGAAAGCCAGATTTTTCAAGTTTTTGAAATGTAAACAAATTAAAATTTAGATTTATTGTAGTAAGAAATAAAACTATGAACAGTCTATTAAGAGGTTATGATTAAAAAGTGATGCTATTAAATAGAACATCAAGGGTTTCTTTTTAACTCTACTTGGTATTCAAAGGAACAAAAAAAATAAATAACATTATTTTGGTTGTACTTTACAGAGAGAAATGATTTTGTATTCCTTACACTTTCAGGAGGAAATCGAACAGAAAATCCAAAAGTCCTGAGCCATATCCTGGTAAAGTAATAGTGGATGTTCCTTCTCATCCATGTGATCCGGTGGAGCTCCGTCGCCAACATTACCAGACCCCAGGTACCACCAGAATCATTTATTCCCAATGTCTTGGTTATAAATGTAGGATTAATGCTTAAATGTACCTTTTTACCCATGTTACTGGTCAAATGTGTTTACCCTCAACTACTAGTATGATTTTAAAAGTACAAGATTATTTACCAGTGAAAGTACTCACATGTATTCATACAAATCATTTTCACACTTTTTTTTTTTAACACAGGTATGATCAGTCACCCACCCATTCCAATTCATATGTTACAAGAGCACATAGACAATCTAAAGGCTAACGATAATCACAAGTTCTCACAAGAGTACGAGTCCATAGAACCAGGACAGCAGTTCACTTGGGACCAGTCCAACTACGAGATTAATAAGCCTAAAAACCGATATGCTAACGTGATTGCATACGACCATTCTCGTGTCATCCTACAACCTGAAAATGGCATTCCTGGTAGTGATTACATCAATGCAAATTACATGGATGGTTACAGGAAACAGAATGCATACATTGCAACACAGGTAAGCAAAAAACCATGGCTCCAACAAAAAAGTATGGAAGTGCTAAGTACAGTGTATCATACAGCATGTTTGAGACACTAGATTTGTATGCACTGTATCTCAATACTTTTATGTGATGGATGTTTTCGGTATAAATTATTACAATTCTACACTTTTCAGTTTAAAGGATATAATTGATATCTGTCTTTATTTTAGGGTCCATTGCCAGAGACATTCGGAGATTTCTGGAGGATGGTTTGGGAACAAAGGACTGGAACTATAGTTATGATGACCCGCCTAGAAGAAAGGTCAAGGGTAAGAGGCTATCTTGTATGAGTAAATTGTGAACATATACAGTTTCATTTGTCAATGGTTTATATAGGTCTTTTGTACAACAAAAATAATGCTTGAACAAATCAGAACGTTATCTCTAACTTGATTTTACTTATTTAGTTTTTTTCTCTCTGTCCAGATTAAGTGTGACCAGTACTGGCCCCACCGTGGTGCTGAGACTTATGGAGTGATGCAGGTTCTCCTCGTGGACGTCACAGAACTGTCTACTTACACCATTAGGACCTTCCATATATCCAGGGTAGGAAAACTGCAGCTAAAACTTTCATCAAGTCTTATACATCAGAACAGATAATTATTACTGGAACAGCTCTCTCTGAAATTCTGCTTAACTGCCCCCCCCCCCCCCCCCCCCACCCCTTTCCAAAAAAAAAAATGATTAAACTAATTCTAACTAAAAAATCTTTCTAGACTTGCAGGTAGTAATAGTATGGGTTCAAATTAGTATAAAAGAGAATGCATTTTACAATGACAAAAGTATACAATTGTATGACAAAAGAATATTGACTAGTGTAATACATGTACAATTGATATTTTCAGTATGGGTATCCTGAGAAGCGTGAAGTTAGACAGTTCCAGTTCACCGCATGGCCAGACCATGGCGTCCCTGATCATCCCACCCCTCTCCTGATGTTCATGAGGAGAGTGAAGGCCAGTAACCCCCCTGATGCAGGCCCCTTAATCGTTCACTGCAGGTATGCAGGGAATGCACATGTTCATATGTACATGTAGACATAGTAAAAAATGGCTTAAAACAAAGATGTTTTGAAATAATAATCAGTTTCAATAGAAACTGGAAAAAAATGTTTGTGAAGCAGATCATGCACTGCACATCAATTATAAACATAAACTTATCACTAGTTTTAGTGCCATATTTATTTTATTAAACAATGTTAAATTTTTACCTTGCTAGTGCTGGAGTTGGACGCACAGGTGCTTTTATTGTCATTGATGCCATGCTGGAACGCATTAAACATGAAAAGACAGTGGACATTTATGGTCATGTGACCTGTTTACGAGCTCAGCGTAACTATATGGTTCAGACAGAGGACCAGTACATCTTCATTCATGATGCTCTACTTGAGGCGGTAACATGTGGAAATACGGAGGTTCCTGCCCGCAATCTGTCGGTTCACATTCAGAAACTGATGCAGCCGGAACCAGGAGAAACTGTCACGGGAATGGAGTTAGAATTCAAGGCAAGTCCTCAGCATACATGTCTATTTCTTCATTAAAAAATGTAAATTAAAATCTGGTAAACAGTCACTTTTTGGTTTTGTAAATGGTATGTGTGCAGAGATGTATTTTTAATTGTTGGGGGGTTTTTTCTTGCAGAGATTAGCAAATATGAAGGCTAGTCCCAACCGCTTTGTTAGTGCAAATCTTCCTGTGAACAAATTCAAAAACAGGCTTGTTAATATATTACCTTGTAAGTATCAGAAGCAGTGTTTTTGTTTACTATGAAATTAAGCATTGCTTGTGAGAAAAAAAAGAAATCTTACTCTATTTTTTTTTCTTCCAGTTGAATCCACAAGAGTAGCATTACAACCTATTCGGGGTGTAGATGGCTCTGATTATATCAATGCAAGCTTCATAGATGTAAGTTTTTCATTTTCAACACCTGTGTTTTTTTTGTTTTTTCAAAAAAGAAAAGTAACTTTATAGGCTAGAAAGCTTAAGCACATTACCTTTTAAGTTTGAGTAGTTCATGACTCATTTCTGTGTTGCTCCAGGGTTACAAATATCGCCAGGCCTACATAGCCACACAAGGATGTTTAGCAGAGACCACCGAGGATTTCTGGAGAATGCTCTGGGAACACAACTCCACAATCATAGTCATGCTCACAAAACTTAGAGAAATGGGCAGAGTAAGTGCAGTATAACATCCATCCATCTCTAAACAATGCCAAATAAATTTATAACATCCAGGCACAATGCCAAAATAATTTTTAAAGAGTGACCAGCAGCAGGATTTCAGTTATTTCCCTGCTGGAGTTGTACATAAAGAATTTTTTGGTGAATGATGATGGCAGAAAAATGTCAGATGATTTAATATGTCCTCTATTTATCCAGGAGAAATGCCACCAATACTGGCCCAGTGAGAGGTCCGCTCGATATCAGTATTTTGTCGTCGATCCCATGGCAGAGTATAACATGCCTCAGTATATTCTGAGGGAGTTTAAAGTCACAGATGCAAGGGTAAGTTCACCAGTGAAAATCCAAATACAAAACAATCAAATATAGATAAATGATTTTTCGGGGGAAGGGGGGTCATAGTTGATATTCAAATTAAAGGAAAAATTGAAGAATTATTTGGAATAACAAAATTATCCACGTAAAACTTGCCATTTAGAATGGTGCATAACATTACAAAGATTCTTATTTATAATGTGATGTGGTATTCTTTATGGTTGTGTTGAGTTGTAATGCACTAGGTGATTGATGTTAACATTTTGTTGACAGGATGGACAGTCCAGAACTATCCGTCAGTTCCAGTTCACTGATTGGCCCGAGCAAGGTGTTCCGAAGTCTGGGGATGGTTTCATTGATTTCATTGGTCAAGTTCACAAAACAAAGGAACAGTTCGGACAAGAGGGACCCATTACTGTCCACTGCAGGTAGGAAACAATCATTTAGATCATCCAGGTGAATTGCTGTCAAAAAATTATGATTCGTTTAATACAAATTGGGAATATCCCTTGGCTTTCTACGCAAGAACTGGAATGTACAATGAATAATAAGCTACAGTTAGTAATCTTAGTATTACCTGGATATTTATGTATCCATTGGGAATGAAATATGCATTGAATTGCCCTTGGCTCTAGAACACAATTTTGATGTGTTTTTAAATTTTTTTTTCAGTGCCGGAGTGGGCCGGACAGGAGTGTTCATCACCCTCAGTATAGTGCTTGAGAGAATGAGGTATGAAGGAGTTGTCGACATGTTTCAAACCGTCAAGATGCTGCGAACGCAACGACCGGCCATGGTGCAAACAGAGGTACGTCCGAAAAAAGTACAGTCAGACCTCATTATCTCAAACTCTTGGGAAGGTGGGAAAACTTTGAGATATCCAAGGATTTGAGATATTGAGGTTAAATAAAATATATATAAAGTGCTCGGAACATCTAACTTACTTCAACATAAAAATGATATTCAAGATATTGATGTTTGAGATATCAATGTTCAACTGAATTAAATCAGATATTTCCTATAAAGATTTATTAACAAGTACTGTAAAAGTCTTTACTACGTTTTTGAAATTTCACATTTTCCAAGGTTGGTAGATTTCATGGTAGTTTAAAATCATAGTCATTAAAATTCTCATTATAAAATAATACTATTTAAAAAAATTTCTTTAAAAAAATAAAGAAAGTTATTGGAAATAACTTACCTATGTAACAAACTAGTGCAGTAACCAAGTAAGCTGTTGCAATTAAAAGAGGTTTCTATTAAAATTATTTGCAATGTGAATCGCTACTTACTACCTACCTTGGTAGTCAATATTTTGATAATACAGAGTATGAAAACGGGGTTTTAAAGTTCATGCCACATATTAAATATATATAAGCAACATCAGTATGTCCACAATATTCACAATGGCTTAATGTTCACTGAAAATTCAAACTGAAATTTGAAGCAGTGTAATGTATTCCACTTTAACAGTAATTAAATCAGCATACAACCAAGAGAATTTAATCATGCAAGACAACTAGCTGTCATATAGAAGCATATCCAGTTCTCTTCAGTATTTGAACTTTTTTTAATTTCTTTTTTTTAGGACCAATATCAGTTTTGTTATAGAGCTGCCTTTGAGTACCTGGGATCATTTGACCACTATGCAACGTAGAGACAAGTTAATCATAGCGTTGTGAATTACTTCAACAAGCAAATTGGTTTTCTGTGGAGGAAAAACCTGAACAGTTTGCTAGGTAGCCAGAGGCACGAGAATCCCTGTCAGCTCTATGTTTATATGTGCAATAACATTTAGTTAGAATTATCCATTCTTTCTGTGATGTCCTTGGTGTGCAAGTGGCCAGTACAGGAAGGTTATGGAAAACATAAATCATGTTGACATCTGTGTTGCCAAAGAAATAAACTGATTTCTGGTCTGCTTCTCTGAAATAGAGAAGATTAGTCCAAACTGTGATTTTTTTTTTTTCATCATTAGCCATGGTGCTTGTGCGTGTGTTATTGTTCTAGAGACTGCTTCCATAATATCGTGTCCAAAATGTATGCATTGTGTCGACGTTTCTCTAGAGAAGTGAAAACTACATTACTTTAGAAGGGGTTATTACTCTTAGTTAACAAAAACAACCAGTTTTCTGGTTTTTCGCTCGCTGTGTTTGTGCGATATTTTTTCATGTTGCAAAATGTCATGGCTCAGACATTTTTTCTAACTGCTCAATGTCCCAGAAAATTCCAAACATCACAAGCCATGTCACTGAACTTTTTTCACAATTTGTGAGCTATAACATGAAATTGAAATGTTTTTATTAAAGGAAATCTGAAGGATATTGTGGGTAATATTTATTTTTCATTTTTTTCTTTATACTATGATGTGATAGATGGCCAGATTATCATGCAAGCACATCTGATTGTCATTCTAGATAATCAAGAATATAATTGTGTTTAATATGTGAGAACAAATATGTGTTGCTTTATAGTGTGAGATGATTTTGTACATTTTTGTATCTATGTTTTTGGACAGAAGAAAAAAGTGCTTGTTTATTTAAAAGGACGTCCCTAAACTCTTAGCACCCTGTACAGGCATAATAATGGAAACACCCTGTACAGGCATAATAATGAAACACCCTGTACAGGCATAATAATGAAACAATGTGGTTCTGATGTCTGTAAAAATGGTAGTTCTGTTGTGTTTTTATGTGCTATTTGAAAAAAAAAATTCTCTCAACAAAAGTTGAAACACAGTTGATTGAACTACAGCAAATCAAGTTAAATCTTACATGTATATGTTTTTGTTGTACTGTCTTTTAAAACAAAGGCTTGAAAGTATAAAGATATTTAATTTTATGATAAGATTGCTAACTTATGTATATATTTAAAAAAATACATGTACATTGAAGACAATTTTTCCCACCTACTGATAGTATTGAGGCATATTTTATTGTATAGATATACTTAATGTTCATTGTACACGACATGGCATTATAATTAGACCAAGGATCATTTCATTCATCATCATCTATTATCCATATACATCACATATTCAATGACCATATTAAATGTTGACGTTTTAAATGTTAAAAAAAGTTGATCTGTGATGAATTCCTTATTGAGTGGTATTTTTTTCCTTAGAACTTCAGGGACATGGTATTTTGGTATTAATTGAATTATTTCTACACACGGAATTAATTTCCAAACTATATTGTACATTATATTTAATAAGACTTTAAAGAATTTATTATCGTATTGCGTACACAGAAAAAAATTATGTAAAAACTGAATGCAGCTTTCTTCTTCTCTGTTGCATTCTTTAATTTAAAAAAAAAGTCAGCTTCATTTAGAGAATTCAGCGTAGGACTTAAGTTTGCATCATGTGGTAGAGTTCAACTTTAGGCTTCATGGGTATTGTATAGAAACTTTTATGAACATGTTCCTATTTCTTAAAGTGTTGTACATTTTAAACTTGATGAAACAACACTGTCTTCTTTTAACTGCATTGCAGTTAAATGAAAATAACTCAGCTGGTATCAGATTTCAAGATTTCAATAAACAGGAGTATAAAAATTTAAATAAGGGGTTAAATTCAATGATATTTAGAAGTTCAGTAGACCAATTTGAAACACGAAACATGACATTCAACACCTAGCTCCATGTTCATGTAAAAGCTGTATATATATATATAGAAAAGCACCCTCACTTTCATGTAGATTCTAAATGTCTCAATGTATGTACATGTATGTCTGCTTGTTATATTTCTTTACATTGCTTAACTGTAAGAATCTCAATCTAAATCCATATACAATATGTTATTAGACTAGATAAAGAGTATTCTTAATGTTCTACAAAAGTCATCTACCAATGGTTCTCATTTTTTCGATTGATTTTTTTTTCACATAAAGTTGATTAAAGATTGTAAAAATTAATGTGAATTAAACAGCTTTAAGTCACTATTTTTTCCTCTTGTATTTTCACTGCTATTTATTCTACAAGATATGCTAGACATTGTTAAAATTGGTATTTCATTAGATCTACCCAGACCATTACTGTCTGATCCTGTGCATTGTTGTCCTGTACAATACTGCTGAGATGTTGTGTTACTTTGATCTGATCAGAAGTATTCAGTCATAAATAAAGACATATTACTGACATTGTCACACATTGCAGTGTTTTCTTTCCTGAGGATGTCGGTAATAGATTGAAAAGATAACAGGATTGGTATTCCATTTAATTTTTTATTTTTAGTAACCATGGCAACATCATTTGTTAAAATCCAAAAATGATGTACTGGATTATGTATCTTAGTGAAATTCTTTGAAATCCCTAATTTAGTAACCCTGGCAATACCGTTCATGGAAATCAAAAACTCATAACAGAGTAATGTGTCTGAGTATTGTCTGCTTCAAAACCTTCGAGGAACTTTTAGGAAATTTGAAATCACAAAACTTTTAATCACATTAAAACGTACAACTTTTCAACACTATACAACCATTCCCTACAAAAAATTTAAGCCCAGACTTTTTGACATCATAGCTGCTTATTCAATGAAAATGGAACTCGTAAATATACTTACTGTTGCATTGGTCATTTGCAAATTTATTTCGTTAAAACATTCTGATTGTACACACAAGTGCTCTGAAGTTGATATTAAAGAGATGCTTGAGTTTCTGATTGACAGTATCTAGATCTTTGTAGTTTTTGGAGATCAGGTCTTCCAATAATCTGTTGGAATTCCCATGGGTACCAATTGCGCCCTGTTATTAGCAGACCTTTTTTTGTATTCATTTGAAGCAGAATTTATTCAAAAACTTCAAAATGACAAGAAGAAAACACTTGTTGTGGCCTTCAACTCGACATTTCGATGTATCGACAACGTATTATCTATTAACAATGGTTACTTTCATTCATATGTCAACTCCTTATATCCCAATGAGCTTGAAATAAAAGATACGTCAGAGTCTGACACATCTGTTTCATACTTGGATATTTTACTAGAAAATGACATTAATGGTAACCTAATGACAAAGCTTTATGAAAAAGGTGATGACTTCAACTTTTCAATTGTAGACTTCCCTTACTTACATAGCAATATACTATTATCACCTGTATATATGGGCTTTATGTCTCTCAGCTGATTCGATGCGCAAGAGCATGCTCTGTATAAACAATTTCTAAAACGAAGCAAGTTATTGACAAACAAGTTGAAACAAGGTTATCAACAGTCTCGTTTGAAATCATCATTTCGCAAGTTTTATGGTCGATACAATGACATTGTCAGCACATACAACCTATCAAGTCAAATACTCACTGACGTTTTTCATACTTATTGTTAGGCCATTATTTACGCACTGAATTGCCTGTGTTATTTTTTTAGCTCACCTGAGCCGAAGGCTCAAGTAAGCATTTGTCCGTTGTCTGTCGTTGTCGGCGTTGTCGTTGTAAACTTTTCACAATTTCATTTTCTTCTCCAAAACTACTGGGCCAATTTCAACCAAACTTGCCACAAGAGTATCCTTGGGTGAAGGGGATTCAAGTGAAGGGCCACGTCCTCCTCCAAGGGGAGATAATTACGAAATAGCGAAAAATAAATGGCATCATTGAAAAATCTTCTTCTCAAGAACCAATGGGCCAGGAAATATGATACTCAGGTGGAATCATTGTCAGGTAGTGTAGATTCAAGTTTGTTCAAATCATGACCCCGGGGTAGGGTGGAGCCATAATGGACGATCAAAGTTTAACGTAGGAGTATATAGGAAAAATCTTCAAAAATCTTCTTCTCAAGAACAGCAAAGCTGTGATTGGTCATATCTATATGGAAGCATCTGCAGGTGGTGTAGATTCAAGTATGTTCAAATCATGACCCTCGGGGGTAGGGTGGGGCCACAATGGACAATCAAAGTTTAACATAGGAGTATATAGGAAAAATCTTAAAAATTCTTCTTCTGAAGAACAGCAAAGCCATGATTGGTCATATTTATATGGAAGCATCTGCAGGTAGTGTAGATTCAAGTATGTTCAAATCATGACCCTCGGGGGTAGGGTGGGGCCACAATCGGTGAAAGTTTTCTGCAGGTCGTGTAGGTTCAAATCTGTTCAAATCATGACCCCTTGGGGTAGGGTGGAGCCATAATGGACGAACAAAGTTTAACACAGGAGTATATAGGAAAAATCTTCAAAAATCTTCTTCTCAAGAACAGCAAAGCTATGATTGGTCATATTTATATGGAAGCATCCTCAGGTGGTGTAGAATCAAGTTTGTTCAAATCATGACCCCCGGGGGTAGGGTGGGGCCACAATGGACGATCAAAGTTTAACATAAGCGTATACAGGAAACATCTTAAAAATTCTTCTTCTGAAGAACAGCAAAGCCATGATTGGTCATATTTATGTGGAAGCATCTGCAGGTGGTGTAGAATCAAGTCTGTTCAAATCATGACCCCCGGGGATAGGGTGGGGCCACAATGGGCGTCCAAAATTTTACACAGGAATACATAGGAAAAGTCTTTAAAATTCTTCTTCTCAAGAACAGCAAAGCCATGATTGGTCATATTTACATGGAAGCATCCTGAGATAATGTAGATTCAAGTTTGTTCAAATCATGACCCCCTGGGGGTAGGGTGGGGCCACAATGAAAGTTCAAACTTGTAGGAAAAAAGGTCACAGCTAGTAAAAACAAAAAAAGCATCCTTAGTGTAGATTCAATTTTGTTCAAATCATACCCCCTCCCTTTTAGGGGTAGGTCGGGACCACTTATGCATTTAAGTTTTCAATACTAAACTGATTTTTGCTTTTTCCTTACCACAGTGCTCAGGTGAGCGATGTGGCCCCTGGGCCTTTTGTTTCCGTTTTTCTCGATCATGACAAGCACATGGCGGGTGTGACCGGTTGAGAGGGGATGCTCACTTCTCCATGGCACTTGATCCCACCTCTGATGTTTTTGGAGGTCCGTGTTTGCTCTGTATTGTTTCAACGGACTTTGAGAGCTTGAATACTGTTTTTTATCACCATATTTCATACAACCATTTTCCACGATACATCATAGACAGCTGCTTTTTCAATAAAAAATGGAACTCTTAAATTTACATACCTTATTAGTGTTCATCTGCAAAATTATTTTGTTTAAAAAAGTCTGATTGTACACACAAGTACTCTGAAATTGATATTAAAAAGATGTTTGAGTTTCTAACTGACGATATCTATGTAGTTTTGGAGATCAAGTCTTCAAACAAAATGTTGGAATTTTCATGGGTACTAATAATGCGCCCCGTTATTAACAAATCTATTTTTGTATTCATATGAAGCTAAATTTATTCAAAACCTTCTATATATGAAAAGACATTTAAATATATCGACGGCATTTTATCGGTTAACAATATTCACTCTTACATTGATTTTATATTTTTCCTTGAACTCGAAATAAAAGACACCATAGAAACTGACATAACTGTTTCATATATGGATATTTTACTACAAAAAAGATATTAATTAATGGCAACTTAATAACAAAACTTTATAATAAAGGTGATGACTTCAATTTTTCTATCGTCAACTCCCCTTATTTATGTAGTGATATACCATTATCACCTGCACATGCAGTTAACGTCTCCCAGTCGATTCGATACGCAAGAGTATGCTCTACGTACAACAATTCCCAAAACGAGGCAAGCTATTGACAAATAAGTTGATGATATAAAAATATCAATGGTCCCGTTTAAAGTCAACAGTCTGCAAATCCTATGATCTATACAATGGTATTGTTAGCAAATTCAAACTATCGTTAAGACTAATGTTGACTGATGTTTTTCATACAAATTGTTAGGATATTATTTTTACACTGAATTCTCTATGGATTTTTCCGTTTGCCCGATCATGAAAAGGGGTGCACGGCGGATATGACCGGTCACAGTGAATGCTTACTCCTCCATGGAACCTGATCCTACCTCTGATGATTTTGGAGGTCAGTGTTTACTCTGTTCACAATTTATGTTGTTCCTACGGACTTCTGAGCTTGATTACTGTCCTTCATATTTACCTTCATGCCTCATATTTCTGTGTGTCAATTTCTCTGGAATCAGATCGAAACTGTGGGGAAAGTAGCTTTGTGAAAGAATTTCACGATTTTTTGAAAAACAAAAATTAGCAACCATGGCAACAACGCCTATCAGAATCAAAAACTGAAAAACAGAATTATGTATCTTTGTGTAGTATCCATGTGCACCTAGTTATGAAGCGTTTTGAAAAAAAAAAGAGTTTTCATTTACAGTAAAAATAGCAACAACTCTCTTAAAAATAAAAGCCGATAGACAGAATAATGTATCTTTAATTATTTTACTTGTGTACCCAGTTATATTGAAATGATTTATTGAATCCTCTCCATCAGGGTCCAACCAAACAGAATTTTATTTGACATTTAAATTTCATTTATATTGTGAAACCATAATACCAATTAAAGGTTAGGGGTTTTTACATACGGTTGTTACGGTGATTATTCCAAAAATAATGAGACCTTTTGGTAATTTGAGGGCTGCAGAAAATGTCAACTTTAAATGCTCATATCTGCTAAACCAGTACAGATATAAGAAGATTTCTGTGTGTAATTAGATAAACAAATTCTATTCAAAACTGAAGAAGCATGTTTCTGAGTCTTTCTTTCTCTGGCGAGGGTAACCATGCAAGTAAAGACTACGGTCTTATAACTGCCATGATCTATTATCATGTAATCTTGTGTTCTGATTCAGAATGTTAACAGAAGCTTGCTCATCTATTTTAGCAGGCTATCAATTTAAACGTAAGAAATAATAAAGATTTAGCAGAAACAATCGAAAGTCAAGTTTAGAGAGAAGAATGCATTTAGTTATTTTTCTACAAATAGCCTAAAATAAGAACAAAATAAACAGCTTGATAACCAATAACTTCTTACTTTATTAGATAAACAATAACCTGCTTCTTTTCGTTCGACATTGAATTGAACATTTCCACCAAGCAAGGTCCTTGCTACTTGCACAACCTTTTTCAACGCTGCTTGTTTAATCAAAGCACAGACACAACAAAATTAGTATAGATACAAATTGATTTAAATTGTACTATTTATTAAAAAAAAAAACACACTACTATGTTTAAATGCAGTAAATATTGCGTTTAAACGCAAAACCTTGCGTTTAATCGCAATAATAATCGCGTTTAAAACTTTAAATGCAAAAGATCGCGTTAATTTTGTGTTTTAAAATTGCAAAGGAATGCGATTAAACGCAATCTTTTGCATTTAAACGCAATAATTTTGCAATTAAACGCAATACCTTTTTTCCGATTAAACGCAATACTTTTTTGTATTGTCACTTAAACGCAATGATTTTGCGATTAGGCACCTTTCATTTACTAGATCTTGACTTTAAGACAAAGGAAAAAAAATTATTGCGCTTAAACGCAATAACGTTTGTGTTTAAAAGCAATAATTTTGGCGTTTATTATAAAAGATTGCGTTTAAAAGCAATCTTAACGTAGGTCGCGGGGTTGGTGACCTTTTAAAATTGCTCGAAAACATACCATGAAAATTACATATATGAATCTCCTACTTTTGTTGTACATTCTCTGAAAATTTTAAAAAAAATTCGTCTGCATCGTTCTTGCGTTATTAAATCCCAAACATGCCATCGTTGTCGTAACATTTTCGACGCTGTTCTATTGAATTCTATAGGGAAAACGTCATTTTTGACTCGTTTTCAGGAAAGATTTATTTTTAAAAAATCTCAGTAACTTTTAAATGGTGCAGACGAAATTGTTTCCCTTTTGGTTGTTTCACACAGAGATGATTTCAGATAAATCAATGTAAAAAAATTAATATGTCTTCGAGTTAGTTTTCTAGTAATTTAAATGCGAATAATTGCTTTGATATAGCAAAATGTAACATTTTTAAGAATGACGCTATAAACTATCACGACGTCACACTTAACGTCGTGAATACGGTCCGGTATAAAGTGCAGAAAAACAAAGAGAAGAAAGAAATTTATGTTTATATATATTTAATGTAAATTTATATTTAAAATAAGCACAGATGTATGAGTTATGTAACAGTGAGAGAGAGAAGGCTGAAAGGGGGGAAGGGGGGGGGGGGGCTTGCAGGTGCAGTACTCATAGCGTGATTCAGAGACTTTTTTCTTACAAGAATAGGGGAGCCAATATTAATTAAAGAATAAAATTAGAAAAAAAAGTTCAAAATTTTCTGACAAGAAAATGGGTAATCGCCAAAACGTTAGAGAAGAGAAAATGTTGAGTGGTTGGGTACAACTATTATTCGGGAGCAAATGTGGTAGGGAATGAGTATAGTAAATAATCTTTTCTCAACAAATACATATCTATTCTCTGTCGAGTTGAAATGATACATGTTATATGTCCGATTCGAAGACTAATTTTCGTTTCATTTTGCTTGATATAAATCCTAAATAAGTAATCTTCATGAGCACCAGCTGAAGTGCTAACAAATAGACTTTTTCTTAATTCAATACTGATAAACGAAGTTTGGACCTCCAACTCACTTGTATTCTAGATGTAATTTGCTTCCGATGCCTGTGATACATATATCAAGTGCTTTCAAATGACACGTATACGAAATTTTCACATTAGTAATGCTTATACGAGTATACACGCCGCATACAACTGCCCTTTTAACAGGACAGTATCACCACATATCGTCGTGCAGCGTTTTTCCAAATAAAATTCCATTCTGATAAATTGGTAAATTTAAAAAAAAAAGGTACCAAGAACTACTCGTGTTTTGTATGAAAAGATCGCAAATTTTCACCGAACTTTGTCATATTTTGAGCACGAATTCCTCGTAAGTCTGCCAGCGATCTTTTTTAATCAGGTGAAATAACACACAAGTACCTCTAGCTCCGAGACGTTGTAATTTTGGAGCTTTAATTTCTTCGTCGCAATACTTTTACTTTATTCAAATCTTTCTATGATAAAAGATGTATCTAAATCTTGTTAAACATCATTGCCTTAATCTCTATACATATCTGTATTTCTATGGTACATTTACACTTGCATTCCTCGCCGTTTTTTTTTTTTAAATTCTTCACTCGGTTTTTCGCATACAAATAGGGGATACCTCCCAAACTTTTACATTGATTTTATAATTAAATACTTCTGAAAAGAATTTTAAAAAGGCCATAAAAAGCCATCGGACCACAGGTGCTTGAGGACAGACCCCCCCCCCCCCCCCCATATAGACCTCGGGCCTGTTCGACTTTTTCCTCATAAATTATATATGAATGACACATTTGTGATATAATCTATATCATCAATTCGGAAAAATTGGCTTAAACAAACATTTTATAAAAATTACTACCCTACTCTATGTATATAAATATATAGAGAGTGGGGTAGATTTTGTAAAATGTTTGTTTTAGGTAATTTTTCCAGTTGTTGGTATAGATTACATTGTATATCACAAATATGTTATTGAAAGATAATTTATGAGAAAAAAGTCGAAAAGGTCCGGGGGTCTATATTGGGGGGAGGGGGGGGGGCTGTCCTCAAGCACCTGTGCATCGTACGAAACACTTTGAGAGAGAGGTAAATGGAAATGAAAATCTAAAAATTAATTCTATCTCGCCTTATCAACAGGCTACAATTAACTACCCAGATTTTTTTTTTTTTTTGTTCTGTTTTGCGACTTTTCAATTTATAGGGCAACTTGCTCGACCGGGAGAGCAAATTAGATAAATTCTGAAGCTGTTACTTATAGAAGGTCTGTGTCGTTTTTATGCTTTATGTTTCATATCTGAGCAGTTTTTCAATTGTGATATATATATACATGTATTTTTAAAATCTCCTTTTTAAAAATAAAGTTTAAACTTTTGATATAACAGCTGTAATTGCAGTTGTTTATATAATGACGGTTTATCAGTGTAACAAACTTTTAATTAAAATACGTCAAAGGAAAGAAAAATAATCATGCAGTTGACACTTGATTAGTTGTTCCATATCTTTTCGTGATACTGTTGTGGTCTCAAAGTGATGATAAATAAACGCTTTCGATGTTCGAACATTAAAAAATCGTTAAAAAGTTTTCTGTCAGTGATAACTTCTGTTTGTTGTATTGAAGTTAAAAAATGTTTTACTCACTGTGACGTCATAATCAAATGTGCACAAGAAAGTCGACCAAATCATGTAAATTGCGTACTCAGTTTTAACGACGTCAGCAAATCCGCGACCTACGTTAAAATGTGATTAAACGCGAAGTACATTGATTGCGTTTCAACGCAATAATTTTGTGATTAAACGCAAAGTGTTTTGTGTTTAAACGCAATATACATTGCGATTAAACGCAATCTTTTGCGTTTAAACTTAATGATTAATGCGTTTAAACGCAATAACAAAAACTTCTTTCTCTGAACTGGCCTTAACGGGCTTTCGTATTTATTGCTCTGTAAGGCTTTGTTTTTCTTAAAACACAAAATTTAGAAACTCGGCCTTATAAACTTTCTGAATCTACGATTTATAAAAAAAAAAAGTACCCAAGAAGTTGACAAATTCATTGCATTTCTGCACGTAGGCATAGGGGGTTTGGCCTGATAACTACTGCTCCCTAGTAATCGAATTAAATTTTTCCTCCTCTTCATCTTAGATTTGCTAAGATCACGAATCATGTCATCAATATATATAAAATATAATTCATGTATATACAATACATTGATAAATGAATTTTTCCCCTGGGACTTGCAATTAAACTAGAAAGGGGAATCGAGAATAAGTTTCATCAATTATTCTGTTAATGGATCTATAGTATCGGGGAATTAATTCAGGCTGTAGCGGCACACTTATGTGATCATTATTCTCTTGTTTTGAGAGGGACTGGGATATCTGATATCTGATAAAAACTTGTCAAACAATATGGAATTAATTTCTAGGAAATTTGATATATGTTGCGTTTTTATAGTTGCCTTAGTGAGTGGAACTACTGGTCAGAATGTACCGGAGAAACCTACAGGTTGGTCTCAAAATTAGAGGCTTCTATAAAGATATCTATTTTCGAAAATTGCGTAATCCTAACTTGAAGAATATTGCAAATTCATTTTTCAATGAAAAAAAAGGTGAAGTCAGCGAAGAGAGATAGATCTTAAAAAACCTACAAACAATACAAATCTGTGAACAAATCTTCTAATAAGTCACTTAGTTATTTCAATTCCCAATCAAAAAAATGTGTTGAATTTGAATTTTCATGGTTTACATTAACGACTATTCAATGACCAAACATTCTAAAAAAAAGAAAAAAGAAAAAGGTCATGGGTAATTTTGTTAAAAAAAATAAAGCCATGTGATATTTTCCCAAGGATCCTAAACAAAAAAAATAACTTTCAATATTATAGTGACGGACAAGGTCATTCTTAAAGACTAGAATTTATGGGTTTCTTGTTTGAAGGGGAACTAGACGCGGTGAAATTCAATTTGTAATTTGCCAGGCATTTGTAAAAATTCTAAATTTTATGCAATCTCATTAAAATGTAAGACAAAAAATTACTTTTACTAACAAATGGAAAACCCACAAAAGTGTCTAACTTTTTTTTGCATGGCTTGAATTTGATGGAAATTTCATTTTCTTAAAATAAATGCCTGAAATAATAGTATTGCAATACTCTCAGAATGTTTTTTTTAAAATAAGAATACTAGACATCAACTCGTGCACGCACGGGTTGAGAAAGATGCTAATGTTTGATGAAAATGAAGTGAAAGTCACAGGAGATGAAGTTTTTAGAAAAGGAAATGGGGAGTGAATACGGGGGGGGGGGGTAATACAGAAATACTTTATTGATGTACATCTTTTATTGCTGTCAATCAGAGTGCAGGTATTCGGGGTTATGACAAGGATTATATAATTATATGTAATCCGTATGTTCATGTACTGTGAAGAATAAAGAAACTGGTAATCAAAGATTACAGAGCTTACCTCAACAAATGTTATCTTTAAGAAGGGGAAAATCTCATTCTAAACTAATGATCTAGTTGTGTGTATCCCTAGATGCAACATAAAGTTTATGTGATTTTGGTCCAGATAAGGCTTGTAGTTACTTGAGAATGAAGCTTAACCTGGTCAATCATCCAGAAAGTGCACTTCACATCCAGCATCAGAGGTAGGTCTGGTAGTGTGTAATCAATTTGTAGTCAATGAAGTGCTTTAAAAATGGAATTTAATAAACCTGCTCCAAAACTGATAACTCGGTTACTTGTCCAGAAATATAGGTCAAATCCAGCATCCAAAGGAAGTCTGGTAGTGTGCATCCCGAGATACCTCATTCATGAAAATTTGGTCCAAGTAGGGCTTGAATTTACACTGAAATGAATCTGCAGATAGGGTCTTGAGGTTACACTGGAATATGAACCTGCTCCAAAATGCTTACTGGTCATTCATGCATCTGAAGTAAATCTGAGTGTGTTCATCCCTTGATGCATGATCCTTGCAAGTTTGGTCTACGGAGGGGTTGGAGTTGCACTGGAATTAATGAACTGCTCCAAAAACTTTGACTTGGTCACTTATCCAGAAATTGTAGGTCAAATCCAGTTTTTATAAGAATATTCTTGTGCACCATAGCAGGAATAATCATAATTTCAATCCATTTCTTCAACTATTGTGGAATTTATTACAAATTTTGTGGTTACTACTTAACTGTTGAGTGTAAAGTGTATGTAATTCCACAAAAGATTGAAAAAAAATTCTTAGAGATTATAGTCTACAGACAGGCAGATAACCTGATGGCCTGATGGACAAAGTGATTTCAGTGTACCCCCAAAGCTTCGTTTGCGGGGGTAACACTATATTAGGGTGTATGGTGCCTTAGATGTCTTAAGAGGACAGATGTGTCCGTATTCCTATAATCTGGGAGTATGCAGTGTCTCAAAAGTGATGCCCACCAATTAAGAAAACTGAAAATTTTTCTATGATTTCCCATTGCATTTTGTAGCTGCGCCACAAATTACTCGAGAAGTTCGGGACCTGTTCGTGGTTGAAAAACTAGTTGTCAGTTTTGTTTGTAAAGCTTCTGGAAATCCACAGCCTACATTTCATTGGGAAAAAGATGGGAAAAAGTTGAACACAAGGACGAACAGATTCAACGTATTTGACATGCCGTATGGTAGCGTGTTGAGAATGGAGACCGTGCGGAATAGTGACAGTGGTAGTACCTTTACCTGTGTGGCTGAGAATGGTGTGGGGGATCCAGCGAAGAGTACTGGGCTTCTGAAGGTTTACAGGGAATACGGTAAGAAGATGTTACTGTAAAAGTCAATGCCCGTAAAAAGTGGACACACAACATCACAACTTTCAAACCACACAGTCATTGTGATGTTGTTTGTCCACTACTCTCTTCACCTCATACTTTTAGAGACAGTTGGGTTTTGGAGGAAATTGTTAAAAGGTAGGTCCCTACTCGTGATAATATGATGTTAACATTTAACTATACAATTTTTTTTCTGGTTAATATCAAGGAATTCTTAATGTTCTTCAAAACAACCTTTAAAAAAATCGTATATACTAGTATGCACCAGTAATCAATATTCTTGCTGAGGTAGGGTTTGAATCACTCATAAGCTCTCTTGTATCCATATATGAATATGCAATCATTTCCAAAATTTGTGGATTCACTTTTAGCTCACCTGAGCCAAAGGCTAATGTGAGCTTTTCTGATCGAAATTTGTCCTTTGCCTGTCGTCGTCGTTGTCGTCGTAAACTTTTCCCATTTTCATTTTCTTCTCAAGAACCACAGGGCCAGTTTCAACAAAACTTGCCACAAAGAATCCTTTCAAGGGGAGATAATTCAGAAATACATGTAGTGAAAATTTGGTGGCATCTTTTAAAAATATTCATCTCGAGAACCACTGGGCCAAAAATTTCTAAGTTATAGGAAACCTTCTTTACCTAGGCTAGATTCAAGTTTGTTCAAATGATGACTCCGGGGGTAGGGTAGGGCCACAATGGGGGATCAAAGTTTTACCTTGGAATAAATAGGAAAAAAATCTTTAAAAACCTTCTTCTCCAGAACAGCAAAACCATAATAAGTCATATTGTTATGGAAGCATCCTCAGGTAGTTTAGATTCAAGTTTGTACAAATGATGACCCCCGGGGGTAGGCTGGAGCCACAATGGGGATTAAAGTTTTACACTGGAATGAATAGAAAACAATCTTTAAAATTTTCTTCTTACGAACATCATATACTGATATGGAAGCATCCTCATGTAGATTCAAAATTTGTTCAAATGATGACCCCTGGGGGTAAGGTAGATCCACAATTGGGGATCAAAGTTTTACATAGGAGTATATAGGAAAATATCTTTAGAAATCTTTTGTTCAAGAACAGCAAAGCCAATAGCTATATTGATATAGAAGCATCTTCAAGTTTGCCAACCCCAACCCCCAAACCCCCCTTACGTTAACTTTTTCAATATACTGAACCGATTTGTGCTTTTTCTTTTCTTTTTGAAAGAAAGTTTTGAAAGACAATTTATGGCTAATAAATAAAGTATAAAATATCGTTAGATAAATGAAAATATATGATAAAATTAATTTTTTTATAATTCATGAGGCACCTAGGCCTGTATATTAATCATTGAGCACTTCATGAAACATGCTATTAAAAGAAAGAGGGTTGTTCATGTCATCATAAATTATCAAAAAATCTTCATTTCTAAAGTGAACCTAACCTAAGCGTATGTATACGTATTGGAAGGGAGGGGTTCCATCAAAACATTTGAATGCATCAATGGTAAATATACGGTAAATGAGATGAGAACACCTGACAAGTTAAAGTTTTTTTTAAAGTAATTATGCTAAATGAGGAAACCTATTTCTGGTAATTGCATTTCAATTTAGTACGGTATATGCAAAATTACATCTTCAAATGATAAAGTTCCTGTGTCTCTCAATTTAGGACATTTGTTCGACACTGATCACTATAAAAAGTTGACAATCTATAAATATGTTTATATAATGCTAACGTTCCTAATGTAACTATTTTCCAAAATACTAGTAGTTTGAAAAAAAACCACTGTAGTAGATAAAGAGCCAAAATGACTTATCTTTACTGTTTTGTTTTTGTTACAGAACTTCCAGTAGGATATCCCAAAATTATTGTTAACCCAAAGCTGAAATCTGTTGAGAAAGAGAAACCTGCCATCATGCAGTGTCAAGCTGATGCTAATGGACACAAGTTTGATATCGAGTGGTTCAAAAATGGCATCCCTGTAGATCTGGGTGACAACAAACGGCTTACAATCACAGAAACAGGTTAAATGATACATCCAAATATCAATACAATCAAATGTCAGTAAAAGATTTTAATCAAGAATAATTCTTCAAATTGAATTAATTAATACAACAAGGCTACCTTTTAAAAAATTATAGGATACTTGCTTCAATGTAATATGAAAGAAATTAACCCCACCATGACACCAATTAAGATTTAGAGCATATAAATGTGGAATTATAATTGTTCATAGATTTCTTGGGTCAACCCTAGCCACGAATATAAATCCCCAAGAACAATCAACTTCGTCAAGGTACCAATTCATGGAATCTATTACCGACCCAGTAAAAATTTTTATTGTCCATGAACACTGACCCCCTCGATTTAAAATAATTCCGTAGTATGTCATCCCCCCCCCCCCCGGATTTTTTTTTTTTTTTTTTTTTTTGAATAGAAAAAAAACTACTCTGCAAAATCCTACAGATGTATCTGTTCGACACCTTTTATACTATAGTATCTCTAGGTCATTAGTTTATTGATTCAATACGGTATAACTTCATGAATTAAGAGGCACTAGAAATATAATACAAGTATCTTTATTGTTTTCCAGAGGTAGAAAATATATTTCTTTTAGGACGGTAGCTTGAACCATTTTTCATAGAATGGGGATGAGGAAATTGAAAATCATTCACATTGAAAAACAAGATGTGTTTGTGAAACACTGATGCCCCCCATATGGCAGCTTCTGGCGAAGGTTAAAGTTTCTCAAATGCAAGTCAAAATCCAGGCCAAAAAATTTAAAAAAATGTTGGTACCCAAAGAAAAGTCTTGTCTCGAGGAATTTAACTGTGAAATTTGAAAGCCCTAGCTACAACTGTTCAGAAGTTATGGCGAAGGTTAAAGTTTTTTAAAAGTAAGTAAAACATCAAGGTCAAAGTTGTTGGTATCTACAGGAAGGTCTTGTCAAAAGGTTTACATATGTGAAGTATGAAAGCCCTAGCACCAACCATTCAAAAGTTATGGCCAAGGTTAAAGTTTTTCGAAAGTAGGTCAAACTCCTAGGTCAAGGTCTCAGAGGTTGGTATCCAAAGGAAGGTCTTGTCACAAGGATTACATATGTGAAGTACAAAAGCCCTAGCACCAACCATTCAAAAGTTATGGCCAAGGTTAAAGATTTCGAAAGTAGGTCAAACTCCTAGGTCAAGGTCAAAGGTCAAAGTGGTTCTTATCCAAAGGAAGGTCTTGTCACAAGGATTACATATGTGAATTATGAAAGCCCTAGCATCAACTGTTCAAAAGTTATGGCCAAGGTTAAGGTTTTTCAAAAATAGGTCAAACTCCTAGGTCAAGGTCAAAAGGTCAAAGTTGTTGGTATCCAAAGGAAAGTCTTGTCACAAGGATTAGATATGTGAAATATGAAAGCCCTAGCACTAACCGTTCAAAAGTTATGACCAAGGTTAAAGTTTTTCAAAAGTAAGGTTTCTTTGGATACCAACAACTTCGACCCTTTGACCTTGACATTTGACCTACTTTTGGAAAACTTTAACCTTTGTCATAACTTTTGAACGATTGGTGCTTCTGTTTACATATTTTACCTGTGTATTTCTTGGAAGAAGGCCCTTTCTTGGGCACCATTAATTTTGACCATTTGACCTTGATGTTTGACATACTTTTGAAAAAATGTTAATCTTTTCCATATCTATTCAATGGTTGCTGCTAGGGCTTTCATATTTTACAGGTATATTTCTCGATACAAGACCTTACTTTGCGTACCAACATATTTGATTTGCATTCGAGAAAGTTAAACCTTTGCTATAAGTTGCCATACGGGGGCATCAGTGTTTCACAAACACATCTTGTTTTTTTTTTCTTTTTAGGCTCTTTGCGGATAGCCAAGGCCTTAAAGTCAGATTATGGAAAGTATGAATGTGTAGCTAGCAATGAATATGGAGTGGCATACTCTTATGCTGCTATGTTATACGTCAAAGGTGTGTATCTTCAGAAGTGGCTGCTGAGGAAAAAGAGAGAGAGAAAAAAAAACACCAGTGGGAATATACATTTCAATTATTAGAACTACACAAGAGTCTGTTCTTGAAGTCAGAAATGCTGAACTGCTATAGAAATGATCATTTCTTTAATTTATAGAATTAATTTTGCTTAAATCATTCACTGACAATGTTATTTTCTAATAGTACCTCTTTGTTATAAACAAACTTCATGCCTTTAAAGTTATCCAAAGGTCATAGGTCATTAGGTGACCTAATCACAGGGCACAATAACACTGCATTTCTTATGTACAAAATATGTCAGAAACAATAATCGTTTTATTATTGAATTTACACCTTCTGTCACTTTTTTTGGTTCAAAATCTACGACAGACAGTTAGGGCCTAGTGCAATATCATCCTCGCAACATCAGGGGTCCTGAGTCAACAATATTCATGGAATACCAATTTTACTGAAAACAATACAGATGACTATCTCAAATGTGTATATAAGAAATAAGTTTTAAAACTTCGAAGGGAAATAAATTAATTTGTGCTTATGCCCATTTCCCCATACTTCAAAAGCAAAAGAAAGACAAGAGGCCCATGGGCCTTGAATCGCTCTTCTGATAAACTGTACAACCTATCACTTCTATTTGAAGCCTCAAAGTATCCTTTATATTTACATAAACCCTTGAAATTCCAATTCACACTCTGAGAACCCAAGATGATTCTAAGCCAATTAGTACCTGAGAGTTGGTCATGGTGACCTACTTATCACTTGTCATTCTCTGAGGACCCATCAACTAAGTTTGATGATTCTAAGCCAATTAATACCTAAAATATTTTTTAAAATTATAATCATAAAATTTTATAAGTAGGTCAAAGTGACCTACTTTTCAATTGTTTTACTCCAAGGACCCAAGATGCATCAACTGACAAAGTTTGATGATTCTAAGCCAATTAGTACCTGTAATATTTAACTAAAGCCATAAATTTTCAAAAGTAGGTCACCGTGACCTACTTTTCAGTTGCTGTACTCCGAGGACCAAAGATACATCGACTGACAAAGTTTGATGATTCTAGCCAATAAGTACCCAAAATATTTAATTACAGCCATAAATTTTCAAAAGTAGGTCACAGTGACCTACTTTTCAGTCAACCTACTCCGAAGACCCAAGATGCATCAACTGACAAATTTTGACGATTCTAAGCCAAATAATTCCTGAAAATATTAAATACAGCCATAAAATTTCAAAAGTAGGTCACCGTGACCTACTTTTCAGTTGTTGTACTCCGAGGACCCAAGACGCATCAACTGACAAAGTTTAATGATTCTAAGCCAATTAGTACCCGAAATATTTGATTAAAGCCATAAATTTTCAAAAGTAGGTCACGGTGACCTACTTTTCAGTTGTTGTACTCCGAGGACCCATGACACCTAAACTGACAAAGTTTTATAATTCTAAGCCAATTAGTACCCGAAATATTTTATTAAAGCCATAAATTTTCCGAAAGTAGGTCACGGTGACCTACTTTTTAGTCTACCTACTCCGAAGACCCATGACGCATCAACTGACAAAGTTTGATGATTCTAAGCCAATTAGTACCCGAAATATTTAATTAAAGCCATAAATTTTCAAAAGTAGGTCACGGTGACCTACTTTTCAGTTGTTGTACTCCGAGGACCCATGACACCTAAACTGACAAAGTTTGATGATTCTAAGCCAATTAGTACCCGAAATATTTAATTAAAGCCATAAATTTTCAAAAGTAGGTCACGGTGACCTACTTTTTAGTCCATCTACTCTGAAGACCCAAGATGCATCAACTGACAAAGTTTGATGATTCTAAGCCAATTAGTACCCGAAATATTTAATTAACGCCATAAATTTTCAAAAGTAGGTCACTGTGACCTACTTTTTTGTCGACCTACTCCGAAGACCCAAGATGCATCAACTGACAAAGTTTGATGATTCTAAGCCAATTAGTACCCGAAATATTTAATTAAAGCCATAAATTTTCAAAAGTAGGTCACTGTGACCTACTTTTTAGTCGACCTACTCCGAAGACCCAAGATGCATCAACTGACAAAATTTGATGATTCTAAGCCAATTAGTATCCGAAATATTTAATTAACGCCATAAATTTTCAAAAGTAGGTCACTGTGACCTACTTTTTAGTCGACCTACTCCGAAGACCCAAGATGCATCAACTGACAAAGTTTGATGATTCTAAGCCAATTAGTACCCGAAATATTTAATTAACGCCATAAATTTTCAAAAGTAGGTCACTGTGACCTACTTTTTAGTCGACCTACTCCGAAGACCCAAGATGCATCAACTGACAAAGTTTGATGATTCTAAGCCAATTAGTACCTGAAATATTTAATTATAGTCATATAAATTGAAAAGTAGGTCACGGTGACCTACTTTTCAGTTGACCTTTTTTGAGGACCCAAGATGCATCAACTTACAAAGTTTTATGATCATAGGACTTAAAATGTCCAAATTATGCCTCTAAAATGCTTTGAAATCGAATGCCTGCAAAGTTCAAAAAGTAGGTCACTGTGACCTACTTTTTAATAAATATGTTTTATGGCCCCAAGATGCATCATCTTACAAGATTTAATGATTCTAAGCCTTCCCGTATTCGAATTAATGACCTTAATTGTTTTAAAAAAGATTAGCCATAAAATTCAAAAAGTAGGTCAAGGTGACCTACTTTTTAGTTGACGTACTTTGAGGACCCAAGATGCATCAACTGACAAAGTTTGATGATCATAGGCCTTAAATTGTTCAAAATATGCCTCTAAATCATTTTGAAAAAGAATGGCCGCAAAATTTAAAAAGTAGGTCACCGTGACCTACTTTTGAGTCAACATGATATGAGGTCCTTAGATGCACCAACTGACAAGATTTTATGATCCTAGTCCTTATAGTAAGCAAAATATCAACATTTTAATAAAATGTAATTTTTGGTCAACTGTGAAGTGACCTTGAGACCACGCCCTTTGCCCCAGGGTAAATCCCCGTGCAAATTTTAATCTACAACATATCCTCATCCTTTTGTGTAAGTTTGGTGATAATCTGCCCAGTGGTTCTTGAGAAGAAGATTTTTTAGCAACCAGTACTTTTGTTTCTATTTTCCTAATTATCTCCCCTTGTTAAAGGGTCACAACCCCAGTTTTAGTATAAAAGGGAGCCCTTGGGCCAAGGATACCCTGTGACAAATTTGACAATAATTGGCCAAGGGGTTCTTGAGTTATGGCCCATATTCTATATATTATAGAATATTATATATATCATATTATATATATTATATATATACGCACACCGCACACCGCACAAATGGCCATAGCATTAGCTCTTTGAGCCTTTGGCTCAGAAGAGCTAATAAATGCTAAATGCTACCAGATCTTAAGATGAGCAGTATGACGCAGTGTGCTGGTAATATCAGGTAATCTTAGAATACAACCCTGTCCATGCGCGGAACTAGAGCCCCCCCCCCCCCCCCTGTAATTGCAGAGTTATTAAAAGTATATACTGAAGCAAATAAAAAAGTGAATTTGGACCCACCCACCCCTAGAAAACGTGGACCCCACCATCAACACCACAAAATAGGGTTTTTTCACATTTGGGAAATGGATTTAACGGGGTTTTTTTTGTTTTGTTTGTTTTTTGTTTTGTGTGTGTGTGGGTGTTTTTATGGTTTTGGTTTTTTGCTTGTCCGAAATTTTTGGGTTGGAATTTTTTTTTGACTGGGATGGAATCCCCCCCCCCCCCCCCGGAAAAAATTCCTGGATCCGCGTCTGCCTGTCTTATTCCTCCATATCACCACGCCTACTTCAACATGGCAATAGACCATGCTGATTTGAATTTTATTTTTTTTTAATTTACCATCATCAATTTTTTTTTTAGGCTTTAATTAGTTTAATTTATTATTGGATGCCAACAAATTTTTATGTGAAAGCTGAAGTTCAACATTCATCTCTTAATTTGTTGAAGATAGCAAACCTGTAAATGCTAAGTATAATATACCATGACTTTTACCACACTTATTACGATATACATTTTTTTTCCAGTACGTAGAGTTCCCCCACGATTTACCCACCCTCCAAAGAGAGTGGAGGTGGACCCCAACGGAAGTGTCAATCTGACCTGTGTGGCTGTCGGATCCCCTATGCCACATGTCATGTGGCGAGATGGTGCCACAGAACTCGGGAAGCCTGTCATAGGAAAGAATGTCCTCCAACTTAAAAATGTCACGGAGAGCAAGAACTACACGTGTGTGGCATCCTCTGACTTAGGGACCATCAAACATGTCGAGGAGGTCATAGTTAAAGGTACAAGCAAAGTTAAAGGTACAAGCAAATTCAAAGATTTGCTTTCTGTGTCTTAGTGGTTGGTATGCAATTGAATAATATATGGTATATTGTACCTGCTTTGTGTGTCCTGTCTGGTTTGTGCATCATACAAAAAAGAGATAAATTAATAAAATTATGGCAAGATTAAAGCTTCTCCAAACTGCATCAAACTTCAAGATCAAGGTCATGAGGTCCATATCATAAAACAATCTGAAACACTAGTACCTTTTTGAAAGGTGTTGTCATAGGTAATGCACATGTAAAAATACAAAAGCCCTACCTTCTATCATTCAAAGGTTATTACCAATGTAAATTAAATTTGAAAAAGACTGTAGGTTAAACTTTGAAGTAAAGGTCACGTCAAAAACCAGAGCACATTTGGAAAGATCTTGAAACAGGCAATGCACGTGTCAAACATAAATGCCCTATCTTCTCTCAATAAAAAGTTATCAGCAATGTTAAAATTTTTGAAAATTAGCTATGCTTCTTAGAAATTTAGCAGCATATACTGTTTGAAAATTAGGTTAAAAACTTGAAAGGTCAAGGTCACAGGGTCAAAAATAGCACAATCAGAAACTTTTTGACACAGGTAATGCACTTGTCATATATGAACGCCCTTTTTCACCAATCTTAGAATTTCTGAAAATTAGGTCAAACTTCAAGTTCACAGGGTAAAAAATTATAGCATGTATGGAAACATTTCATCACAGGAAATGCACATGTCAAATATCATTCAAAAGTTATAACCAGTGTTAAAATTTTGAAAAGTAGGCCAATCTTCAAGGTCACGGGTTTAAAAATCATACTATATTTGGAGATGTCTTGTCACAGGTAATGAACATTTGATTGTTGTGAATTTGTTGTCGAATAGCATAACGAGTTTATTGGTCTGTAGAGACGACTATAAACGGTTAGGAGGTGGATAAAATTTACAGGTTGGTTATAGAATATGTCTAGAATTAGGGGATGAAAGGTTGTTGACTGACCAATGCTGGATAGTGGCGAAATATATCCCCAAAGTGCGAAGAAAATCTTGCGCCGTAAATTGCATTTTATTTACATTACGGGGTCTGTAGTGTTATGGTCAAAGACTAAAATATAAACCATAACGCTATAGTTCTGCAGCTAGAAAATTAGATAAAACCTGAAGGTCAGGGTCATGAGAAATAAGAAAGCGTTTTTTTTTTCTCGTTCAAAAGAAATGACCAAGGTTAAATTTTGTTAAAATTTTTGAAAAATTGGTCAGACTTCAAGGTCACAGGGTTAAAAAAAATACTATATTGAATTTTGGAAAAGGTCTTGTCACAGGTAATGTACATGTGACATATAAAAGACCTATATCTTTTCATTCAAAAGTTATGAGACCGTTCACAGTAGCTCAGTCGGTAGAGCGCTCGCTCCGTGATCGGGAGGTCGTGAGTTCGTATCTTGGCTGCGACTGACCCAAGTCGATAAAAAATGGGTAGCAACTGTTCCTTCGTCATGCACTCGGCACTTTGAAGTGAAAGTTGCAGGTCCTTCGGATGAGACCTTAAAAACCGAGGCCCCGTGTCACGGCAGGTGTTGGCACGATAAAGATCCCTCACTGCTCAATGGCCCTGATTGTCAAGTAAAGATCAAAATTTGCCGGTATTCACCGGTATATGGTGACGTCTCTTATGAGTGAAAAATTCTTGAATGGGACGTAAAGCAACATACAATCAAACAATCAATCAAAAGTTATGATGGGTTCCACATACCACTTCATGAGCATTTAAATCGAATAGTTCTTCAAGGGGGAAAAAAGCCAAAACCAAAAGCAAATCTGTACAAGAAACACTGATTTTGCAAGCCGAAGCATGAGTATGTCCCCTCGACCCAAGCAGTGTAATACTTATATTGGACTTGAAAGCAGAGAGCACTCTCAAACTCTTAGTTTTGCAAAATTTCACATTTTCAGAAATAAATGACCCTTTTTTAGTTCTATGGCAATGACAGCTATTTTTGATATTTATAAACCAAATCTTGGAGAGACACATACATGATTATTATGTAAATATAGTTTGAAATACAATTGGAGAAAGAAAAATCCATTTAAGATAAAATTCCTTTTTTTCATGGATACAGTTAAAGACTTGTCTCCAGTCGATTAAATTGTACCATTTTTTTTCAGAACCCAGTTTTACCAGATGAAACGAATAAGAACGGAATATATTGCTTCAAGAGAATTGGTTGAAAAGTTGTGAGAAAAATGAGATTTAAAATTTTCAATCTTTATACTTCATACTTGTATGTTTAAATGGAACTGGTCGCCATTTTGAAGAAGGAACATTTGTAATAATGTTTCCCCCTCATACATGAATCCTACTCTAGAGTCTGTTTTGAAAATCCTACCCTAGAGTCAGATTCCAGGGGGGAAATCCTACTCTAGAGTCTGTTTTCCACGGGGAAATCCTACCCTAGAGCCAGATTCTACTCTAGAGTCTGTTTTGGGGGGAATTCCTGCTTTAGAGCCAGATTTCCAGGGGAAATCCTATTCTAGAGCCAACTTTCTGGGGGGGGGGGGGGGTCCTACTCTAGAGTCTGCTTTCCGGGGGGAAATCCTACTCCAGAGCCTGTTTTCTGAGGGAAATCCTACTATAGAGCCAATTTCCGGGGGGGGGGGGGGAGGAGGATCCTACTCTAGAGCCAATTTCTGAGAAGAAAGATTTTAGAGGGGAAAAACCTACTCTACAAGACCGGTATACCCTGGCTTGAAAAGCAGGGGGTATGTGGTGATAGGGGTGTCTATGCACCCTTCCAGTAGTCTGTCCATCCTTCTATTACTTGTAGTCTTATCAATTTAGCTGAAATATGGGTCCAATTTCACATCAAACTCACATTTTTCACTCATATGGAGACGCCACCACTTGCCGGTGGAGAGCTGCAAATTTTTTCCTATGCTCGGCACTTACGGCCATTGAGCAGTGAGGGGTCTTTTTCGTGCCAACACCTACTGCGACACGGGACCTCGGTTTATACGGTCTCATCCGAAGGACCGGTCTCCACGTCCCACAGTGGGATTACTTTTTGTTAATTTTGAAATATTAGCAATTTTGAAGAGATCGTGAATACAGTTTAAAATATGAATAAATTTCCTTAGACTAAGATTTAATATGCACGGATCATTTCATTCAGTATATAATGATAAATATAATTTACAAAAACATATCCATAAAGACTTAGAGACAAAATTTGACCTTGTTTTGATAACCTCTGCCCTAAAATTTAATTACAATGTTGCGAAGAAATGGGACGCACACTCTGAAGTGAGCATAAACATCTATATTAATAATTTCTTGGGTATAAAAGGTTTTGCTAATTCTATAAATGTCACAAAATACAGCTTAGTTTATTTTCTCTTTCTTCAAGAAAAAATGCATCAAAATTTTAACCAAAATTTAATAAATTGAAAAGAGTTATGCACCTTTCCTGTAGTACCGGTAATTTGCATAAAAAATTATGAGCCCCATATGTGTAATGGGGGAGGAGAAAAATGCGACAGACCAGACTGGGACTCGAACCCAGGCCCCTGAATCTCCAGTCAGGTGCTCTACCAACTGAGCTATCTGTCCAACGGCAATTGAACCAATCTGACCACCACATTCCTCCCTCCTTAAAGGTCTTTGGCCCCCAATGACACGAACCCGGGCTCTTCCCTGGGAGGTCTTTCCCCTGTCACTTCCAGGCCATAGCACGGCACCAAAAGTAATGGGAGAAGAGAAAAATGTGATGGACCAGACTGTCAAGAAATGCTTCTTTTCCATTATACTCATATGATATGGGAGTAGGGGTATCATTTTGTGAGCTCAGTGCTCACATTACCTTTATAACTAGTTTTTTAATTATTGCATTAATTATAGGTGAAGCGGTCAGACTCATTCGATCACCAGTGGCCAGATAGCTCAGCTGGTAGAGCTCCTGACTGGAGATTCAGGGGGTCCGGGTTTAAATCCCAATCTAGTCTGTCACATTTTTCTCTTTTCATGTTACATTTGGTGCCGTGTCATGCCCTGGAAGTAAAAATGATTGATCTCATTTTTGTGGCAGCAGTCAGACATTGTGTGCTTCAATGCATACTAGTCATGCTGGCTTGTCTGGTCTCCAACCTCAGGATTTTAAGTGCTTTGAATTATGTGTTTATTCGGGGAAAAAAATTATCTGATGACATGATTTACAAGGATATGTCAAATTAATATGCAGCACCCAAATTATTACAGCCATTTGTAGATTCTTATATTAGGAGTTTTTCACCAAAGTACCGACAACACAAGTCCATCTTTAAAATGCCCCTAGTTGGTGGAATTATAATATTTCTAAAGATGTACCTTTCAGTAATGAAAAAATCAACAGAGCATTCTATAAAAAAAAAATTCATTTAATCTCTCTTCAAAATATCTATATAAATAGAATTCTAATAAGCTTTCTAAAAAAAATTATGAAGTATAGATTTCAAAATTAATTTTCATATTTTCTTGTCTAAGATATTATATTTTCAACAAGAACTATGCCTTATTTCAAAATTTAAAATACTTAAAAGCACAGTTATTTATAAAAATATAACATCACATTCATTCAACAAACAAATGTATAGTATAAATATATACATGTAGAACAGTATAAAACACATAAATTCTACTTCTTTGTGAAAAATGAAGTTATAGACTTTTGATTCTTGTCAGTATCTGTAGGCTTCTTTTTCTGAAAGGAGAGAAAAAAAAACGTTTGAAATGTGTAACAAGTTTGTTTGTATAGATATCCCTTCTTATACATATTTACAAAGGTATTGAACCCACCTTCTTCCCAGAGCTAGAGGTTTCAAGAGCTTTCAAAACCTATTGAAAATGTAACAAAAGAATACATATTTAGTACACACACAACTTTTAATAACAGTTAATTAAAATGGTACCATCAATAGCAACCATGGCACATTATAACAAAACTTGTTACAGTGGCCTGGAAAATGAAACTGCAAAATAAATTAACAAATTATTTTAAGATTTTTAGTCAATAAAAATTAAATTTGATTTTAATACAATATGAGCTATAACCTTCTTCATGGCGGTAGAAACAGCAGCAGATGAGAATTCCTCCCTTGTCACCCATCGACCGTTCTCTGTATGAATATTTGAACTGTCTATTTCTGATTCACTGACCACTAAAGACTGAACAATGTAAGTCTGGTGGATATGGGAAAATATATGTTCTACCTGGAAACAACAATTTTACAAGTTTTGTCACTAGACTGTAAGTACATGTAATGATTAGTATAATTCAAGTTTTATCTATTTTGAGCCTGTCTGTATTAAAGCACTGTAAATAAATGATATACATGTTACGTTTCACTGTTTTACCTATGTGAAAATAACGTGTGGGTCCCCCAACTCTGTTTGTTGAACATAAGAGTAAAGAAATTTTATAAAAGTACAAATTTTATCATTAAATTAAACCCTTGTCTCTCCCACTCATATAAATGTGGACAAAGAATATCCTATAATTAGTAACAATAAATAATAATACTTAAAAGGTAGATTTAATAATATAGATCTAGCAGGAGCGTCAAATTACTTGTGGGAGTAACTCTCTCCGATAAATTTCTCCCACTCTAGAATATTCACTTAAGGTCAAGATCTAGTAAATAAAAGGAGCCTACAGATTTCTCAAATTTGAGAAATAAATTCCTTTAATGACGCTTTATAAGTATAGCTTGGTCAAATAAGGTGTTTCGGGGCATAATTTGTAGGTAAACAAGACGAAAAATCATATCTTAAACTTTCATTTCCAATGAAAAATTAAGAAAATCAGTCATGAATATGGGAGTTTTTTCCATATCAGACAAATTAAATGTATCCAGATTGCCTACAGTCTCTCAGAAAACTATATTTTGTATATTCTTAGCCTCTTCTTTAAAATAATATTAAATTGAATATAGGTTTCGGGATTGCTTTTCACATGATTTCAAATTGAATTCCAGAAAAGTACTTCATTTTCTACATAATTCTTTTACAGCTGTAAAGTACGGGAAAAAGAAAGTTTAATTTGATTATGACGTCATAAAGGATCTAGCATCAAAAAGGCAGTCTAAAATCATTTACTAGATCTTGACCTTAATATAATGAATATAAAATTATTTTATATAAATGATCCTATTAATAGATTATCCCAATTTTGGGTCAGGCATCAGCTCCCATTAATTAAAGTTAGAATTGACAATTACCCAACGAGATTCCTCAGTCATGATACGTCTTGATCTCAGATGAGAGCTAGGAAATCTGTCTCTGAAATCAGCTGATCGCTGTTTATATATGACGTTCTTGTGTATGACATTACTACGGATATGACGTTTCACACGCATCTCTACCCGCATAGGTATTACATAAGAGCTATATAAGACTTCAGATAGGATTTATATTCCCAAGAAAGGGTCTAAATTAATTACCTGTTTGGTTTATTAAATAAACGACATTGCAAGTCAATCCCGATCGAGGAATTTCGGGTTATAAACATTTCGATAGATACTTCTATCTCAAAACACAATCCAATAATCATGAATCATAAAATTAAATGCAAATACATGTACGTTATTTACATGTTTCATATCATTACTTTATAAGTGATAAGCTGGCATGGCTATTTAGCTCACATGGTCTTGTTACATTAAATCATTTATCCAATCATATAAATAAACAGACATAAAGAAGCTACATTCGTAACATACATTTCAATAATATAAATATGGAAGAATTTATAATATTACTTTATAGAGATACCCTATTGCTTTAATTTCTGTACAAAAGCCATGACATGGGGGTACTCACTTCACCCACGACCATTGACTGAGTAGAGGGTGGGACAAGCAGTCCACAGGACTTTTGGAGGATTTCATGTACTGTGTGATGTGAATTTTCATCATCTTCTTCCATTTTAACTGAGGGAAATTCCCAGAGACCAGCTAAAAGACCTGGTATAAAAAGCACAAATTTATATGATTTTTTTCAACTATAGATAAAAAAAATATCACTTCCTGTATTCAATTTTCATATCTAATCATGCATTCTGGGAAAAAAATGACAATCCAATAGAAAAAAGTCAAGTGACAGCCGTTAATCCCTCAATATTGCCTCTTAAAATCAATAATTTTTCGACATTTTGTTTGATGCTATATGTGTAAGGGAGTGTACCTTTCTGAGATCTCTGTACCAAATAATACTGTAGCTCCTCAGTTTCTGATTTCTTACACAAAACACACACACTGGTCCTCTCTACGCGAGCAGCTTTCTTTCCAGATTTTCTGGGATAATTCTGAACACCTTCTCTGAAAAACCAATCAATTCATTAAGACATGCAACTATGCATAATCAAATACATTTTGAACATCTTTGAAAAAATCAATTACTTAGAGCAAGAAATTTCAATAAGAAGTGTCTTTTTCAAAACAAGGATACTGCAAACTTATTTTCAAGAACTGAAAATCTCAAAAATCCAAAACTGATTTGGTGCTCACAACTTCATCAATACTCATCATTGCATTTAACTTTGACAAAAAAACTCTTGTCATTATTGATATGTCAGATTTTTTGGGAGGTTACCCCTTCCCCCACTGTTTAAACCATAGCGACCTGTTTGTTTGAAAGCAATATCTATATGTTAGTATCGTTTTATTTACGTCATAATTCAGACGAATACATTGTAACTTAACGTTTTTGTAAAAGGGGAAGGGACAGAAAAAAATTTGACAACTTATTTTTAAAAATATTGCTCAAAATCCAAATTCAATGGGGTGGGGGTGGGGTTTTACATTTCTTCTGAAAAATGTAAAAAATAAATATCTTTTATCAATCTTTGGATGTTGAAACCATGTTTCAAAAGAGATGAAAATGTTGCTGTTGAATTCCTCCTCCAATAAATGCAGGTATAGTTTGTTCATAAAGGTAAACTCTACCTGTACCCCTTAGTGGGCCCCTTAATTGAGTGTGATAATTAGATGTTTGTTTTGTCCAGTAGATGTTCGGGGAATACACCACTGATATCATGAAAGAAAAAGTGAGCAAGCTCACATACCCCATGCTCCCCCAAACTTGACAATGCAACATATGAATGGTACAGTGCACTTTAAATACACAGTATAATTCAAACATAGGTAATCAGAGATTACAGAGCTCACCTCAACAAATGTTGTCTTTAAGTAAGGCAAAGTCCCACACTAAACTAATAATCTAGGAGTGTGCATCCCTAGATGCAACATTTATGCAATTTTGGTCTGATAGGGCTTGCAGTTACTTGGGAATAGACTTATCTGAAAACTTAAAACTAGTCACTCATCCAGAAAATGTAGGTCAAATCCAGCATCTGAAGCAAGTCTGAGATTGTTCATCCCTTGATGCATCATCCATGCAAGTTTCGTTCAGATAGGCCTTACAGTTACTTGGAAATGAGATCTGCTCCAGAAACTTTAACTTGGTCACTCATCCTGAAAATGAAGGTCAGATCCAGCATCCAAAGCAAGTCAAAGAGTGTGCATCCTTAGATGTATCATCCATGCAAGTTTAGTCAATACAGGGCTTATAGTTACTTGGAAATGACATCTGCTCCAAAAACTTTAACCTGGTCACTCATCTGGAAAATGTAGGTCAGATCCAGCATCTGAAGCAAGTCCAGTAGTGTGAATCCTTAGATTTATCATCCATGCAAGTTTAGTCAATATAGGGCTTATAATGACTTGGAAATGAGATCTGCTCCAAAAACTTTCACCTGGTTACTCATCCGGAAAATGAAGGTCAGATCCAGCATCTGAAGCAAGTCCAGTAGTGTGAATCCTTAGATGTATCATCCATGCAAGTTTGGTCAATATAGGGTTTATAGTTACTTGGAAATGAGATCTGCTCCAAAAACTTTAACCTGGTTACTCATCCGGAAAATACAGGTCAGATCCAGCATCTGAAGCAAGTTCAGTAGTGTGCATCCTTAGATGTATCATCCATGCAAGTTTGGTCAATATAGGGCTTATAGTTACTTGGAAATGAGATCTACTCCAAAAACTTTAACCTAGTCACTCATCCGAAAAATGTAGGTCAGATTCAGCATCCGAAGCAAGTTCAGTAGTGTGCATCCTTAGATGTATCATCCATGCAAGTTTGGTCAATATAGGGCTTATAGTTACTTGGAAATGAGACCTGCTCCAAAAACTTTAACCTGCTCCAAAAACTTCAACCTGCTCCAAAAACATTAACCTGGTCATTCTTTAGCTGAAATTGCAGCATCTGAAACCTTGACTGGTACAATGAAACACACTAGAAGCATCCTCCATGCATCTCTGACTGATATAGGCCAAAGAAGTACTTGAAAGGAAAACTGCTCCAAAAACCTTAACCTGGGACGCCAACGCCGACGCCGAGGGTATTACATAAGCTCCCCCAACTTCGTTGAGGTGAGCTAAAAAGGGGCATTATCACATCAAAACTTCTTGCATATAAGGACATTCAAGTCTTTGTTACAAATTTAATTGGGCTGAAGTTTCTAGATAAATAATGGAACCAAAATTGCTTGGTAATATGCAAGTCTACACATCACGGTATGTCTGAAATACCTACAAAGTTTCACGAAAATAAGTGCAGGAGTTATGCTGACAAACTGGTTTTTTTTTTAATTCCTCAGTGATTTCGATTTGTTAACGACTGTAAGTGCATGTCCATGTGTGTGTTGAATCATTAATAATTTGGTCTTAAAATTAATAGGGTTTTTTAAGGTCCTAAAGTATTTCACAAAAAAATTCATTACAAAAGCTGATTCCAGTGGATTTCCTTATTACTTTTTCAAAGCACCATATAAGTGGAATTTTTAGCGAGTTGCAAATTTAGGGATTTGTCCTGAAAATTCAATACATACATTTCTGCAAGAAGTAATTTTTTAGCGATTTTATAATACCTAGAAATCTAATGCTAGTGTGGAAGGAATTTTTAGCGATATTCAATTTCAGTGATCTCAACGCTATCGCCAAAAATGTCAAAACTTAATCCTGGCTAAAATTTCTGCTGATATGGTATTGATTCACAGAATCTTCTCAGTATACAAGTTGCAAATGTAATTACATCCCACAAACCTGCAAAATTCTGGTAGCCCCAAACATCCCCCCCCCCCATGAATTAAAATGATTCCACAGAATTTAATGATTATGTGTCCACTACATTGGAGCACATACAGAAAAACCACTACACCCGTGATTTTCCTGCCATGAGATAAAATGCAAGGCCTAATTTATTTACATACTTTTCATCCCAAGCCTCATTTTCTGGTAAACAAAGCTCACACTGGTCAGCAGCTAGAAATAATTATTTAACAATTATTAGTCCTCTTTATATATACATGTATAGTAGAAAACAGAGCAAATGCAATAAAATAACCAACAAAAACATTGTAATTTTCCAAATTAGTTCTTCCATTAAAATTCAATGTAAGAGAACCTATTTAAGGAGTCTGCTTACTAAAAATATTGATAACCTTGCCACATTTGATAACCGTGCCACATTTGATAACCGTACCACATTTGATAACCGTACCACATTTGATAACCTTACCACATTCTATGTCTGGGACAGAAGTTCTTGAAATGACACCAAGTTTATTACCATTTCTTAGCTTGTTCTTGTCTACCTGAAATCCACATTGTGCAAGCTTTCAATTCTTATTACTTATGTGTAATTATTGCATATAAATAGTTAATATCTGTTTACACTCCATCAATAGTCATTAATCAATAATCATCCAATACATTAAAACTCCTTTAGTACAAACACGGATATAACGAATTTACGGATATAGTGAAGTTTTTTACAATCCCCGGCGAAATTCTGAACAATTCCTTGTAAAATATTACGGTTATAACGAACTCGGATATAATGAATTTATGGTTATAGTGAACTGATTCTGTGTCCCCTAGAGGTTAAAAATAACGAAATTTACATCTTTTATAGTGAATTTTTAAAGAATTTAGTTTTTAAAATATTGAACTGACATTTACTTTGTAAGTATTAGGGATGTCAAATCGGTCAACTTTTGATAATCAGTTACTCGGACGTTTTTCCGATCGAGTACCCAGGTACTCGGTAAAATTGCAAATGTTAATTTTTAATTGTTAATTTGTTAAACCCCAGAGCTGTTTTGATCACGTTTTATGAATGTATATAAACATGGAGTCCAACGGAAATGATTTTTGGTACTAAATTTATTATTAAATAAACACAAATGACGCAATCATAAAAAATTACAAATGTTTAGGATCTATTTCATCAATGCAAAAAGAGGATAATCTGTTACGCAGGTTTGTAATGATTAGACTAGCGAAAGAGAAGGAACGGGCGTTGCTTGGATCGCTAGTCTAATATTTTTTCATATGTTGGTTGTTTCCCCGTATACACTAAACTTACCATGGAAACTGACTTTAAAAATTTTTTTTTTTTGGAATCTTTACTTATTTTGAAGTGGGTAGCGGCATTTCTATGCACGTCCGATTTCACTGCCGTATATTAATTAAATAATGTAAAAATGATTGGAAGATAATAGACCATATTAAACGATGTTCACTGAAATACAATCATTGAATCCATTCAAAAATTAAGACCACATAGGTGAGAACAGCTGTGTACCAGGTGATTGGTCACTAATTACTGTGTATACACAGCCATAGGCGATAACGGGTGTTTACATGTGTACATAGATGACGACACGCTAATTACCCGTATGCATATTTAAGTTATTTTTGATAAAAATATGTACTTTGAAATAAGAAAAAATACACATCCGAGTGACCGAGTACCATTTTTAGTATTTGATACTCGGACGTTCGATCGAGTACCCGGTTAACTGGGTACTCGTTGACATCCCTAGTAAGTATATATATTTAGAACACTATTCATCCGAAAATTTTTGAACTCCAAGATAAACTTTATATTTTATACTTCACTAAATACATTTGGTAGTCATACATCAAGGAAAAAAAATCTATATTGCGAAGTCGCTATGCATACTTTGACCAATTTGTTATATGGATATAACGAATTACAGATATAGCGAAGTGAATTCTCAGGTCCCCAGAACTTTGCTATAACCGAGTTTTACTGTACATGTACTGATCAATAATTATCATATTCTGGTATTAATAATTATTAGATATTAATCATAATTTTCATAATATTTGAAGAAATTGCATGTGAAACATGGAACTAGAGTTTTATGGCAAACCTTAATGGTTTCCATGAGACCCTATTAAACATTTCTTACTATAATACAAGTAATTACATTCAAATCTTTTTAGGACAGAGATTAAACTTCCAGACATTCAAGAATTCAAAATAACAAAGTTCAGTTGTACATACCATAGACTTAGCAAGGCAGAGATTCTGCACAGGACACAAATCACAGTTGGGAGATTTGGGGGTACAAACTGTTGCCCCAAGCTCCATCATTCCTTGATTAAAATCCCCAGGTTGATCAGGATCAACAATCTCATCAGCTAGACTCCTAAAATTCAATGAATGGCAATAATCATTCCATTCTGTTATCATGCTTTTGATTAGTATTTTTGCTAAGATGAAAGTAAAATATTAATAAGTAGGGGACTTTTTTTTTAGCCCTGATTAAGTACATAAAACTACCATAGTTTGTTCTGGACTGGCTGACTTGTAGAGTTGGCTCCAATGACTCTCATCCTGCACAAAACTCTGATCACATTGCCGTCAACAATCCCTGTGGTCTATTAAAATAAAATAAGTACTATTTTCTCTCTGCATAGCAAAATATACACAGTGATTCATAGGAGGCAAATGGGCCACAATGCTCACCTTAGTCATGTTTCACAGTTTGAGAAAAGATCAATTTTGTGTTTTAGAAACATTATTTTGGTGGTATGTTTCCTTTTTTTCCCTTATTGTTAATTTCTTTACATAAATACTCAGCATGTTCCTCAATAAAAATACTATATGCTCCAAAAACTTTAACCTGGTTGCTCATCCGGAAAATGTAGGTCAGATCCAGCATCCAAAGAAAGTCCAGTAGTGTACATCCTTAGATATATCATCCATGCAAGTTTGGTCAAAATAGGACTTATATTTGCTTGGAAATGAGATCTGCTCCAAAAACTTTAACCCGGTCACTCATCTGGAAAATGTAGGTCAGATCCAGCATCTGAAGCAAGTCAAGTAGTGTGCATCCTTAGATGTATCATCCACTGCAAGTTTGGTCACTATTGGGCCTATAGTTAATTGGGAATGAGACTTGCTCTAAAAACTTTAACCTGCTCCAAAAACTTTAATCTTCTCCAAAAACATTAACCTGGTCATTCTTTAGCTGAAATGGCAGTATATGAAACCTTGACTGGTACCATGAAACACTAGAAGCATCCTCCATGCATCTCTGATTAATATAGGGCATAGAAGTACTTGAAAAGAAATCTGCTCAAAAAACTTTAATCTGGGACGCCAATGCCGAGGGTATTACATAAACTCCCCCAACTTCGTTGAGGTGAGCTAAAAATTAACAGAAAGATTTCCCCATTTTAACTCCTACCTGATTATAAGCAATAGAGGCAATTGCTGACGTTTTTAAAGCAATCTACTAAGCATGAAGTCTTGCTACTCACATAACTTTACTTCATGGAGGCAACTGCTCTGTCATCCCTGACCCTCGGCAATGTAAGTAATTCCTTTCACTAAACTCAACTGACCACAAGAAGATGTCACAATTGCCATTGACTCAAATCTAATTAAAATTATATGTTGGATCCATTCTCACACTAGCTACACTAGTATGTGAGCATGTCTAACATCTAATCTTAATTAGATTGCATCGACTCTACACTAACCTGATCACAAGCAATAGAGACAACTGCCCAATCTTAATATCCACCTGACCATAAGCTAAGGAGACAACTGCCTACCATAAACACTCACCTGACTATTAGCTATAAAGATAACTGCCCAGTTATAATAACCCCTTAACCATAAGCAATAAAGACAACTGTCCAATCATAACACCCCCTGACTATAAGCAATAAAGACAACTGTCCAATCACAACACCCCCTGACTACAAGCATTTAACACAAATGCCCAATCAACACCCATCTAACCATTAGCTATAAAGGTAAATGCCCAATCATAAAACCAACCTGACCATCAGCAATAAAGACAACATTAAGAAACATCCCCCACCTGACCATAAGCTATAACCAGAAGTCTCTGACAAGACTGTAGCTCTACTGGTTGCATTTATAAAGGAAGATAAAAGTAGCACTTGGACTTGAAACTTTGCAACAGCAATAAATAGAATAATGATCCTTAGTTTAGTCTCTTTTGTGGCAAGATTTATTATTATATCAGACTAAAACTGTAGGAGGAGTAGCCTTTTAAAACAATTTTACAGAAATTTTGATTTAAGTAACCATGGCAACATCATTCAACAAAATCAAAAAACAATAACACCAATTATGTATCTCTGTAGTCTACTTGTATGTCACATTATACTGAAATCAGACAAAAAAGTGTAGGAGTAGCGTTTTGAGGGTATTTCAAGAAAATTTCTATTTTTAGTATCCAAGGCAACACTGTTCACCGAAATCCAAAACTGGTACAGAAAATTAAGTATCTTAGTGTAGTTTACTTGTGTGCTAAGTAATACTAAAATCAGACCAAAACTGTAGGGGTAGCATTTTGAAGGTATTTCAAGGATATTTCTATTTTTAGTAACCATGGCAACAATGTTCATCGAAATCAGAAAATCAATATAAAGAATTATGTATCTTAGTGTAGTCTACCTGTGTGCCAAGTTATATTGAAATCAGATCAAAACTGTAGGAGGAGTAGTATTTTGAAAGTATTTCACAGAAATTTCTATTTTTAGTAACCATGGCAACACCCTTCATTGAAATCAAAAACCGATATATAGAATTATGCATCTTAGTATAGTCTACTTGCGTGCCAAGTTATATTGAAATCAGATCAAAACTGTAGGAGGAGTAGCATTTTGAAAGTATTTCACAGAAATTTCTATTTTTAGTAACCATGGCAACACTATTCATCAAAATCAAAAACCGATACACAGAATTATGTATCTTAGTGTAGTCTACTTGTGTGCCAAGTTATATTGAAATCGGATCAAAACTGTGGGAGGAGTAGCATTTTGAAGGTATTTCAAGGATATTTCTATTTTTAGTAACCATGGCAACACTGTTCATCGAAATCAAAAACCGATAAACAGAATTATGTATCTTAGTATAGTCTACTTGTGTGCCAAGTAATATTGAAATCAGATCAAAACTGTAGGAGGAGTAGCATTTTGAAAGTATTTCACAGAAATTTCTATTTTTAGTAACCATGGCAACACCGTTCATCAAAATCAAAAAACGATATACAGAATTATGTATCTTAGTGTAGTCTACTTGTGTGCCAAGTTATATTGAAATCAGATCAAAACTGTAGGAGGAGTAGCATTTTGAATGTTTTTCACAGAAATTTCTATTTTTAGTAACCATGGCAACACCGTTCATCGAAATCAAAAACCGATATACAGAAGTATGTATCTTAGTATAGTCTACTTGTGTGCCAAGTAATATTGAAATCAGACCAAAACTGTAGGAGGAGTACATTTTAAAAGTATTTCACAGAAATTTCTATTTTTAGTAACCATGGCAACACCGTTCATCAAAATCAAAAACCGATAAACAGAATTATGTATCTTAGTATAGTCTACTTATGTGCCAAATAATATTGAAATCAGACCAAAACTGTAGGAGGAGTAGCATTTTGAATGTTTTTCACAGAAATTTCTATTTTTAGTAACCATGGCAACACCGTTCATCTCTGACCAGTAGAGCTAAAAACAACACCCACCTGACCATACGCTATAAAGACAACACCCACCTGACCATAAGCTATAAAGACAATACCCACCCGACCATAAGCTATAAAGACAACACCCACCTGACCATAAGCTATAAAGACAACACCCACCTGACCATAAGCTATAAAGACAACACCCACCTGACCATAAGCTATAAAGACAATTCCCACCTGACCATAAGCTATAAAGACAATACCCACCTGACCATAAGCTATAAAGACAATTCCCACCTGACCATAAGCTATAAAGACAATACCCACCTGACCATAAGCTATAAAGACAATTCCCACCTGACCATAAGCTATAAAGACAACTCCCACCTGACCATAAGCTATAAAGACAACACCCACCTGACCATAAGCTATAAAGACAACACCCACCTGACCATAAGCTATAGAAGCTATTGCTCCTGCTGTGTATCTCCCAACTCCTGGTAAGTGTTTTAACAAGGTCTCTGCTGTCCTTGGCATCTTTCCACTGAATTCTTTAACAACCTAAAATTAAATGAATTTTTTTTGGCTATTAAATTTTACATTAGATTTTTTTAGGGGGTGTCTATTAAGTGATTGATTCTTTCAACATTACAACCTTTTTCAATAATAAATTAAAACATTTTATATTCTGATACGCTTAAATAATACATGCTTACAATAACAAATACCTACAAGTCAGATCAGCAATGTTTTACATATATACCACAATAAATCATCTTCTGGTTAACTCTAACCTTAAAAATTATTTACATTTGGGACAGAAATACATACATCTCATCCATCAGCATTGTAGAGAAAAACAAGTCAATGAAGTACTTTCTGTTTAATATATTGATACACTTCTCACTTTTTTGATATCATTAACTTGTCCTAGACAATTCCTTAAAGTAGTTGTATATGTTTCTGTCACTGCTGAGAGCATTTACATTACTAGCTCCCTGAAGTGGAACCCAAGGTTCTAGTGAGCTTTTCTGATCATGTATGGTTTGTTTTCTATAATTCACATTTTTGAGATCCCTTTCACACAAACTCACCTTCTGAGTTCCCACTCACTCAAACTCACCTTCTTCTAAGTTCCCACTCAATCAAACTAGCCTTCTGAGTTCCCACTCAATCAAACTCACCTTTTGAGTTCCCACTCACTCAAACTCACCTTTTGAGTTCCCACTCACTCAAACTCACCTTTTTAGTTCCCACTCACTCAAACTCACCTTTTGAGCTCCCATTCACTCAAACTCACCTTTTGAGTTCTCACCCACTCAAACTCACCTTTTGAGCTCCTTCCAACAGTCTCCTTCCTCTACTGTAGTAACCCAGACCTGCCCACATCTCATTCACTTCCTAGGATTTCAAAAATGTACAAAAAGCTCATTGAACAATTGCTCAAGGTAAATGTTGTTACAAAATAATACTCAATCAGAAAGAATTACATGTACCATTTGACAGTGTCAGTTTGTGATGAAAAACAACATAAAAAGACAGGAGGCCCATGGGCCTCAATGCTCACCTGAGTCAATATGGCCCTGTTCTTCTACATCAACAGATTTTTTTCCTACATATGTCTACATAAAACTTTGATCCTCCATTGTGGCCCCACCATACCCCTGGGGGTTATGATTTCATCAAATTTGAATCTACACTACCTGAGGATGCTTTAATATTAATGACTAATCATGGCTTTGGTGTTCTTGAGATGATGATTTTTAAAGATTTTTTCCTAAATATTCTCAGTTAAACTTTGATCCCAAATTGTGACCCCTCCCAGGGATCATGATTTGAACAAACTTGAATCTACACTACCTGAGGAAGCTTCCATATCAATATGACCAATCATTGCTTTGTTGTTTTTGAGAGAAGATTTTTAAAGATTTTTTCCTATGTTTTCCCACATTAAACTTTGATTCTGGCCCCATCCTACCCTAGAGGGTCATGATTTGAAAAAAATTGAATCTACACTATGTAATAAAGGTTTCACAAAAATTTCATTTTTTTGGCCCAATGGCTTGAGGTGCCACCAAAATTTTCTATAATTCTAAATTACCTTCCCTTGAAAAGAAAATTTGAAATTTGAACAAACTTAAATCCCCTTCACCCAAGGACCCTTTGTGGCAAATTTGGTTGAAATTTGTCATAATTCTGAAGAAGTCAAAAATGTGAAAAGTTTACATATAGATGGACAACAGACAAAATGAGATCAGAAAAACTCATTTAAGCTTTCAGCTCAGGTGAGCTAAAAATACTTGGTGTTTTATCTTCAAATGCAAATTTTCTAAGTACTCAAACTTTACCTCAAGAGATGCTTTTGCCAAGTCCTGTAGTGTTGGCCATTTCTGTAAGAATACTAGTAACAACGTTGTATGCATGTTTATATTCAACTCTATCATGTACTGTAATGCAACATACATTTTGAACAGTGTTGCCTTGTCTGGCTTCTGAGTTATTCATCCTGTGTCTGTTATTAAACAATTCAGATGTACAAGTATATGGGTATTTTAATTTGCAAGGACAGAAGTCTCATTAATAAGAGGCCCATGGGCCACATCGCTCACCTGAGCACATTGGCTAGGCAAAAGCACAAATCAGTTCAGTATTGAAAAGATTACCCGGGGGGGGGGGGGGGGGGGGGGTTTGGTTACTTGAGAAGATTTTTAAAAAATTTTCCCATATATTCCTTTGTAAAAATTTGATCCCCCATTGTGGTTCCTCCCTATCCCAGGGGTCATCATTTGAACTTGAATCTACACTACCTGAGGATGCTTCCATATCAATATGACTAAACATAGCTTTCCTGTTCTTGAGAAGAAATATTTTTTCTACATGTTCTTATGTAAAACTTTCGATCCCCCAATGGGCCCCACCCAACCCCCCACCCAACCCCTGGGGGTCATCATTTGAACAAAATTTTATCTACACTACCTGAGGATGCTTCCATATCAAAATGACTGATCATGGTTTGCAGTTCTTCAGAAGAAGATATTTTCCTATATATATATCTATTTAAGACTTTGTGGCCCCATCCTACCCACAGGGGTCACGATTTGAACAAAATAGAATCTACACTACCTGAGGATGCTTCCACATAAATATGATCAATCAGGGCTTTGCTGTTCCTGAGAAGAAGATTTTTAGCTCACCTGAGCCAAAGGCTCAAGTGAGCTTTTCTGATCACATTTTGTCCGTCGTCCGTCCGTCCGTCCGTCTGTCTGTCCGTCCGTCTGTAAACTTTTCACATTTTTGACTTCTTCTCAAGAACCACTGGGCCAATTTTGACCAAACTTGGTACAAAGCATCCTTGGGTGAAGGGGAATTTAAATTGTTAAAATGAAGGGCCAAGTCCCCTCACAAGGGGAGATAATCAAGAGAAGACAAAAATAGGGTGGGGTCATTAAAAAATCTTCTTCTCAAGAACCACAGGGCCAGTAAAGCTGAAACTTATATGGAAGCATCCTGGGGTAGTGTAGATTCTAAATTGTTCAAATCATGACCCCCGGGGGTAGGGCGGGGCCACAATGTGGAATCAATGTTTTACATAGAAATATATAGGAAAAATCTTTAAAAATCTTCTTCTCAAGAACCACTGGGCCAGAAAAGCTGAAACTTATGTGGAAGCATCCTGGGGTAGTGTAGATTCTAAATTGTAAAAATCATGACCCCCGGGGGTAGGGCGGGGCCACAATAAGGAATCCAAGTTTTACATTGAAATATATAGGAAAAATCTTTAAAAATCTTCTTCTCAAGAACCACTGAGCCAGAAAAGCTGAAACTTATGTGGAAGCATCCTGGAATAGTGTAGATTCTAAATTGTTCAAATCATGACCCCCGGGGGTAGGGCGGGGCCACAATGTGGAATCAATGTTTTACATAGAAATATATAGGAAAAATCTTTAAAAATCTTCTTCTCAAGAACCACTGAGCCAGAAAAGCTGAAACTTATGTGGAAGCATCCTGGGATAGTGTAGATTCTAAATTGTTCAAATCATGACCCCCGGGGATAGGGCGGGGCCACAATAGGGAATCCAAGTTTTGCATTGAAATATATAGGAAAAATCTTTAAAAATCTTCTTCTCAAGAACCACAGAGCCAGAAAAGCCGAAACTTACGTGGAAGCATCCTGGGGTAGTGTAGATTCTAAATTGTTCAAATCATGACCCCCGGGGGTAGGGCGGCACCACAATAGGGAATCCAAGTTTTACATTGAAATATATAGGAAAAATCTTTAAAAATCTTCTTCTCAAGAACCACTGAGCCAGAAAAGCTGAAACTTATGTGGAAGCATCCTGGGATAGTGTAGATTCTAAATTGTTCAAATCATGACCCCTGGGGATAGGGCGGGGCCACAATAGGGAATACAAGTTTTACATTGAAATATATAGGAAAAATCTTTAAAAATCTTCTTCTCAAGAACCACTGAGCCAGAAAAGCTGAAACTTACGTGGAAGCATCCTGGGATAGTGTAGATTCTAAATTGTTCAAATCAGGACCCCCGGGGGTAGGGCGGGGCCACAATAGGGAATCCAAGTTTTGCATTGAAATATATAGGAAAAATCTTTAAAAATCTTCTTCTCAAGAACCACAGAGCCAGAAAAGCCGAAACTTATGTGGAAGCATCCTGGGGTAGTGTAGATTCTAAATTGTTCAAATCATGACCCCCGGGGGTAGGGCGGCACCACAATAGGGAATCCAAGTTTTACATTGAAATATATAGGAAAAATCTTTAAAAATCTTCTTCTCAAGAACCACTGAGCCAGAAAAGCTGAAACTTATGTGGAAGCATCCTGGGATAGTGTAGATTCTAAATTGTTCAAATCATGACCCCCGGGGATAGGGCGGGGCCACAATAGGGAATACAAGTTTTACATTGAAATATATAGGAAGAATCTTTAAAAATCTTCTTCTCAAGAACCACTGAGCCAAAAACGCTGAAACTTATGTGGAAGCATCCTGGGATAGTGTAGATTCTAAATTGTTCAAATCATGACCCCGGGGGTAGGGCGGGGCCACAATAGGGAAATATTGAAATATATAGGAAAAATCTTTAAAAATCTTCTCAAGAACCACTGGACCAGAAAAACTGAAACTTATGTGGAAGCATCCTGGGATAGTGTTGATTCTAAATTGTTCAAATCATGACCCCCGGGGGTAGGGCGGGGCCACAATAGGTATTACAAGGGGGGGAAGTCTGGTAATGAACAGCATGGCCAAAGTTACTCAGGTGAGCGATGTGGCCCATGGGCCTCTTGTTAAAATTTTTCCTATACATTTCTATGTAAAACTTTGATCTTCCATTGTGGCCCCATCCTACCCCCGGGGGTCATGATCTGAATAAATTTGAATCTACCCTACCTGAGGATGCTTCCATATAAATATGAACAATCTGGGCTTTGCTGTTTCTGAGAAGAAGATTTTTCCTATATATTTCTATGTAAAACTTTGATTCTCCATTGTGGCCCCGCCCTACCCCCCGGGGGTCATGGTTTGAACAAACTTGAATCTACACTACCTGAGGATGCTTCCATATAAATATGACTCATCACGGCTTTGCTGTGCTTGAGAAGAAGATTTTTAAAGATTTTTCCTAAATATTTCTATGTAAAACTTTGATCCTCCATTGTGGCCCCATCCTACCCACGGGGGTCATGATTTTAAGAAACTTGAATCTACACTACCTGAGGATGCTTCCATATAAATATGACTCATCATGACTTTGCTGTTCTTGAGAATGAGATTTTTAAAGATTTTTCTTATATATTTCTATGTAAAACTTTGATCCTCCATTGTGGCCCCGCCCTACCCCCGGGGGTCATGGTTTGAACAAACTTGAATCTATGCTACCCGAGGATGCTTCCATATAAATATGACTCATCACGGCTTTGCTGTTCTTGAGAAGAAGATTTTTAAAGGTTTTTCCTATATATTTCTACGCAAAACTTTGATCCTCCATTGTGGCCCCGCCCTACCCCCGGGGGTCATGATTTGAACAAATTTGAATGTACACTACCTGAAGATGCTTCCACATGAGTTTCATCTTTCCTGGCCCTATGGTTCTTGAGAAGAAGATTTTTAAATGATGCATTTATTTTTTCACTAATTCTTAATTATCTCCCCTTGAAAGAGGGCGTGGCCCTTCATTTGAACAAACTTGAATCCCCTTCACCCAAGGATACTTTGTGGCAAGTTTGGTTGAAATTGGCCCAGTGGTTCTGGAGAAGAAGAAGAAAATGTGAAAAGTTTACAACAACGACGACGACGACGACAGACAACGGACAAATTTTGATCAGAAAAGCTCACTTGAGCCTTTGGCTCAGGTGAGCTAAAAATGCAAGTCCTTCATTCTGTCTATTTAAAGTTGCATGTCTACAGCAAGAAATTTCCAAGTTAACTATATAACATGAACATTAATGAGTGTAAATACTTCACTTCACTACATTGTTTTATGTGCTGAGATAGACATTTCTGTATGTTTTACTTATATACTCATTATCTGTTTTCAAAGAGTGTTATAGAGGTACATGTATTGTTTTGAAAATGAGTACCCTACTTCAGAATGAATTGTCAACATGATAGAGGGTATTTCCTCCTAAAACCTTAAATGAATGTAAACACAGATAATCAAAGATTACAGAGCTCACCATATTGAATGTTATCATTAAGTAAGGCAAAGTCCCACACCAAACAAATGTTCTGATGGTGTGCATCCACAGATGCAGCATCTATGCAAGTCTGGCCTGGGTAGGATTTTTAGCTACATGGGAATGGACTTGCTCAAAAAAAATTTTCTGTTCAATCATCTGGAAAATGTAAGATTCTGAAGTAAATCTGGTAGTGTGCATCCCTATATGCACCATCCATGTAGGTTTGGTCGGCATAGGGAAATCTTCTTATCCCTAGATGCACCATCCATGCAAGTTTGGTCAGCATAGGGACTTAAAGTCTTAAAAGAACCTGGGAATGAACCTCTTCAAAAAAAAAAACTTTAATCTGGTCAATCACCAGAAAATGTAGGTCAGATCCAGTATAGAGCAAGTCTGGTAGCTTTCATTCTACATAAATCATTCATAAGGCTTATAGTTACTTGGGAATGCTTAAATAATTTGAACCTGTTTACTCATCAAGAAAATATAGGTCAGATCCAGTATTCAAAGCATGTCTAATAGTGTGTATCTCTAAATGCATCATATTAACGCAAGCACAGGAGTTCGCGTACCTATCAATTTTACCGAAATTTTCAGTAAATATAAAAAATATGTAATACCTATAATAATAATGTTATTATTATAGGTATTACGCATTTTTTTTATTTACTAAAAAATTCAGTAAAATTGATAGGTACACAAACTCCTGTGATGCAAGTTTGGTTCTGGTAGGGCTTACAGTTACTTGAAAATGGACTTGCTACTAAAACTTTCACCAGGACATCAATGCTGATGCCAGTGTTGGGAAGTAGAGCATAAGCTTAAGCTCATCTAAACTTCATTGAGGTGAGCTAAAAATGTAGCTATGTAAGACGTAAATTGATCCAAAAATATAGTCCTTGTATGGGTTATTTTTGTGTATGTCAAATTGCAACTTGAATTTACTGACCTTGATCAATTTTATTTTGGGACAACCAATCACTAAATGAGAATTCTGGAGCAAATCTTGTAACTGAATAAACATTGTAGGAATCAATCAATTTAAGAATAAATATTGCTGTAAATGAGAAAAAAAATCTAAAAATGCATTTATTTATCAATGTTTTAATGATGACATACAGCAAAACCATTTATCTGTACTGATATTCACTTTATCAAGCTTTCCTACATTTCAAGCACAAATCTTTGTAAGATCTTGTGAGATCTGTTATGGCTGCTAAAGAAGACGACTGGTAAATGTGTGCAGTTGTATTTTACTATGTGTTAGCATATAAAGGGCTAGGTTGTTTATTTTGAATAAAAATTTCACCTTATTCAAAGGAAGACTAATTCAAAAGCTATTTATTTTGTGTAAAGTAGCACATATTAAAAGAAAATTACATCACTTCAGAGATCCTGAGGAAATGTAGCCCTCTCCCAAAAACATCAGATAAAAAATCAGAGAGGGCTACACTACTGCTGCTACAAGTGTGCATGACTGCTATTTAAATTTCTTTGTGTAATTTATACTTGTATTCCAATGAGACAGAAGAGCTGTATGTGTTCTCTAAAGCTCTGTTAATATGGGCTCATACTTAGTACAAGTGTCAATTTTACTTGCAAGCAAATTTTACTCTTCATGTGTAAATGTAATTTTTGCAAAGCATTCTCAAACTGTATGAAGTTTGCAATTTTAAAGTATTGTGTAAATTCTTGTTTAGGCTTCCTAACTGCTCTTCAACTCAGTGTTCCTACCATGCACTAAGAATAACATTGCCATTTCTTGATCAAACGCTTCTTTACATAATAATACAACAGATGGTCAGTTCTTTCTAAAATAAAAAAGATGCATGTTTTCATGAAATGGATGATGCTTCATATTTCTAAACAATCAATATTTCTATCCTTGTGTAAATTTTGCTATGTGTTCACATGACTGAAAATACACCAGCAGTAAATTTACTCATATGTAAAAGTTAATTTGCACCTAGTCTGACTAGATGTAAATTTGCACTAGGAGTAAAAATGTTCACATCCAAATCTTGCTTACCACCCCTCACATGCAGATAATAATGTCAAGTTCAAATAAACAAGATTATTTTATTCGCTTATTCAAAGACTAACATTTCTAACCTTCATCCATCTTTTATAATAGTCAATTACTGTGGCCACTTGTGTTTGTTGCAACATGATCTCTGATACCCACACTGCAACAAAAGTATGAAATATACTGCATCTGACAATCTTCATTTGAGAAAGCACAGTTGTGTATTAAATACAAACATTTATGACACATTAGAGTGTCTGTTCTTTTTAGTATAAATTCTTTTTATTGTTTCTTTTTCCATATTGTGCGAGATTCAGCTGAGGTGGATATCGATATAAAAGCATAAGGCAAAATATCCACCCGAGCTGAATCTCGGCTGAGATTACATTGTTTGGAAATCAACATTTCATTATGTAGTGTACATATATCTGTATATCTTGTGATTTTGTCTAATCGTTTCACAGAAATATCATGATGAGTTTCTTCTTCTTAAACATGACGTATGTATGATTTCATTTTCTTGCTCTGCACAACCAAAATTAACGTCTCTCTTACTACTGTGGAATCATTTTAATTCGTAGGGGCCAATGTTTGTGGGAGCAAAATTTTATTCATTCATGTGTACATAATTTCGTGGGTTACTTGTTTATACGGTAGATTAAATGAATCAATATGTTTACAAAATAAACATTCGTGGGGATGTAAATTCGTGGGTAAGGGTGACCCAAGAAATCCACGAACAATGGTCTCCCATGAAAAATGATTAAACAGTAATTGGCTGATAGCTACCTGCATACGCCCTTTGATCAATATCTGGATTTGTCAGGTGTTTTCTCCATGGTAAATCTCTTTGATTTTCTTTAAACCACGCCACTAAGCACTTGCGGAATTCTCTCTTTTCCTCGTCTTTAAAGTCGTGAATTGGTGGATTTGACATGCCTATAAAATATAGCTCTCTTAATTTCATCACTACCACCTAACATTACCCAATTTACATTGTGTGGGTATTAATTCGTCACTGACGTACGGATAATCAGTCAGAATCAACTGAGCATGTACCAATTAAATTGCATGTTCTATAATTACTATTCAAATCTTGCTGCCTTTTTTTTTACTAGGCAATGTACATGTATGTAATCTATGGGCACCAATAATCGTCAATATGAAAATTTGCAGTTATTTCACATAAAATTATCAATGCTACAGACACAAAGATTTTACCATCGCCAGGTCCTTTATCTGCGAACGTATCCTTTAGTTTTCGCTTCACCATATCCAATATCACTTCGTTATGCAATATATTCACGAGGAAATGCGGGATGGCGCCAAAACGTGATTGTATACCGATCCCGACCTATTTAGAAGCACAAAATTCTATCTCCATATGAATTTACATTCCTAATCAATATTTATACCGTTGTTTTCCCCAAGTTGTCAAAAAAAAAATCAACAAAAAACAAAACAAAACAATTAAAAAAAACAAATCAAAAACAATCAGAAAAAAATATATGCATAAATCATCCGACTGTCCACTTTTAAGTGATACAAATTATATTTTTTCAATGTAAACTTTTTTGTATTCATAATCCTCATTATCCTCTTAATAGCTTCAGATTTTTTATTACCTCTTTATATATATATATATATATATATATATATATATAAAACCTGGGTTAAACCAGTTCTTTGAAGATCCCCACTCAGTCTTTAGAAGACATTGGTCTGATCAATAAATGTTTTCATTTCAATTTTCAACTCTTTACAAAACCAAATGAAGACTGTAGCAAGATGTCATGCAGTCAATTAAAGGTAAATCCTTTGTCAATAATGATGCTCAGTACCTGATCAGTTTACTCTGGATAAATATGCCCTTTCATACAGGGTAAAGGCACTTTATCAAATACTCTTTACCAATCAGATATTAGATATCTACACAAGAGTATATTATTTTATGCGCAAGTTAAAGTTTAACTGGTTCATGAATTCTAGTGCTATCTACCATCATAATAAAAACAAAAATCTGTTTCATTAAAATTTTAATACATGTATTATACTAAAAAAAAGTGTTATTAAAAATTGGAAAACTAGCAAACAGTTTCTCTTTAAACAATGAGTCTAATTTACTAGTACATGTAGTGTAGTGAAATATTCACATTTCTGTCAAGTATCTCTGGTTCAAAATCACAAAAGCATGTACTTTGCGGAGTTAAACATGTACATCTTTGTTCATAATTGTCAGTCATTGAAAGCATCTCGCACTTTGTTCCAGCCTACTCCAATTTTAGTGTGATATTTATCCACCTGTAAAAACAAACAAATTCTTTGAATTGGATTTTCAATCAATAAATCAATATAATTTAGTTTGGTACAAAATTCAAACTTTCCATAGACGTGGGGGAAAAATGCTTTTAACACTGATTAAGGGGGGGGGGGGTTTGTATTAGCCAGTGCTCTTACACTCCCATTTGTAACTTTCCAGATTTCACAACAGTGCTTGAGCACAAAAAAGTAAACAAATGGTAACCCCAGCACAATCCCTCTCAAATTACCTCTCTTGGTCTTTGAGTAACATTATGTCCAAATATAAGTTATATTTGTCTCTTTATTTATTATTTACAAGTTCCATTAAAAGCTATTAATTAAAAATTAAAAATTCTTATATAATTCTTTTCTTCAATTGACCTGTCAATTACATTACTTGCAGTAATTAATTATCATAGGTGAATAACAAAGGGAAATACTGCAGAAGTACTTTTTTTCCACATGGTATTAATTTATGCTATATACATGTACGTGGTCACATATTTTCTTAAGGCATAAATCTAAGAAATCAAGTAATTTTCTACACATATTCCACGAATTTTTACCCAGTGGAAATAAGTTGTTTACAGTAACAGGAACCATGACATTCACAATTTTTTCCCCTTCAACCATCGATACTATATGCTAAAATTGGTTAAAAATTTGTTTAGCAGTTCCAGAGAAGAATCTGAAAATGTTTAAAAGTTTACAACAAAAATGGATAGAAATAGGTCACCTGAGTGATAGAGGTGACCTAAAAATTTCAGATGGCTTTGAAACTGTACAATGGTGACTTACTGCTCCAACAAGCTCTGAGTAAAGTCCCATAATGCCATTAGCTTTTTCTGCATGTGCTCGCTGCCTTTCTTGTAAAACATTCAAAAGATGTTGTTTTTGCTCCTCCAACTCCCTTAAACCTTTCTCCTTATCACTGAAGTGTTGCATCATTAACAAACGTTGCCTATAGAATAGAAATTATGAAAATGACTCAAACGAAATAAATATTATCGTGTATATGCTGTATATGATCTGACCCTTAATTACAATTTCAACAAAAGTACATGTATCAAAGTCAGATAAATCACGAAAGACCACAAAATACTTTTTTAACTGAATAAAAATCAAAAAGTGGTTGATTTTTACGCCCCCCCCCCCCCCCAAAAAATAAAGTAGACCTACTCTTGAAGTTGATTCAAAGTTTCTTGCATTCCCTTGTTCTTGTTTTGCTGCTGGAGGGCTAGTTTGTAGAGTTTTTCTTGTCTGTTTGAAATATTCTCCTCCACTATCTCAATCTTCTTCCTCAGATCTCTCATGGAATCTTTCTTGTCCACTGTCTTCTCTCTGTATGCCTTGATATCATTGGCCTTGGATCTACAAAACAGTTTTCTTATATTTAGTTTTCATTTCTAAATAAGTTTTGTTACTAAGGGTTTTTGAATATGGATGTAAACAGCAGAATAATAAGTATACGTTTATCTTGTTTTACCAAACCAGCTTCCCCATTTCCCTTCATTTCTTCCCCCTTTCCCTCCATTATTTCAGGTCCATAAAAACTTCAAACATATCTTTTTTTAAAATAAAAATGGCAATTGATAACTGGCTACTCAGTTGGAATGATGGTAATTGGTTACAAAATTTGTAATCGGTTAGTCAAAAATGATTACAATAAGTCTATATTTGTAGGCAAATTTATTAAAAGTTTATTCTATTTTTAAAAAATCTGAACATGGATACATTAGATTTTCACGTCTAATTAAGTCAATTTGGAGATATTCACGGCTCCGAGTTGAGAGTGCTGGGGAAATTAGTCAGTTCGTAAAGTGTTAATTATTGATAAACCACCGCATCTTCGTCCAGCTTATTATTATTAGTCTAATTATTTTTTTTGGGGGGGGGGGGGGGGGGATGGAAATAAACTCATAAAAGTTTTAATTAAACATAAGCAAATACTACTGATTGTTTATCAATTCTTTTTTTGTAAATGGATAGAGCTTTCTTAGGAAAATAAAATTTATCAATATGTCTTAGAATATGTATAATTAGATACAATTAACCAGTCAATTGGTCAGAACATGTTGCAGTTAACCTACTGGCAATTCAGTATTCAATTGTCATCCCTACTCTTTAATAATTCTACATACATTCCAAGATTTTGTTACTTTCATTAAATAAGATATAAAGATGTAAAAACCCCTTTATAAAGATATGGATGAGGGTAAAACATTGCTCGTTATCCTGGATACTTGAGCTTACATTGCTGCGTCCACATCCACTTTTATGTTGTGTAACAGTTTGGTAGCTTTTTCATTGTTGGAGATGGAGACCTTAAACTCCTCCACTTGTTGTCTCTTGGCCTCCAGCTGTTGTCTCTTCCTCTCCAGATTCCCTCGTAACTCCACCAGATGTACCTTCATCATATCCTGTTCCTCCATAACTTTTTCGGGGGACTGGACAATTTTCTGACTAAGCTTCTGCCCCTCCTCCTCAGCTTGTGTGATTGCCAACTTAACTTTGTCCTAAAATTTCAAAAAACCTTGTAACTTTTTTTCTATACAATAATTAATCTGTTGAATATGTCAATTCAATCCAGTCATTTATTTGCAATTTTAAAATCAATTGAGCTGTTTATTCATTTCCAGCTCTTGAAGCAAAATTCATATCAAATTACTGTAGTTAATGGTAGTGATGTTTCAAAATATTCTTTAAAACTACTCATCTAAAATAAATCAAAGAACTTTGTTTGAATTTTGCCATTTCAAAACTGAATTATATCATTTACTTTCATACTTTATGGAAGTGTTATGCATCTAAATGCAGATAAAACCATAAAACTAAAATAAGCCGTACCCTATTGGCAATTTTCTCCGCCAGTCTGGCCTTGACCTCCGTGGCAGCCTTCTGTTTCACAGATTGTTTCCTGAGTCGTTCCTGTAATCCGTCATTCAGAATATCCAACTGTTCTTGGATCTATTACAAAACACAAGTGAATTAAGATTCAAACACATTTACATCTCATGAAGTAGAATTCAACACATGCATCATCTTTGTATTTATCAGTAAGTTAAAAAGAGTACAATGAACATTTCAAAGCAATGCCTCTGAGTATTTGTATTTCAAAATGCTAATGTGTTGCAAGAAACCTTATTTGAAATATAAGATAGTAACAAATATCTCTGATTTTGCTTTTACATATATATGCAAAGAACAGTTGATTTTTAAAGTCAATTATTATGGACAAAATGTACCACTGACCCTTGCTGCATTTATGCTCAACAGGTTAAAGAAGTTTAATAAAGTGCACTGCACTAAATACAAATATGCTTACATGTGTACAAGTTACATGTGCCTACCTTGGCAAATTCTGGGTCATTCTTTGGTTTTTCAGCTTTCAATTCCTGAATCTTTGCCTTGAGTCTGTCTCGTTTCTGGATCATGTGATCAAACTGATCTCGAAATCTGTCCTGGAATAATAAAAAGAACTAGAAATATGTCCATAGGACATGAATGCCCCACCGAGGGTATATTAGTAATGCAACATTTTAACACAAATTGAGAAAAGTGAGGTCAAGGTCAAAGGAAAAGTCAAGGTCAAAAAATATTGATGTAGTTGAATAGCTTACATCAGTATGTATCAGCATATGAAGTTTGACACTAATTTAAGAAAAGTGAGGTCAAGGTCAAAGGAAAGGTCAAGGTCAAAAAATGTTGATGCAGTTGAATAGCTCTCATCAGTATGTATCAGCATTTGAATTTTGATAACACTATCTTGAATGGTATCTTTAAAACTGAGCTAAACACTTATTTAAGAAAAGTGAGGTCAAGGTCAAAGGAAAGGTCAGGGTCAAAAAATGTTGATGCAGTTGAATAGCTCTCATCAGTATGTATCAGCATATGAATTTTGATAACACTATCTTGAATGGTATCTTTAAAACTGAGCTAAACACTTATTTAAGAAAAGTGAGGTCAAGGTCAAAGGAAAGGTCAAGGCCAAAAAATATTGATGCAGTTGAATAGCTCTCATCAGTATGTATCAGCATATGAAGTTTGATAACACTATCTTGAATGGTATCTTTAAATTGAGCTAAACACTAATTTAAGAAAAGTGAGGTCAAGGTCAAAGGAAAGGTCAAGGTCAAAAAATGTTGATGCAGTTGAATAGCTTACATCAGTATGTATCAACATATGAAGTTTGATTATCCTATCTTAAATGGTATCTTTAAAACTGAGCTAAACACTATTTTAAGAAAAGTGAGGTCAAGGTCAAATGAAAGGTCAAGGTCAAAAAATGTTGATGCAGTTGCATAGCTCTCATCAATATCTATCAGCATATGAAGTTTGATAAAAATATCTTGAATAGTTTCTTTGAAACAGAGCTTTGAACAGAGCTAAACGCAAAGTGTGACGGAAGGACAGAAGGATCGAAGGACAGAAGGACGGAAGATGGACATGACAAACACTATATGCCCCGGCCATATCCATGGCGGGGCATAATAAAATGTGAAGTTGTTAATACATGTACATAAACAAGTACCTGTATACAGAGGACAATCTGGCTGTGGTTTCAGTAAATAATTTATATTATAAAACATCATGAAGTTTTTCACAAGTGACAATTTATAGTTAAATCCATTGTCTTGTTCCTGTCACTCACATTTTCTTCCTTCAAGTCCTGGTACACCTGAATCCTTCCTTGTTGAAACTTTATAAAATTGGCAATAGCACACATGATCTTTAGAACTCTGTTTGGAGCTAAAACATGATGAGATATATAAATCACTTGTGTATACATTTAATTTTTCTATTAATGAGATACAAATGTCCACTTCAGAATGATTATAGTTAGAAGATCCTTACATGGTTCTTTGACATCCTTCAGAGAAAAATCAGCAATTCCACAAGATGACAACATTCTTTTTCTATTAAATTCAAAGAAAACAAAAGTAGATGAAAGCAAGACAAAGATCTACTACATCAAAAATTACACAAAATACTATGAACACCATTCAAGTTTGAAAGAGATTATAAACATTTGTTTATATCAAGGCATACATACAATGTAAGGGAAAGTAGGACAATTTCAGTGGCTTCTTCATACAATTCTGGAAACTCCATCTCATCTTTGACATACAAAACTTGCTACAGAACAAAATCAATCAACTTTTTCAATTTCACTACATTGCTTTACAACTTATTTTATTCTGCTACAAAAGCATCAAACAATATAGCAATAAACAGAATTTTAAAAAAGCCCTGATGAAGATTCAAATCTGACTCTTGATTTTTATACAAGAACATTTATATTGTTAAGACTTTTTGCTGAGGGTCATTACCTGTATAATACTCTCAAAAGACACTCCCGATAAAACCTCCACCAAACGACAATAAATCTTCTGCCATCTCTGGCTCTGTCAAAAATTAAAAAATATATTCAACTGCAGCAATTTCTTTTTTTGGTTAGTAATATAGTAACCCAATTCTTTTCAGCAACACTTTTTATTCATAATTTGGATTTGAAATCCATTTCTGGCTATTAATTTTCACAACTGAGGAACATTCAACATAAATACTTAGAAATTGTTTGCAGTGCTTAATATTCATGAGTAAAAAAGGTCACAAAAATCACAAATATTTCTCAAAGATGAATAAAGTTGGTTTTCACCAAGTGCAAAATACATAAATGTTCAAATTGTATTTTTTTCCTTTCATTTATAAAAGTTGTCAGATTCACACCCTGCTCAGTCTGAGTATTACACCCTGCTCAGCCTGAGTATTACACTCTGCTCAGCCTGAGTATTACACAGAGTTTGGAATGACTGTCAGTAATTTAAATAAATTTGTCTATATTGTTTGTTTATTATCAGTACTATAACTATTTTTATGCTGGTATTTAGACATCATGTGATAGGGCATTCCTTTAATGTACAGGAAAGCAAATTTTTATATTCCATGGAAGGTCTACAGTTTGAATTCCACTCAGATAAAAAAAAAATCTTTCTTTCTAATAAAAAGTTCTGTGTAAACTTTTTGTATCAACCCAATACAAATATTTACACTATAAAATATGAATAAGTTTCAGCATTTATGTGTAGATCTAAAAAAAAAAATATCTGAGTATAATAGATTGTCCATGTTGATATGAATATTTCTTTCACTGAACTTACATTTGGTTGTTTGAAGTCCTTCTCCTCCAGTGGTAAATCAGCTATGATGTTAAGATCCTGTACAAGTTGGTCAGCTGGGAGCAGTGGAAAGGAATATTGAGTTTTATCTACAATATGAAAATATACAGACTTATTCATTTTTATATTAATGCATGATAATTTACATTGTCCAAGGCAACTCTTAACAATCACTCAAATGGGTAAAATGATATTCAAAATAAAAAATTGTATCTATATCTAAGTCCATATGGAACATATGGGTGTTGTAATCCCCTCACCCCCCCCCCTCCTCACATTGTTAGGGGGTTCTGAGTCCATTTGTAGCCATTCCGAGTCCACTTGTGGTCTGGGGACTCCTGACAAACTTCATTCAGTTTTTAAGGGCTGACTGCAGTCAAGTCTTTTGGGAAATTTACAAATCCTGATTATTTATTCTTATCTCTCGACCAATCACATTTAAAGCCATGTACATCACATTTATGTGACAATCAACCAATAACACATGTATTTTAGGTGTCAACTACTGATAATATATGAAGTCTAGAGTACAGCTTTTGAATACTTTTAAGCAAAAGATGTATTTCTATTGTTTGGATAACTGTACACAATTTTGTGTGCTTAAAGGCATGGATATTTATGATTGCTTTACATTGTGCTGAATTATTACCAATCAATTATTTCTTAATTGACCTCCTTTATAATTTCATTCAAGAAGTAATTGTGTGGTCACAAATCCATTGTTTTATATAGTCCCAAATCTTTAAGAACTTTTAGTTCAAAGTTTCGCAAGGAGATTCAACTTGAAGAGCAATTTTTATATGCATATAGCTACCTAGCTTAATGTAGTGATTGTACTGGACCTTTTCTTATTACCCATTTCTATATAACAGTAGCAGGACATTATCTTAAACTTAACAAAAATGTGAAATGAAATAAGATATCAGAATTAAGGTACGATATTCTGGGAATCCATTTATACTGTATCTATAATGTCATTTAGTCCGAAATATCTGATGCTTTCCAGGCGTTTTTCACGATTTTGATATTTTACATGCCAGGAAAACATCAGAACTGGCGCCATTATGAAAAGTGGAAATTTCACCATCCCAACTAAACTCAATTTTCGATACTTGCAAATCGAATTAAATGTCAAACTCACAACGTATCAATAGTACAATGCTTCCAGTTCTCACCAATATCGCTTAAAAGAAAATATCACTCCACATTTCGATTCAGGTCTCTTGAGATTTCAAAATGCACGAATTCAAAACTTCATAAATTAACAATTTCGCATAGTAATTAATGCAAAATTGTTACTTTACAAAGTAATCATTCTTTGGCCAAAATTTTGTCGTATTCATTATCAGTGTGACTGTATCAAGAAATGTGGTACTCACCATGTTGCGCCGTTCGGCCATTTGGCAACAAAATGCAAGTAATGCAAAAAGTAAGTAAAAATAGCTTCTTTGGGTAGGTTTAAATACCTAAGTAGCTATTAATAGCTACGTAGGTAGAAATAATCTTTGAACTGGACCTGATAAAGTTGTTTACAAAAGAAAACGCCTCCCAGAAGGCCCCGATGGCAAACTCTTTTTCTTGTTAAACTAATTTCAGAAAAATAAATGTTAAACATATAAAAATAACCCTTCTAAAATAGTCTGAATCACCTGCAGTATGGTAAAATAAAGATTTTTTACTTACCCATATCTATTTCTTTTCAAAGTACGCGCTCGCAAGGCTTACTTTTTTAAGAAAACGAAAAATAAAATCTATTTATTTCAAAATCAAGCTTTCGTATATTTGGTATAGAAACAAAAGATATTTGTTTTAAAATTTCAGTTAAGCATATTTTTTTTTACCTTTGTCTCCGTTTATTCTTAACATACTATTCATTCCGTTTTGTCATTAATTTGAAGAAAGGGTTGTCCTATTCACCGCGATCGTACAAAATTAAAGAGTGCGTTCCCCATTAAATTGAAAACAAAAAGTATTTATATCTATTGAAGTTATTTAAAGTGAATTTAATTAAACTTTTTGAAAATTATCCACCAATATTAAATATACTGCTGCATCCTTTAAACAGAGAAATAAATATTTTTTTTATTACAGTTCGGGTTCGATATTGTTTTGAAAAGTGAAAGTAGAAAAAAAATGGAAGAAGTGAACAATGTGTTAGATATTTCAAAGGATGACAAGTTATATGGAGATGTGATAACTTTATCGGATTCATCCGCTGATGGAACATTTCTGCTTCATCACTTCCTATCGTTTTTTCTCAGCAGCAATATCGATAGACATGTTTGCTTTGTGTCACTCACACAGTCCTTTGGTCACCAAAAATCAGTTTGTCAAAAGCTTGGAATTAATTTAACACAAAAAATAGAGTCATCTCAACTGAAGTACTGCGACGTGTTGAAGGCTTTTGGGAATCGATTGCTGGATATACGTAGTGACAGTTTAGATTGTGTGAACAGTTTTGATTCTCTGCAGGGAGTCTATGAGATGATCAAAGCTAGTTATTTAGAACTACAGAATAAACGGGGGGATCCACCTGTTGTGATTGTCGATAACTTGAATGTTTTACTCAACATAGGCTACCATGTTAAAGAAATTAGTGCATTTATTCAGTATCTTTGTCAGCTTATTTCAGCACCAGAGTCAGATTGCAGGGGGACTCTAGTTATGTTTATCAGTACAGGAGAAGATTCTGCTGATGAAGAAGCAAATCTTGTTTGGAAGAGACTTTTGCACTTGAGCAACCTAGATGTTCATGTGTCTGGTCTTGAGAGTGGATATTGTAAAGATGTACATGGCAAGGTAAAAGATAATTTTTTTTTTGCTGCAAAACAATTAAATCTGATTAAGTATTTTGAAATGCTTGTAGGAAGTCAGACAGTGGAATATATAGCTGGGCTGATTTCCATGAGCCCAATAGCTCCTTTGGGAGAAAACCTGCATGGAGAGTGCAGGCTCTAGGGTTTAAGTTATAGAGATGAGGGGGGTGCTTGCTTTATAAAATTTATTGCTTCTGTATACAACCGTGAAACGACAGGCCTAAAAACCTGTTACAAATACCTATTGGGTTGTGGATGAGGACCTGTAAAGAGATAGGAATATGGATTTTAGAAGTAGATACATCAACTAAATGAACATTGACAATTATAGCTTCAAGGCTATATCAATAAGATCACTCTTCAAAAGGATAAAACAGCCACTCAGAGCTATAGTGGTAAGCCAGAAAAATATTTTTGTAAATGATGTTTTTGTCTACTTCATTGCAGTTGATATTTGATTTTAATTATTGTAGTGGTCAATTGAGGCCTTATTTAGATATATATCTTCTCAAAATTGATAAAATGTAATATGTTGTGCACAATGCTACCCCTTTTGAGGTCTGAATCTCCCTCTTTTTCAACACAGTAGATTAACATGTATGCTACTCTTTTTTAGATTGAAGTCAAAAGAAGAAATTGTATCAGAAAGAAAAACTCAAAAAGCATGCAGTTTAAAGTTAATGAGAAATCTGTGAATTTCTTTGCCTCTGGAATGTCCAAAGCTGTCCTTGGTTGAATTAAAAAATATCAATAAAAACTTAATAAACATTTAATTATTCTTTATATTTTATAATCCTGTTTTAGAGGGTAAAGTTTGATGGATTTATCACTTTCATTTTAAATCATACCTTGTTGGATTGCTCTTATACATGTATATCAAAGTTTGCTTGAACTTTCATATTGATAAGTACAGTAGTGAATTTTAAAAAGTACATGTAAATGAAAGTCAATATCAACGTGTGACTTTGAATTTGTCTCACTACATATGACTTCTAAATTCACACAATTTACACAGCACATCAACATCTTCACAATTCATTAGCCATAAAAATTGGTTATTTCTAGACATACTATTTGTATATATTCAGGGTTGTCCCTAAGAATTAATATAGAAGGGGATGTAAAAAAAAAAAAGTAGAAGGGGGTCTGGGGTTTCTACCCTAATGGGGAGTTTAGGGGGAATACTAAAATAACCGGGGGATTACGTCTTTATTGGCAGGGAAATTTTCTACCCTTGCGGTCTTAGGGACAACCCTGTGTATGATATATAACTTGCATAATTTGAAATCCCAGGTACATGTATGTAGGTAAATAGGTATAGGCCTATAAGGTAGTAATTCATAATCAAGGTTAGAAAGTTTACATAGGATAGTGGGGTGGGTCATCTCTGCACCACTACCTTGTATAGTAAATGAAAAGTAAATATGCCAAGTTATCTCTTGAGCATTTCAGCCTTCAAGATTAACTATGATACTGATAATGAATTTGAAAAAAAAAATTGTTCATGTCACCAATATTATGTAATAAATTTAAAATTATAAAGAGTAATGAAAAAATTATATTGAAAATTTATTTATTACAACTGGAAGAAGTATACATGGTATATGTATTGAGTATAGTTTTTATTCCAAATTTCCTACAGCATGAGTAACTCAGTGTTTCTTGGGCAGCAAATCGTCTAGGCCTATGTCATTTATTTAATTTGGAGAATATGAGTAAAAAAATCCCAAGCAATTGCTCTGCAGAAGTAAAAAAAAAAATCTTTCAAACATGTAAGATCTACGTATTTTCGATTGTACGGTTCGACTTACGTAAGATGAACGATTGATCACGCTTTACCAAATTGTCTTCCACTTCGCATTTCATGCCGGGGTCTTACCCCGGCATCATTCAAAAGAATGAATCTACACTATATAAGGATGCGACGGAAGATGTGATTTTTTGAATATAAATAAATCAGTTTCAAATAATTTTTAATGATTTTTACCTAAATTTTAAATTTTGAATTAATTTTGAAGAAAATGCACATTTTTAAAAATGTTTTTGTTTAATTAATATAGTAAATAATTATTCGTTTATTTCTTTTATAAAAAAAAGTTGGAATCATTAAAAGTATTTTAAAATTACTTTGATCAAAATATCTTAAAATGGGAAGTAACTCTTAAAAGCACAACTAACTTCCCTCTGGTTGATACCAACAATATCGGAAAGATTAAGATTAAATCGGTTATTCATATCATTTTTACATAGCTTTTAAGTGACCTCAGCAATTGCAAGTAGGGGTTTTTGTGTCCATTCTATTACCACAAAAATGGACGGTGAACCTCAGTGTGGCGACGAACCTCCTCAAGCGAGTCCGGGAAACACCAGAGAGAGAGAAAGAAATACATGGTTTTGACTTTTGATAATGTGATAATAAAGCCAAATTTTCGAAGGAAACTCAAAAACCTTATTAAAGATGTCGTAGCAAAATGTTGTCAGGACATAGGTCCAGTGGCCCAGGAGAAAAAAAAAATCATGACTAAGTAAACATACATTATTCAAGTTATCTTTATTTATATAAGTTATCTACTATTCGCTAACATCTAAATGATAAATTTATAACACTATTATATAAAAGGGTTTTTTTTACCAATCAGATACCGTAGACTGAAAATACAAAAGTGTAGATCAACTCTTGACATATTAATTAAATTAAAGGAGATTTTTTCCCACCTCTGATGTTTGGAGGTGCGTGTTTGCTCTGATCCTATATTGTATTGTTTAATGGACTTTTGAGCTTGAATACTGTTCGTTATCTCCTTATATTTCATTATGCAATGCTGGCGACTTTCCCCAGCTCTCTACTAAAGATAGAATCTTCTATACACAAGAATTATAATAGATGTGCAACGTCTTTTTGACAGATTTATTAAATTAAAACAATTTTTAATGCGTTTTAATACAATATTAGATTTTTATTGTTTGAAAAAAAACATACTCTCAATTCATTGCATGAAAAGTTTTACTTTAGGTATGATAAAGTTAGTTGTTAATTACTTGTGTGAAAAACCTTGAGATATTATTCTTTTGATTCTTGAAAATTTACCTGGATGAAAAAATCTTTTATGGGAGGTAACTCTAAAAAGCTACCCAATATTTCATGGAGTTGTACCATCTAGCGTTAAGATCCTTTATGAAATCTAAGTAAAAAATCTCGCTTTTTCATGCCCGAACTAAAGACCGCTGTGAAATTCATCTTTAGGACACTTTGCATATCTATAGTTTGGTGTTGTTTTTTTTTATACGGTATTAATTAATTGCCTTAACGTGTCAACAGCTATAGAAAGCACAAATATAATAATGATAATTCGCTATATTTTCCTTTTTCTCTGTCAACTTGACAGTTCAGTCTATTTGGAGCTACCAAACTATCAAAATTTTATGAGAGAGGGAGAGCGATTTCCAAGGGAATTTTTCGTCATTGTGTGTAAATGGTAACTCATGGTGACTTTGCATATGATAATATACCGATAATGAATAATTTGTCACGTCATGCTACATTCATGGTTAACAAAGGGGGTAAAAATCAATTTACTTATAAAGCGATATAATAAACATTCAAAAAAGAAAAAAAAATAAATCAATGGTTCAATCATTTTATTTTGCTCCGACTGATCAGATACTAAATAATAAATCTCACTTTACCATGGAACCGAACACTTTATAGACTTGACATTACTAAAGTAACGCGCGAATGTTCTTCATTTGGTATTGCTGTCACACCTTTCAAATGCAAATATATTTTATTCGTTTTTAAGATAAACAATTTTTTCTATAAAGGAATGAACTGAAAAACGAAATAAAACATGGGTTTCACATTGATTCTGTTTTTCCAAGCTACCAGCCTGACTACGAAATCGAGGAGTTTTAATTTCTGTAAATTATACATGAAGTATTGTGTTTTGACATCATCGCAACGCGCTGGAATCTGTAAATATATGAAAGGGACATGCAAGAACAAGCACTAGGCGGTGAGACAAATCCCAGGAATTCTGTGAGACAAATTAGAGAATTTTATTAGGTAGGTAAAGTTCATGTATTAATATGTAAAGAAGGTTAAGAACAGGATTCATATCCTAAAGAACTGTAAAGCGTGGCTGTCTCTATGTGGGGTTCTCACGGGATAAATATTTTTCTCGCTCTATCTGAGTTTATGATCCAATATTAATATATTAGTATAATGATTTTCCTCTAACCTACTAATAACTAACATTTTATTATTATTTCAATCATGTACAGCGGGGAGGGGGGATTCTCATATGATTACTGGGTAACTCCGAGCTTGGCCATGTCCCTGCCCCAGATTCCTATTACTAGTGAGAAATGAGTGTTTCAATCAGATTAAATGTACACAGTATCTCGCCTCCATTCCCAGGATTCTTACCATGTGTAAATCTACAATTCTATCATTTTCTTTAATTTTTTTTACCTTACCAAGTAGCCAACTTTGAGGGAAAATGGGTTATTCATTATCCATTTATCTAGTCAATTTTGCATTTTCTTTGATCATTACATTACCCATGCCTCTGATTTCATGCGTCAAGTATGTTAAATAATAACATTTTCTTTTATCTTTGAATATATTTTTATTATTTCTTATTCTGGTTATTGTTTTAACGTGTAACACCTGGTTACAAAACACAATCACACATTCCGCTTGAAATATCTCTCTACTCAAACTATATGTCGCCTTTAGTTTTTTCTCAATTTTCTTGGTAATTTTTATTCACGCTAATGTTTTTTTAAATGAATCCTCGTTTTTTTTCCTCTGTGTGAATGTTGGCCTGTATGGCCAGTATCTACTTGCTTCTCTCAACAGGATCAGTGCCCTTCTAGGGACCCCTTTTGGATGACAGATCCACTACTGTTGACCTTTTTTCCCCTGACATCCTCTACAGCTTCCTTCTCTATTTGTATTGTTTTGTTTTGCGTTTGATTAGGCGGGCTAAAAGGGACCAAGAATATTGATAAAATATTGTGAAATATTTTTCTATCATCCGTATACTTTTTACATTGCAAGTGTAATGTCGATCGCCAAAGCTAAAGCATACCATTCACTACAGTACCTTATACCTAATTTCTGCAAATTTTGGACTCTTCTGAGTTGATACACAGACTTTGACGTCTCTAAGTCTTAGCCTAGCAGTTCATTAAGCATTAGTTCGTCCCTAGCCGTTTTTTTTCTAATGCACAGTTTCTTATCAGACGGATCATCATTCTGAACATCTCTCTTAAATCTCAAATCCATATAAATGGCAAATATACGAACTAAGAGTGTCTGTATTACAATGCTTAGGACCCGGTCTGTGAAGTTTTCAAGGTCAGAAGTCCATCAAAACTCAATCCATCTGGCCACCTATTCTTGGGAGGTCTTTAAAATTCATAACCAACACTCTTCAGTAAATGTATACACGTATATATGTATACAAATATGTATGTTTTATAGTCATCATAACCCCCTGTAGATTTGCCAGTGTTTCAATTTTTTCAGGGGAAAAACATAGAATTCACCCACGTCCTTCAAAGGATATGTTAAATTGTTCACTATGCCAACATCAAGTTCTATTTTAACAATATGGACGGGAAAATCACACTCAGGTTGTTAAAAGGGAGGAAAGTTGTTATATACATGTACATGAATCTAATTGAAATGTGTTACAGTTTTTTATTTCCTTTTTAATGAATCAATGGTTTTGGAAAATTGTAGGCTTATCACTGACAGATGGGTAAAAAAAGCAGCAAGTTAAAGCCAGACTCACTGGACGATCTAAGGTCACAGACCAAATTCAGTGATGCAGAAATATTAGAATGGTACAAGGGATTTAAATTCGAATGTCCAAACGGGGAATTATCTATAGAGGAATTCCGAAACATATACCGAGGTCTTTTCCCGACCGGAAATGCAGAAAAATTCGCCGAACACGTCTTTCGAGCCTTCGATGAAAATCGAGACGGAATGTTAGATTTTAGAGAATTCATGTGTGCTCTTAGCGTGACTTCCCGAGGGACAGTTGAAACCAAGGCAATGATGGCTTTTAAGATCTACGACTTGGATAAGGATGGGTTCATCACTGAAAGTGAAATGACAGAAATTTTGAGGGTGAGATCTGTTTAACCTCTCTGCACAAAACCTTTACCGGAAAATAATTTGAAGTAACTATCCACATCATAAGTCTACTGGACTTCTACGCGATTATATTTATTTTATATTTATTTATATATATATAAACTGTAGTTGTAAAACTGTGGCTCTCTGTGAAATCTCAATTTTATTTCTCAGAGACCTACAGTTTTGCAGCTAGTCTCGATAATACTAAATCGAGATTTGTGTAACACGACTTGCTATTCCTGGGTTAACCTGCAAAGTAATATACCTCTACAAATTCATGCATTTTTGTAGGCAATGAACAAGATGACAAGTGAGTTCAATATGGGTCTTTCACCCGAGGAGAAAACAAAAGAAATCTTTCTAAGAATGGACAAAAACCAAGATGGAAACCTGTCCATGTCGGAATTCATCAAGGGTGTTCAGACCGATTCCTCTATAATGCACATTCTTACTTCCGCTTCAAATACAGGATGACAGTTTTTTTATTTGACAGTTTCTAATATTTATAAATGACGATGAATACATTTTGTACTTAAAGCTTCCACCAACACTAAGCTTAATTCATTACTATGCTGACCTTTTCTTCATAGTATGCACCATACAGTTTGACACTGAATTTGCAAAAAAGTTTAATTTGCCGTATATCATTAATCAAAGTGTTAACGTAGTTTTTAGTTCTGCTGGTCAAACAATGGCTTCTGTGATGGTAAGGTGCCCATCTCTCGCCGTTTGTATGTAAACAATTTTCAAAATGCTAATTAACCTTCCAACAGTTTTGGTTCAATTGCAATAAAACTTGGTACACAAGTAGGGTACACTAAGATACATAATTCATTTTTTACGATTTTTGATATACGATGTAGATAGAATGTTCTATCGTTAAAATGATAAATATCCTACGGATCCGGTTTGGCCTATCCCGAGACACAGTTAGATTATTCTAACTACAAATGATGCTGTCATGTTTACTAAAAAAGATTTTTTTTTAAAACGATACTCCTCCTACAGATTTAGTCCGATTTCAATAAAACTTGGTACACAAGTAGACTACACTTTGATCAATAAAAGTATTATTCAGTTTTTGATTTTTACGAACGGGTGTTGTCATGGTCAATAAAAATAGAAAATTCTGAGAAATTCTTTCAAAATGCTACTCCTACAGTTTTGGCCAAATTTCAATAAAGTATCGTCGCCCGCGTGGCGCAGTGGTAGAGCGTCTGCTCTAACTAGAGATGATCCTTACGTCGCGGGTTCGAATCCCACTGTGGGACGTGGAGACCGGTCCTTCGTACGAGACCGTATGAACCGAGGTCCCGTGTCGCAGTAGATGTTGGCAAGAAAAAGATCCCTCACTGCTCAATGGCCCTGAGTGCCGAGTATAGCTCAAAATTTGCAGCTCTCCACCGCCGTGTGGTGGTTTCTCCATATGAGTGAAAAATTCTTGAGAGGGACGTTAAACAACAAACAATAAAGTATCCATGTAGACCGAGTGTATATAAGATAAATAAAAAATATTTATGGATTTTTTGATTTCGTAAATGGCGTTGCCATGGTCACTAAAAATAGAAATTTCTTCGAAATTCTTTCAAAATGCTTCTCCTACAGGTTTTGTCTGGTTTCAATCAATCTAAGTATACAGTAGTTAAAATTCTTCAAAAGGATACACCTCCTACAATTTTAGTTCGATTTCAATAAAACATGTTACATTCTATTTATTGACGTTGCCTAGTCCTCTCTTCCTTAGTTATAAATGCAGACCAGTAAAGCTACAGTCTCGTCAGAGACTTTTTTTTTCTTCATTCTATTTTGCACACACTTTACTGAATTTGTTACCATTTTGAATTTCATTTGAGAGGGAGAGAGAGAAAGCTGATTCCTTACCCAACCGCTAAATTGTTCGCGGTGGTGTATCTTGAATTCGATGTGCTAGTTATTGTTGTGTCGGTGATAATATTCGTCTAACAATTATGAAACAAGAAAACATTGATGTAACCATCAATTGTCGCCCGGGAAATAAATAAAGTAAACAATGGAAATGAGTTTTGATCATCAAACCGCTTCGATATGTGTGAAAAAGGCATGCGTCTGAATGATGGAGACAATAGTCGAGAATATTTTGAAAACTTATAGTCGGATGAAAATCGAACAAAAACGATTACCCTTTTAAACTTTATCAATTTCTCAAGTAAATGTTGGCTGCATAAAATATAATTTGAAACCAGACACATGCATCACCTATTTTCAAAAATGTCTTTCACTTTAAGAATATAAAACACGAACTGTGTAAAGTACATTTTTACGTTTTTATGCGATAAGTAAAATTCGATCTTCTAAAAAAAGGGACCTGTCGTTTTTTCGATAGTAAATGATAAGCAACTTTATATATTAAATATGAAAAACATATATATTTTTACAGATTCACTTTATGGAAGTAAATATATTGTGTATCTCGTAATTTATAAAGGGAAAGAACATTCTGATTAACAATCTTTTTAATGTTTAGAAAACCTTTAATTCTGAATAACTTCTCCCACCTCAATCCCCATATACCAACACTTAAACTTATATGTATAGAGCAGCCCGGTCCTCCGGGCTGCAACAAGAGATGACAATTTACTGCGGTTTCTTTAAGTAGCCAAACTGTGTTGTATATTGCACCACACTGATCTTTTCAAGTTGAAACATTAAATGGCATGGTTACATATAAATTAAATATGTATTTGATTTTATGTACTTAAGTTTCAATTATTTGTATATATATAAATCTTAAATGTTCAAAACGAGAAAGGTGAATTTAATAAATTCTGTAACTAAGTCCATGTGGATAAACATTAAAAACTTAAAGCTTTAGGGAATGATGTAAGAAGTACATATTTTGCATTTTCACATCCATTGCAATGGCCAAAGTCTATAAATTGGTCATGCAAGCACAAGTACTAAATAATTTATGCATGTTTTGTAAGGAAATGAGAGATAAGGATCAGTGATGTGGAGTATCATACGAACATGATGTAATTTTATATGGAGACAGGAATTCTCATTTAAGGTACACTGAAACTATAGAGTATTAGAGGACATACACTATTTTATAGGGTTTTTAAGTCACAAAGGCTGAAAATCACTAGGGAGATAATTTAGAGCTATTCGGTCTAATGAACGTCCAGAACAAATTAAAATGGTTTATTCTCATGTAAATTTGCATATTTGTATATGTGTCATGAATTCCAGTCTAAAATTTCCTGTTGAATATTGCATTTTTTACCATTCCTTGTCCTCAAAATTCCCTGTATGTAAATCTTTTCATATCTATTCTTTTCTTAAGAATCTGTTATTTTTGTCATCATAATACACATTGCTTGTTTGTTCTATTACAGTTGTTCAAAAGAAAAAAAAAAGAAAAAAAGAGGCGTCTAAGCCACGTTTTGCTCACCTGTATAAAATATGATTAAAACATTGAGTCCCTTCCCCTCCCTTACTATAGACATTTTATTGTGGGAGGATCTACTAACTGAAATACTTTATAAATGCATACATACATACAAACATTAACATACTAGTATACTAAATAAATACAGACATCTTTAATCATATGAAAATATCATCAATTCATATTTAAAGATCTCCTCACATACCTAACATCGATATCAATGTAGTCGTTGATATCATTCATTCTGAATTGATGCGCGCATCGACATTAATGTGAGCAATTATTGATTCGATGCGCGTTACAATTTAATTGTTGAGAGCTTAACTAATGTGCTCAGTAGTCTAATTATTGCTCTCATCAATTCGATCGATGGGGGCATTTAATAAGTAAATTGTTCATCAATTTCAAATGTTTTCCCATTACTATATCATTTTTCAAATTCTTTCCCCTTTTCTAAAAACAAACAATCTTTGATTTATCCTCATTAACAAATATCCATGATCTACAATATTTGTTAACCGATTCAACAGTAATTGAAGAGCAACAACAGTTTTAGTTAAAAAAGTACCATGTTACCTGCGTACATTAGGAGAAAAAAAAAAGATTCAATGATGAGATTTAAAATGCATAGTACACATCCAGAATTTTAAAAAAAAAATGCATTTCAAAATCATATATATACTTGTTGAATAAAAATGGGTGAAAATACTTCACCTTGCATTAAACCGAGACTACTGCTAAAAAGTCACACGTACAATTTTGCCTTGGATTCCAATTTTGGACAATTTCAGCCGAAGTTAAGATCTATAACTTTTTAAAAATCAATAAAAGCAGAGTAAAGTCTTTTGTAAATGAGGTCATAATTAAAAAGTGAAGTGCAAAAATGCCATCACTATCCCACATTTTTACTTTTAAGTTAAAACCAAATTAAGCATCAGTAACGACACTACTATATTCTGCCCATGAAGTAAGTCTATTGCTCAGCTAACAAGACCGATTCCTCTGATAGATCAGAATTATCCACCCCCTTTTTTTTAACATACATGTACTCTAAATATGCATTGTTCATTAAATATACGATCTTCCCCGTAGGATTTGGATCTTATTAGTTTCATTAACATTAATGTCTTTACCTAGTTCTTCCCCCCCCCCCCCCCCCAAAAAAAAAAAAAACATTCACCAACATCACTGGAACTTTCATTATTAATGTCGAAACTGCTTTGTGAAAAATTGATTAAAAATGCATTGCATCGTACATTGGATTTCAAGTTAACATTGCATGAATTGTTTGTCCACTCGCTACGTGTTGTATATAAGATAAAGAGGGGAAAAAAATCTGGCATATTTTTCGGACTTTGCGCGTAAATCCTGTATGTGCATGTGTATCTGTGGGGGGAAAACTAAATGTACGGCTACAGTAAAAGAGAACAGCTAGATCCCCTACCCACTCTATATCCTTCATTGGTATTATGAGAGGATGTTGGAAAAGAGAGAAGTTACACTTCAACTATGTAGGTAGAAAAAGTACTCCCCATGTCAATTTGTACAACGAAACGATAACTAGTATACGACCCGTGGGATGAACACACATACTATCTCATGTAAATTCCAAGTACATGTAACTGTAACGCTAAGTGACACAGTTACGTTTATTAAAGCCTGGCCTATGATTACAGGGCAATACGATTTATATCAAAGAGGTCAGTATTATATTTTTCCGAGGAAGAATCTTCACCCACAGAAACCCCTCTAAGCGAAAGACGATACTCTATATATACAAATACATACTGTAAATTTCTTGTGACTTATCATAATACAGATTTATACTAAGAAATAGAAAATATGTTAAAAAACCCAAGTTGGGTTTATCGTTGTGAGTTTAAAAGCGTATTGCATGGCCTCTAGGTCAGGGGTTCTGGTGTTAGGGCGGGGTTCTATTGATCATATGATAACAAGATGTGTTTGTCAAACACTGATTCCCCCGTATGGCAACTTATAGCGAAGGTTAAACTTTCTCAAATGCAAATCAAATATGTTGTTACCCAAAGTAAGGTCTTGTCTCGAGGAATATACCTTTGAAATATGAAAGTCCCACCAGCAATTATCAAATAGATATGGAGAAGTTTTTCAAAAGTAAGTCAAACATCAAGGTCAAGGTTAAATGATCAAAATTAATGGTGCCCAAGGAAAGGTCTTCTCAAAAGAAATACACTTGTGAAATATGAAAGCTCTAGCTCTAACCGTTCAAAAGTTATGGTCGAGGTTAAAATTTTTCAAAAGTAGGTCAAACTCCAAGGCCAAGGTTAAAGGGTCAAAGTTGTTGGTATCCAAAGGAAGGTATTGTCACAAGGATTACATATTTGGAATATGAAAACCCTAGCACCAACCGTTCAAAAGTTATGGCAAAGGTTAAAGTTTTTCAAAAGTAGAACGAACTCCTACATCAAGGTCAAAGGATCAAAGTTGTTAATATCTAAAGAAAGGTCTTGTCACAGCCCTTGTCACAAGGACTACATATGTTAAGTATGAAAGCCCTAGCACCAACTGTTCAGAAGTTATGGCCGAGGTTAACATTTTTCAAAAGTAGGTCAAACTCCAAGGCCAGGGTCAAAGGGTCAAAGTTGTTGGTATCCATAGAAAGGTCTTTTCACAGTAATTACATACGTGAAGTATGAAAGTCCTAGCACCAACCGTTCATAAGTTATGGCCAATGTTAAAGATTTTCAAAAGTAGCAACTTCAAGGTCAAGGTCAAAGGGTCAAAGTTAGTATCTAAAGAAAGGTCTTGTCACAAGGATTATACACCTAAAGTATGAAAGTCCTAGTACCAATTGTTCAAAAGTTATGGTCAAGGTTAAAGATGGGTAAAATTTTGCAAAACTGGTTTAAACTCACAAGGTCAAAAGGTCAAATAAGATGGTACCCAGAGAAAGGTCTTGTCACAAGGATTACATATTTGGAATATGTGAAATATGGAATCCATTGCTCTAACCAATAAAAAGTTTTTGGCAATGTTAAAGTTTTTTGCGGATAAACAGACAAACAGAGAGACAGACAGACAGGCAGACAGACGGACGAATAGGTCAAAAAGTATATACCCCCGAATCTTCGATTACGGGGGCATAAAAATATATTTATTCTTTGAAAAACCTCTCTGCTCCCGAGTATTTAGCAGACAAAATAAGTGCATAGTTATAATAAACAAGGGTGCTTCTGTCAAAATTGCGAAATTCGTGATCCCTGGGTCCGAGACTCTTGTGTAATGGTGTTCTATTGATTATATTGTGAAAATACATTAATTCTTTGAAAATCTCTTTTCTCTAGCTGCTTCTAGGCATTTAGGAGGTAAACCGAGTACAAAGTTGTAATTAACAAGAGCATTTTGACCAAATTTGTGACATTTTTGGCCACTGGGTCAATGATTCTGGTGCTTGACAGGGTTCTTTTTATCATGTAGATATGTAAATAATAGATGAATAAAAATGATACAAAAATACCTTATACCTGTATTTGTACATTGATTAGTGTAGTGATAGTGTGAGATGAGAGTATATCACAGAGGGACATAAATAGGTCTTCTAATAGTATATGGTTTTGTTAGTATTAGCCTTAACATTTTGTTGATCCCTGATTTTCCCATTTCTTTTTTTTTGGGGGGGGGGGGGGCATTCATCTATCAGTTCATCTTGTTTTATTATATACTTTTTAAATTGCCATTCTATGGATCCTTTACAGTATACTCAGGTGATCTTTAAGGCCCTTTGACCTCCTGTTGATGACGATGCTGATTTGTATTTTAGGTGCGCGATATAACAAAGATAGCATTTCGCTTGAGTTTTCATAGTGGTTGCATTTGTTAAAACGAAATATATCACTAGATTTTGTTTGAAAATTAAAGTTATAAATTGCTGATACGAATTTTCTAAGAAATTTGGAGAGCAGTCTGCACTTGTTGAAAAATAAAATAAAATTTTTAAAAAATGCAGAATACCTTACATTACAACTACGTTGGTCTAAGGTTTTCTACCAAGAATTCAACTAAAAGTAAATGTATTCACCCATTTAATTCTCAGGAGATTTTGACGTTCCTGTAGCGTTCTTATTAGAGCAAAATTCCTGTTACTGTCATTAGTTATTAGCTCTTTCAAAAACATACGACAGACAAAGTCACTGATAAAAGATTTTTTTTTTGAAAAAAATAATTCTCTCGTGTTCATCCAGGGCCTTTAGTTCCTTTAGCTTATAAGAATAAATAAATAGTTAGGTAAACGTTAGGACGATCGCAGAAAATGGGATATGGATTGTTTAATCTGATGAAATTTTCAATATAGCTCAACGTGGAAAGTTGCAGAAGTATACATGTTTATGTTTCATGTTACCCTATCTCACATTTAAAATAAAAAAGAAGAGAGGGTGGAAAGGGGATACGGAATATCCAATAGATAGGGGCGAGGACTGGAATATATATAATGTTGATGTATACAAGTCTAACAACTACGTGAGCAAAAAGCTGTTGGTTCGACTGGTAGAAATTACATGGTAGGTTAAGGATGCTTCCATATAAATTGAGACCGCTTGTCATTAAAGTAAAGACACCAGGCTTATAAGTCACATTTTAAAGAAAAAATAAATATCTAATTCGAAAATACATCTCACGATTTTTAAATTATACAACTACCCCTTTTTTTAAATATACTTTTTATATTTTTGGATAGTCTTTTTTTTTAATAAAGATTTTGGAGGTTTTTGAAGATGTTGACAAATGTTCAGCTAATTATAGAAAGATGAAAAAGGAAAGAAGTAAGCTTGTCCGGATTATTTTTAGGAAGATGGGTAAGAACAGTAGTACGCTAAGACCAGAAACCTTGGAGGATCTTAAGACCCAGACAAAATTCAGTAACGCAGAAATCCTAGAATGGTACAAGGGATTTAGATTAGAATGTCCAAGCGGAGAACTGTCCATAGAGGAATTTCGCAAATTATACAGAAGTCTTTTCCCAAATGGAAATGCAGAAAAATTTGCCGAACACGTCTTTCGTGCGTTTGACGAAAACAGAGATGGAACTTTAGATTTTCGAGAATTTATGTGTGCTCTTAGTGTGAGTTCGAGAGGGACAGTGGAAAACAAAGCAAGGATGGCTTTTAAGATATACGACTTGGATAGGGATGGGTTCATCACTGAAAGCGAAATGACTGAAATCTTAAAGGTGGGATACAGGTGTAATCCTAGTTTTCCATTGCGATCTTAATCTAGAGAATTTTAAAATATTTACTTGTATATTAGGCATTGATATGACATGTATAGTATCTACAGGTAATCAATAAATTATACCTATTTCAAGGTATTGATTACATAACTGATCGTCATTGAATATGTGTATCTCGTATGTCTTGAATGGATAAGTAACATACAATGTACTGTATCCGGTTAACACAAATCTCTCACCGATCGCGTTGATACTATAAATGGAAAGTCGAGTTGAATTTTAATTTGGAAACATTTTCATACACAAATTATTGTATTAAAGGTCAAATTCTTCTTCTGTACCAATATTTGATATCTGAACAATTATCCCTTTGAAATGGCAGACATCTTAAAAAGAAATTACAACTAATGTAAAATTGAGTGATGACGTAAAACTAACAGTACAAAACATTCCTGTATCAAATTTGCTCTAAAATGGCACATGTAGATTAATTTGAAAGATGAATTACCTCTTTAAGATTGTCAGTGGAAAGGATATACATCTAATTGACATTATCAAAGACATGCATTTTTTAAACAAATTGTGTCTACGTTTCATGTTCTGGTCAATACCGTAGCATGAGGGGAAGGGGGTTATCCCACCTTGAATCCCCCCTATAGTTTACGTTCAGACTTTATTAAAATTGGATCTAAATTGAAACTAAAGTATGTGTTAGCCTTCCTTAGTGTGAATGACCCCACTCTCACTTAAAGTTGCTGGGAATCTTTCATCTTTCTCCGTGTACGCATTTCTGAACGTTCACCGCGAATCGCATCTCACAACGTCAGGGGTCCTGGGTCAACAAGTTGCCGTTGGACGTCCAACGGCAGCGTGTTGACCCAGGATCCCTGACGTTGTGAGGATGTGTGAGTCGATGTCCATACCACTCAGGCCCGTAGGAAGCAATTTCAGTTTGGGGGGGCACAGCCAAACATTTTTCAGTTGACAGTTGAGGGAGCACTACCAAAAATTTTCTGACAAGCAAAAAAAAAAAAAAAAAAAAAAAGGTCATCAGGCGGTTTTATTGAGGGGGCACATGCTTATAGTATCTATGTTTACTATAGTAATCTATATATCGGCAAAATTATTGGGGGGGGGGCACGGCCCCCCCGTGCCCCCCCCCCCGGTTCCTACGGCCATGCCACTGATATATTTTAGGAGTGATAACTTTTTATAACAATATCACTTTGTATACAGTGTACAAGAAGTAAACATAGCCATGCAAACGTGACTGTATTTATTGCTAATTAATGCTATATAATAATATCTAAATTGTAGGCAATGAACAAGATGACAAGCAGCAAAACCATAGGTCTTTCACCAGAAGAAAAAACAAGAGAAATCTTTTTGAGACTGGACAAGAACCAAGATGGAAATTTGTCCATGTCAGAATTTATCAAGGGTGTCCAGACCGATTCCTCAATTATGCGTATCCTCACGTGTGCCTCCGATACAGAATGACGAATTGAACTTTTTCCTCATAAATTTGACAGATGCTGAATTGTGAAATTTTTTATTTGTATTATGGTAGGTCCCTACTCAGCAATAGTGGTACTTGACTGAAATATATAACCATCGTGACGTCCTGCGACATCATCTTTTTTTCCCAACATGTCAAAGAAGAAATGTATTACATTACAATTTGGCATGTGAAATGGTGTAACAATAGCAAAGAACAAGGTTCACTTAAGGCCTTTTATGGCCCTGTGAATTTCTGAAAAATAAAAAAATGCTCAGTTTTAGATGAAAATACATTAAATTTTACTTGGACCCTTGCTGACTGCATATCTATTAAAATTGACGTAATTTTTTCGCAAGTTCATGCATTATGTCGTCATGAATTGCGTCATTATCTCCAAATCCTGACAAATTCTTCAAAAATGGCCAAAAATTTAAGCCGTTCTTCAATATTTTGCATAGACCCCAACCTCTGATCTAAAATGTTGCATTACATAATGAAAGTAATGTTTCAGAAGATTATAATCCATGTTTTATTTTCTAGATCGCAGGGTGGGCGCACATTTTAATCCTTTACTGAAATACACTCAAATACACCCATTTTCGTCAAAATTCAAGAACATTACAATTTCACAAAGCCACTTTTTCAATACCTGGACTCCAAGAGAAAACTTTTTTTTTTATAGGAAATGAAAGTACTAAGTCTCTACTTTGTATTGCTGCTTGAAATGAGACATTGGGACTTGGTCAGTTAATTTGTCTATCGATAGGGCCAATTTATGGAGTTAGTGAACCTAGCTCTTTGAATGGTTAAATTTTATTTCGTCTTAGCACTATTTATTAGAGATATGACTACAGACATTTTAGTACATGTATACATATTGTTGTGAATTACTAAATTTTGAACTTGCTTCGTGGCCCTATTTACGCTGTTTAAAATTTCAAATAAATTTTATATCATGATATATAGTTGAATTCTTTTATTCAAATTATTCCGAGGGATTGCTAAAATATGTCCACCGATTTTTGTTATACTAGTAATATGACGTTAAATAAAAAGCGATAACAAATTATGTGTGATGTAAAAGTTTTCAACCCATATTTACATGTAATCATTGAATTCCAGTGTAACAACCATGGTTTACTTGTGATTTTCATTTAATAACATTGTTATGAAATTACATTTACACACAATCTCTGGGTTGTATGCCTGAATTCTTTTTTTTTGAAGCAGGTGTTTGCAGTTTTGAAAAATAAAAAATAACGAACGTTATTTTATTATTATATAATTTCAAACGGGGACAAGTTTTACACATCACTGTCAGGTTTGTCTATAAAAAAATAATCAACAAACGCAGCCAAAAAATGAGAAAAATGTAATTTAAAACTGTGCACTTTGGTGTTAAATGAGGGATTGAAAGATAGGGAGGAATACATTGACTTTTATGTGACGTCAAGATCATTATGACGTCACAATTTCCAAAGGTGAAGGCAACGAATGCCTTGTTGTGGTTTCGTAACATATTTCCAAAAAAAAAAAAAAAGAAAACCAGGATGAATACTTGCCATCAGGTAAGTGATTTAATATGGCCGCGGGAAATAATTAATATAATGTTTATAATAATTTAAGAAGCATATCATGTCGCTTCTTTTCTGTTAATTTTAATTATATCAAATGTATAAATGCCAAATGTATAAATAACATGTACACATGTTGGAGCCCATAGTTCAAATAGTGCAGACCTCATTTGATTAATTTCCATGTGACATCTATTTGAATTTCTTGGAATGTTATTTTTTTTTAATAATATCAATGATTTTGGTCTGAAATTTAAGACAGGAAATGTTTTTTTTGATTAACATTATCGTAATATTCAGATTAACAAACGAACTTTCGGGGAATATGTAACAGCATAATTTGTTTATGACTAATGATGCAGTAGGGGTTGCAAATATCCACTAAGTATTTCTGATTTACCATTAATACGAAACTACCATTTTAGTTCAATTAATTTTGATGCTACATCACTGGTTCGTCACAATCATTTTTACGTCATAATATTAATTATGACGTTAGTATATGACAACGAATGGCATAACATTGTTGTCATTCTTTTCACCGGAAAAAAATTATAATGTGTTCTTACCAGGTTAGTTTTAGGACCACAAAATAAGTTCGTCAATGAGGGACTTGCACCGAGTTTTGATTTCGTTTGCTTACTAGTGTTTTGATACTTATAATTGCTTTGTAGAATTAATACCTTGAAACAAATGTAAAAATTATTACTAGTATTAGTAATTAGTATTAGTATTAGCCAGGATTTATTTCATAGGCAGTTCCGTCAGGTGCCAAATATATTTTACAATAAGTACATGTATATGTGCTTTCATGCCAACCCCCCCCCCCCCCCCCCAAGAAGTTGTACATATACATGTAATTCTTTTTAAAAAATGTTTCTTATCAATAATCAATGTGTATATCTTGACTTCGTAGAACGAAACTGAAGCATTGGATTTTGGACAGAAAGCCATAAAAAGTGTGGTAAGTGCAGTACACTGGCTCCAGACTGTATTTATACTAAGATAAAGGATTCAAACTTTGTTGCAAGGTGTAAAAATTGAGCTATTGCCCCATAAGGGTTTTCATGCTCATATGGTTTATTTCCAGAATGAGAAGTTGGCCATTTTGAAATTCCATTAAAGCTGGGCCGAGAGGGTGGAAGAGGAGAAATTGGAGGGAGAGGTCAGATTTATGCTAAAAGAGTCTTTAGGTCATTCCAAGTTTTTACTATGTTTAGCATCCACGTGTGCCTTGGTTTTTGGCACCCTATATAAGAAAAAAAACACAAAACAAAACAAATCAGGAGTTCTGAAATTGATTATTCTGGTCAAATTCTTTTGAATTCTGTCATTTTCTCCAATGACCTGTCTACAATATGTCATATTAGGTATATTTTAAGCATTTAATACCTTCATTTTGCTAAAGAATAGATCTTTCTATAAAAAAAAATATAGTGATGGAATCAAAACCTTTCAATGACGTGATTTTCATGACTATGAAGTCAGTGTTTTATTTTTGGATTGTGTGCTTTTTGCAAATAGGTAGGTAGGTTTTTGAAAGATGGGTGGACACTAAACAGAGAAAAAACTTGAAATGGCCTTATTAAAAAATATGTTCTAAGTGACTTTGGTGATTGGTTTTCATGTAATATAACTAGGGATGTCAAATCGATCAATTTTTGATAATCGGTATATTCATATATTTATTAATTTTTAAAAATCTGTTTATTATCTATTTTTATACCTGCATTAAAATTACTTTTTAAAACATTTCCTAAACCTTTATTTTATCTTTGCATTACTATAGTAACTCATTCTTGTGCCAACCTAAAGTTTGCATTCATCTAATAACAAACTAAAAAAATGATATACAAGTATTGACACAAACACAAAAAAATGTTACATAATATTACAAAAAAGAGGCATGTACACAGCTGCATTGTTTACATTTTAAATCCTTTCTATTCTCATTCAAAAAATAAAACCAGTTAAATAAATTTAGAATTCAATGACAACATTCTTCTTTACACCACATCAAACATCTGTTTTTGTAAACAGGGCACGAGCTCTGTTATTGTTTTTTAACTCTGAACTTTCTGGATTATAGTTTAATATTTTTTAAGTAACATGTATGTTTCTGAACACACTTTTATTATATGTTTCCATGTGAAATGCTATAGCAACATATAAGTCATAATATTATATGTACTTAGTTGTTGTCAGATAATTCAGCATCTTCATTCCATAAAAGTTCATTTATTCAAAGTTTATTTTCCTTTTATTTAAATCCCCAATATTTTTTATGTTTACATAAAACGGTTGTTTGTACTATATAATTTTATGAATTTCCTTTTCTCTGAGATTTGCTTTGACAACTGCTTAACTGATTGACAAGTTACTTGAAACAATTAAGTTTTGCAAGTAGGTCTTAAACAAAAAAACTGTCAGCCCTGTTGTATTTATCAACAATTAAAACTTTTCAGTGCTGAAATGACTACATGTACCTGAAGTCAAAGCATGTCAAGTAGAATGTACAAAAAAAAAAACAACAAACAAACAAACAAAAAAAACAACAACAAGTCATTCATTATACCGGTAGAAAGCATCATATTACAAGGGATATAATACTGAGTATTTGAATGCATCAATTCTTATCTGACAAACTCTCATTTTTGTAAAGTTAACTGCCAGAACAATTGTGACTAAACAGCTTTCTTATGATATACATATTTTGTTTTCATGCAAGTAGACTTAATATTCAATGAAATATTCATTAGATAAATACTCAGTGTAACTTGTGTAGTTCATATCATGAAATTGTTTCACTAAGGGATGAACAAAACTAGGGAGTACATTTCAAAAGAATTTATTAAATTTCATTTAGATAACAATTTTCCATTAATTAACAAGTACCTAAGTATTGCAAAACAATAAATATATACACATGATAGATTTAAACTGACAGTTTATATTCCTGTGAAAAAAACTGAAAATGCATGCTTTCACAATATCTAGCAATCTAGCAATGAAAGACAAACTGATGGATACAATTCCACTTGACATTAAAGCAAAGTTGGAGGAATAATCCAACACAGTAATTTAAAAAGGACTAAAGACCTTCAATATCAGCACATGGACCACAACACAGATTATTTTATAGTGGAATGTCTTGCCCTGGAAGCCTTATCTTCTTCATCACAGAATCCAGTCTGATCCAATGTCCTACACAGTGTTACAATAAAGGTCAGGGGTTGGAGTCATTGTAGATAAACACAGAGGCTAGCTCATCGTGTTCATAAGTTCTCTTTAGGAAATTGTCTGTTATCCTTAGTCCAGATATTGCCTGAAATAGATACATCAGACTGTTTACAGTGACTACAATGACATATACTAACAGTAAAATAAATACATATATTTGCTTATTTTGTCTTCATAATTCAGAGTTTACTGAACTGAGTCTCTTAATATTATAAATATGTCAAATTTATCTTGGTAGTAGGCATTTTCTAACAAAATTGAACTACATGTAGAAGAACTGTGAGCAAGCTCAGAAAACTATACCCTCACTGGCATTTTTTTTTAAATAACCAATATACAACTTTATAAATGTGACCTTGAACTAGCCCAAATCATCATGGTTAAAAAACAACTTCCTCTGGTCATAGGTTATTTTTGAATGAAATATGGACATGTATGACATACCCTTAGCTCAAGAGTAATCTTTATTAACTTCAAATACTTACATAGAGAGTTAAAAGTGACCATGAACTTGATCAAATGACCTTCAACCAAGGTCATGACAAACCTTCAGGTCATGAACAATCTTTGTATAAGGTTTGACTTTCCAATGTTTCCCAGTAGTTAGAGACTGAAAATGATTTTTTTTTCACTTTTCTGCCAGTGACCTTACACTTGCCAGAATGACCTTGTGTCAAGGTCCTGACATGCCCTCAGGTCGTAAACAATCTCTGAAGTGAGAGCTTCTATTGTTTCTCCATTACAAAGTTATAGCCCAGTCATGATTGAACAGACAGCTAGGCAGAGGGACAGAAAGACAGACAAGGTGATTCCTATATATGTACCCCCAAACTTTGGATGTGGTGGGTATGAAAATTCAGTTGTGTTCCTTTTTGACAATTTATAATTTACATCACAAATCCTGAAATTGTTGTTTGATGACCAAATTTATGATTTTTAATCCTGTAATAGTGGCTATATCAGACAGAGTTTCAGCTTGAGATTTATGATAGTAACCCTGGAATAGTTTCACTCGGACTGATTTTGAGATCCAGATTTATGGACTTTCCTGTAATCCCAGAGAAGTGTCCATATTTATGACATGTTACCTGTAATCCTGGAATAGTGGCTATCAGATTGAGATCCAGATTTATGACATGTTACCTGTAATCCTGGAATAGTGACTATCAGATTGAGATCCAGATTTATGACATGTTACCTGTAATCCTGGAATAATGACTAACAGATTGAGATCCAGATTTATGACATGTAACCTGTAATCCTGGAATAGTGACTATCAGATTGAGATCCAGATTTATGACATGTTACCTGTAATCCTGGAGTAGTGACTATCAGATTGAGATCCAGATTTATGACATGTTACCTGTAATCCTGGAATAGTGGCTATCAGATTGAGATCCAGATTTATGACATGTTACCTGTAATCCTGGAATAATGACTATCAGATAGAGATCCAGATTTATGACATGTAACCTGTAATCCTGGAATAGTGACTATCAGATTGAGATCCAGATTTATGACATGTTACCTGTAATCCTGGAGTAGTGACTATCAGATTGAGATCCAGATTTATGACATGTTACCTGTAATCCTGGAATAGTGACTTTCAGATTGAGATCCATATTTATGACATGTTACCTGTAATCCTGGAATAGTGACTATCAGATTGAGATCCAGATTTATGACATGTTACCTGTAATCCTGGAATAGTGACTATCAGATTGAGATCCAGATTTATGACATTGTACCTGTAATCCTGGAATAGTGGCTATCAGAGTAAGCTTGAGGTCCAGGTGTTCCTTGGGGGCCAGTTTCCCCAGCTGTCTCCCTGAGATCCCAGTCCATAAAAGTCCACCAGGCTGGTTGTTTTGGAGGGTCAAGGTTAAATCCATGCCTCTTTCACTAAAAGCAATATTGTCAGAAACAATAGACTTTTTTTCAAAATATTTAAATCTATAATCAATTCATGTATTTCAAGCATTAGGATTTAAATTATTTTAAGATAAATATATATCTTATTTTCAAATTCTGGTAGAATTAAGGGATCTTGCTCTTTATAATCAAGCTAACTTTGCCTGTCAGATGTTCACAAGTAAGAATTTTCTAATTTTCAATAACATGTATCACCAATTTAGTCCCACCCTGGGGAGTGAACCAAGAACCCAGGAAACACAAATTTCAAAATTTTGGTATAAGGTTATGTGTTCATTATAATCTTATACACATTTAGCCAGCTAGATCTCCACATGTACATGTATACCAGATTTTGTATAATGTGTGAATTTTTAGAGTTTTTGTCCCATTCCTCAGGCTCCACATTTGCTGAGACCATAAAATTCACCAACTCTCTCCCCCTTCATCCACAGATGCTATATAACAAATTGGTTGAAATTGATCAAGTCATTTCTGAGATGAATCTGACAAAGTTCCTGAGTTGATGAAAAATATGATTCACACAAAAGAAAAGGGAACCATAGCAATAGGTTGCCTGAGTGACTTAAATTATCAGTTCTCATTTGTGGGTGTGCACTGCCTGTCTTTTGTAATTTTTTAAAAAGTTTAATGTATTTTCAAACTAATCACTATCCCTAAGCTTAAAACTTAGACTAAGGAAATATGAATTTTTAAATTTTAGAAGAGGGACCATTGCTTATGCAATAAACATAGTTTGTTAGATGTCTCCAAGAACAGAAAATTATAATTTAAAGATGTAATGTATTTTCAATATATCAACTAAAGTATACTCCAGAGCCTGAATCTTTGTAAAAGGAGCTTATTTCTCAGAATACTGGTATTAATATTTATAGTCTTGGTTCCAACCATTAGACCCATAGAAGATAACGATATTCACAATTTTTTTTCTCCTACACTCATACATGTTACATTCCAAATTTAATTGAAATTTGTTCAGTCATTTTGGAAAAGTTACTAAAAAAATCAAAAGTTTACTTCAAAGGGTCGGGAAAAGATAAAAATAGGTCATGAAGTCACTAAGGTCAATCTCTCATACCAAGATTTTACTACAAAACTGCAGTTAAACTTACCAGCAATTTGTAATCCTACATATGATATTGAAGGAGGACTCTAATACAACAGAATCGGGTGTCTCCTCTAGGGTAACTTTAATGTCTCCATATCCAGGGGCCTGGTAACAGATTCATACATAAGAGTTACTAGTACATCATCACAGACACCAATATCCTGACTTAACTAAAAGTGTCACCTCAGGAAACAAATCTGAGCTCTGGAAACCAAAACCTTACTATAATTCCTGCAATGATACATTTCATCTACTACATTCTGTCAGTTATACATTACATAGAGAGATTATAAATATCAACAGTATTTATGATTTCTACCTCAAGACACCCACAAACTTATAAATACATTATACGTGGAATTTTTAGTGAGATGCATATTAAGTAATTAGTTCTTAAAAAATTGGTTTGTAATTTTAGCTAGAAGTTATTTTAGCAATTTTATGATGCCAATTATGAAAGATATTGCTTACTGTAATGAATTGTTACTGATACTCAGTTTTGGGTATCTCAATACAACATCCTTGCTAAAAATGTCAATATTAAATCCTGGTTAAAATATCTGCTTTAACTGTAACTCCTATCATTAAGGTCATATGCAATGTACATGCACTTGAAATGTATGTTTCCCACTGATAATTTTCTAAGATATTCTCATTTTAAAATCATAGTACCATCAAATGTTCTTAGACAATAAATCAGCATACATTACAGGAGTTTGGAAAAGAAAGCAAATGATGAAAATCCTTGCATTTTTTAAAATGAAAAATTGACAAAAATGTTGTATTAGCTGGTATTTCCTAGAAATTTGATTTAGAAAAGATGTATAGCATTACCAGGTCTCATAAAATTGCACAAATGTCCTTTACTATTGTAACTCTAAAAACAAGATGCCCATGGGCCACATCGCTCACCTCAGTACATTGGCTACTGGCTAGGAAAAAGTAGAAATCAGTTCAGTATTGAAAAGTTTAGGAGAGGAACAAACTTAAATTTAAACTACCTCAGGATGCTTCCATATCAATATTACTAATCACGTCTTTGCTGTTCTTGAACAAAAGAATTTTAAAGATTTTTTCCTATGCATTCCTATGTAAAACTCCGATCGCTCATTGTGGCCCCACCCTAAATTTGAACAAATTTGAATCTACACTACCTGAGGATGCTTTTTATAATAATTTGACTAATCATGGCTTTGCTGTTCTTGAGCATAAGATATTTACAAGATGATTACTATATATTCCTATGTAAAACTTTGACCCCACCCCCCACCCTCAACCCCTGGGCACTCATAGTTTGAGCTTGATTCTACTATACCGAAGGTTGCTTCTGTATAGATATGACTAATAATGGCTTAGTTGTTCTTGAGAAGAAGATTTTTAAAGAATTTTCTATATATTCCTTTGTAAAACTTTGGTACCTTGTTGTGTCTGTGCCCAACCCTCCAGGGGTCATGATTTGAACAAACTTCAATCTACACTACCTGAGGATACTTCTATATTTATATGACTAATAATGGCTTAGCTGTTCTTGAGAAGATTTTTAAAGCTATTTCCTACATATTCTTATGTAAACTTTGACTCCCTCTTATGGCCCTGCCCTACCCCCGAGGGTTATGATATGAACAAACTTGAATCTAGAGTATATAATGAAGCTTTCACACAAGTTTCATCCTTTCTTGCCCAGTGGTTCTTGAGAAGAAGATTTTTAAAAGATGCCACCAAATTTTAATGAATTCTTAATTATCTCCCCTTGAAAGAGGGTGTGGCACCTCCTTTGTACAAACTTACATCCCATTATTCCAAGGATGCTTTGTGGCAAGTTTGGTTGAAATTGGCATAGTGGTTCTGGAGAAGATGAAAATATGAAAAGTTTACGACAACAACAACGACAACAAACAACGGACAAATTTTGATCAGAAAAGCTAACTTGAGCCTGAGCTAATAATACAGAGAATAAGAAAATACAAGTTCAAAACTATGTCGCGTATGTCCTTAAGTTACTTTAATGTTGATTATTCACACTGATGATAGAAATCAATATCTGGTGCATGGACAACACGTTTTTGCTTTTTATCTGAAATTTAGATAAAATGTGACCAGTGATCTTTAAGTACTTGTAAAACACTGAACCCACCACTCTCTGTAGCTGACTTGTCTGCAATCTCCCACGCTCTCCTAGGTTTGTCTTCCATACAATGTCAATTTTGCCAATATCTGTTACTCCTTTCATGACCTTATTCTGCTTTACAACTTCTGGTTTTGGAATCAGGCAGTACAGATATTGACGGATGTCCATAGGGTTTAAGTAATTAACCTTGCCAAACACCATCTCTTTTCTGAAGGAATAATAAATCTATTGTCAGATTATAATGATTATATTGCACAATTATGTATATCTTACAGACAAAGGAAGATATGAAATTGTCATCAAGACAATACAAGCTAACAAGGTTTAATTTAAATGGGATGCAGTCACCTACATTTGCCTTCATTTACATCCTAGACTATCTTAACCAGCTGTATATGCATTGTGATTTGACTGCTACCTTTTATCACCAATATATTACCATTAAGCATTACTATAATGTGTACTTCTGTGTACATGTATTTTAATTAGCATATCTAAAATTCCCAACCTAGGGTAATGGAGTATTTCATGCAATCCTGATTTAGTGTTTTTGATATTTCTATGCCTTCTTTTAATTGGGGGTATTCCTAAATTGATAAGGAAAAATTGTGCCAATCTATGAATCCCGCTAAAAAATGTGAACAAACAGTACTGTGTCAATGAAAGATTTCAGATCACACGAGTTTAAGTGGCCAAGTCCAAATATACATGCTAAGAGAGATAACTCCTCCGGATTTCGTTTTCAATAATGTGTCATATTGAAGAGTTCGATCAGGAAATAGAAATAACTAATGAGCTTGTAAGAATTTCACCTTGCTAAGATGTGACTTAATACTGCCATCTTTACTCATTTCCCTATTATTGACCAACTTTACTGCCTTCGGTGATCAATTAATCTAAGACTGCTTCCATCTCCCCACCCTATTTCCTGCTATAAAAAATGTGCATGCAGCTCCCTTTTGCATGCGACTGACAGTTACTCATGATGAATATGACATATCAATTTAAGACATCATCCATCATTGTACCATACTGGTGAACAGGCAAGAAAGGTTATACTGTGATTAGAGCTAAGACTCATTCTGCCTCAATCAATTGATATATACTGATCTCTTTCCCTCAATCAATCAATACTTACTGATCTTTGCCATCAGCATTATTGAGCTGGGTACATATATACTGCTGTGATGGCTCTAGACTGACATGTTCCATATAGATGGGGCCTGGTGTTATGTTCTGTATTTGGGCTTCAAGATAAACCTCATCAGACTGTGAAGAAGAGAAGTGGCATTAATACTTGAGTTAACACAATTACAAATGACAAAGACAGAGAAAATACATTTAGTCTACAAGTGTTTTAACAGGCTATTTTCAAATTACTTCTTTATCTGAACTCTCCTGTAAAAGAGAAGGAAAAGTAGGCTAAGTTGGATAGGAGAAAACATTAAGGTCAGACGACATGTTCCTGAATTACGTGTTTTGTATACCTTGGTATTATTTCAAATATTATTCATAATTGTCATTCTCTTGCGATTTCTAAATTGTTTTCAATATGTTTTAAAAAATAAGTACACCAAAAATTGTTACATTGGCAATTCAAAAGATTACCCATAAGGATTATATAAGAACCCTCTGGTATCTTGCCCAAATACTTGGTAAGGTACCTCAATTTTTGGTGAGGAAACTTCTTTAAGTAGTGATACTTCAATGACAAATTCTTGGGAAAAATTATACATTTTCGAGGAACATGTCGTCTGGCCTTAACAGTCACCATTCAGAAAATAATGGGGTTTTTATTTTTGGATTAAAGAGAAAAATTGCACTGAAAAACTTCAAAAAATATTTTATAGAGTATAAATTTACTTGAAGTTACATTTAATTATTAAGGGAAAAAAACTTTTTAAAAAAAAATGTGTAAATTAATCAACATAAATATTTTTAAATAAAATAAAAAAGAAAAAAAATTAAATCATGGTTATTCTATTATACATATTTATCCACTTTTTTAAATTTTAATATGCATCTTCTATGCAATATGTAAAATTGCAGTTATTGCCCTTACAACCTCATCTGGTAAAATACTAACGTAGTAGTTCGAAAATGGCCTATCTCCTTTCACCAATTTGTGGCAGAACCTATTACAAAAGTTATCCAAGCAGATTCTCCAGCAAATGATTCAGAAACAAGCACTAAAACCACCTAAACTATAGCTTAAAAGTGATCGATTGAAAATAATTAATTCTACAAAAAAAATGTTTAAGATCTCTGCTTTAGCTGTTTACTTGATGTGTTCTTTTTTTTGTAAGTGCATACTGGAAATGTACAAGCTTGATTTGTGGCCTAATGCTTCAAATCTAAACACTGATTCAGGTAGTTAGTTACATTAAAAGTAATATTTATAAATCATAAAATACAATATAGAGATTTGATTATTGCTTGCCTATATATAAATCTATGGTTAGAATGTAAAAAAAGGAAGAAAATATCCTTGATTATCCTTTTGTGTACATATAATTAAACAAAGACAGATGTATATCGATAAGAGTACATATATACATTAAACAACTTGCTACTTTCAAATTACAGTGCATCATAACAAGACATATTTTGCAAGTAAAGTGATTTTATTTTCTAAAAAATTTAAGTATTGCAATCAACTATATTTCCTTTGTTTCTTTTTAAATATCAAATGATGAAACTTTCGTTGATGATTGTAGAAATAAGAATAACTATGTCATGATAACAATTATCTTGCACTGACCTTAACCCATCTTAACTGATGACCCAGCTTTTTGACCTTGAAAATTTTGGGAGACTAGGTTAGATGTAAAAGTGACTTGATCTTTATCCTAGATATGTGTACTATGTGATCATTATATTTAACTATCTTGTCAGTGTATAAGTATCCAATTAGAGTGTACTTTAAGGGCAGGGTAGAGGTTGGAAAAGGGGGGGGGATTAAAGGTAACACAATAACCCAGATGGCAGAGAATATACAGCTTTTTCAACTGTACTGCATGGACATAAACAAAAGAAGCTTCTACTGTTTCAACTCCATTAAAGTCTGAAAGGAAGATTTTCCACATGATATTGCAGTTATGATCAGACAAAAGCGAAAAGTTCAAAGAGAGACAAAAATGACTATGTGAGATGAGATGTGTAGCTCTATAGGCAAGGAGTAAGAAGTGCAAACTTACTACATGGTCCTGACATGAAATCATAAAGAACCAACATGATATCTACAGCAATGTTTAGAAATCTACATGAAATAAACAGTCAAACTGGTCACCACAAAGAAAAAAAAATGCAAGAGTACTGGCATTCTTCCACCTAAAATTTCATTACTCATACATTATATACAACTGTGCAGTCTTCAATTAAAATTCACTATATCATTATCTATTTATGAAAGACACACTGTACAAGAAACAAACAGCATTTCTTAAAATATGAAAAAAAAATATCTTCTGCCAAAATATATTTAAAAGATAAATAAATAAAACAAAAAATAAATGCATTCAAGTACTATTTTAATTGATTTCAGCCTGTTATTTATTTTTTTTACCTCTGCATTATAGAATTTTGTCTTCACATCCAGTGGCTTCAAGACCTACAAAAAAGAAGGCATCCAACTGAATGTAATGGGTCTACACCATAAAGAATATTGATACCATCAATTACAGGTGTATTCTGTGTAATAATGATAGGTGTTTCAAAAAATACACTTGAAATATGTTTTGCCAGGAAAAATTTGTTAATTTCTTTTTTTCCCTTTCTTTCTTTTTTTTTTTTTTTAAATCTAACCTGGAATTTGAAGAACTTTCTGAATGCCATCTTTTCAAAATTGCTAGTTGTGTAACTCACAGCACATACAAGTCTACAACAAATTATGGTAATATGCCCATTTATTCTACAAGTCAAAAATGATATCACAGGTAATAAATCATATAATCTAACTCTGCTATGCTAAAACCTTTAAGCTTACTAAAATAATACGTACAACATAATGAAATTATGTAATTAAGTTGAATTGTTCAAAAATTTGAAGAAAAAAGGTGAACATGTAACATATTTTAATACAAATCGATAAAAAATAAAAATCAGATACAATCATTCTGAAAATTTTGAAATTTTTTCAACAAATGTGTTGTAGAATTTATTTCATAACAGCAGATACAGGGTAAAAAAAAGTACAAGTGTTGTAGACATTTACACAGTGTTAAAGAAATTTACATGATTGTCTGTAAGATTACATGTACTGTATAAGTTTACATGTTCTGTGTAAGTTTACATGTACAAGTTAAGATGTATAATATTACATGTACTGTATGAGTTTACATGTGTAAGTTTACATGTACTGTATAAGTTTACATGTATAAGTTTACATGTACTGTATAAGTTTACATGTACAAATTTACATGTGCTGTATAAGTTAACGTGTATAAGCTTACAGTACTGTATAGGTTTATATGTATAAGTTTACATGTACTGTATATGTTTACATGTACAAGTTAACATGTACTGTATAAGTTAACATGTATAAGTTTACATGTACTGTATAGGTTTACATGTATAAGTTTACATGTACTGTATACGTTTACATCTACAATATGTACTGTATAAGTTTACATGTGAGTTCCGAGTTCTTTGACCTCGTGGTGTACCACATCGTCAATGCTCTGGTCTGGTCCCAGCTCCTCTGTGGCTGGCATATCTGCTCCTGACAACATTAGTCTCTGGGATGTGGTCTGAAGGTCAACCTAAAACAAATCATTATACAATCTGCTGTCACAAATCATTTCATTAATTATTACAAAACCAAACAATTCAGGATCTTATCCTGGTAATGAGTATCTCAAAAATCAATGGAAGAGGTAAAATTGCAAATGTCAAAGTTATAAAATTATACCTGATGTAAAATGTTTTATCAATAATTCAAAGAATCATTATAATTCTACCATTTGAATCTGGGACATGGGCTTAGAGATAAGATAAAGACGCCCACTTGAATATTGTATCCAAGGGGTAATTTTAACCTATAATCTGTTGTTCTTTGATTTTAAATCTTCAATATTTTTGTACACTTTCAGTCCTGAGGCTGTTAATGTCTGAGAAAATGTCTGATTCTGATTGCTTTCTCTAAAGGGCTAGGTTAGCCTAAGTAAGTGCTTGTGAAAAAAAGATGTGCTCTTTAGAATGAAAATCTATTCAAATGCACATTCAAATTTTGAAAATTGGTCTTAATTCATGACCTTGCAAATTGACCTGAATTCATGACCTTGAAAAATGATCTGAATGCATAATCTTGAAAATTGATCTTACTGCATGAGTTTGAACTACTTTGACTTTTCATCAATTTATGAAAAATTTAACTCATTATAACATATGCTTCAAAGCTATGACTAATATTCAAGTTTTGGAATGGCAGCAAATCAAAAACATATACATTTAAATGCCTCCTGGTCTTAAGTCACAGGGATATTAAAATCAAGTAAGATAAACTAGTACTTCATCATGACAATGAAACACTGAGAATTACATTCATAAATTTTTAAGCCAGTACACAACACAAATATAACTATGTAAAGGAGAAAGGCCGAAAACTGTCCATTCTGTGAGAGAAAGAACTAATCGAGGGCCGTAAGCCCGAGATTAGTTCTTTCTCTCACAGAATGGACAGTTTGAGGCCTTTCTCCTACTTAAAACATGATTTCCTTTGTTCTGAAAATGAAATAAAAAAATTTACAAAACTGGTAGCAGATATGACAGGTAGCACACATACAATGACAAATTCATTGTTTACAGAATGGACAGTCATAGGTAAGCTAGGGGTGCAGAGCAATTTGCTGAAAAGCCATTGTGTTTCGGGCAGATGCAAATAACAAAAGGTCTTTGTCTTAAGAATGGACAGATACAGGTGGATTTTGGGAGATACTACTATATATACAAGCATGCCATGCTTCAAAATCAGTTTATAGTTTGCGTTGTAAAGGCATACATGTCTTCCTCTGATGGAGAGAGTATATGACAGAATCAAAATCTAATAAACCAAAATATGCATAAAATATGCATTGGTGAATTGTCAGCGGATTTTTCCGTTATTTCCTGATCATGACATGGAGCACACGGCGGGTGTGATAGGTCGGCAGGGGATGCTCACTCCTCCATGGCACCTGATCCCACCTCTGATGTTTGGAGGTCCGTGTTTGCTCTGCTCCTATTTTGTATTGTATAATGGACTTTTGAGCTTGAATACTGTTTGTTATCTCCATATATTTCATCTGGAAACATGCAGAAGAGTAAGAGTAAAAGAAATATTAGCCAAACTTTGACCCAAAGGTGAACTTCTCCAACAGAAACAGATAATGAAATTTGAATCAAACCTGGAAATGTTTTATTTGAATTCTATTTTTGAGGATATATTAACTGCAACAGTGTACTGGTGAAATACATATTGTGTTCTGAATGTTGGGTTAGCCATGAGGCAATCTTCGACCTGAAAATATTTTACAAATCAAATCTGGAGATGTTTCATTTTTAATTATTTTCTACGGAAATATTAACTGCAGCAGTGAAGTGTTCATGGAGCAAACTGTTTCCTGGGTGGAGGATTTAATATTAGACGTACTTCTATCTTAAAATGAATTCTCCTCGAGGGAATAATTTTTCCGAAAAGTCAAATGTGAAATTGTGTCATTTGAAATCAAGTTTTGTGAAAATTGAGTTTTGGGTATTGAAATAATGTACATTATTCATGAAATCAAGTGGATCCTGTGCAGACATTGTGTTCTGGATTAGCTTAGATCTCCATGTATTTTCTGTTATTTACATGTAAATTAAGGAGTATTTAATGTATTTGTTCTGTTTCCCTCTTGAACACATTCCAAAGTTTACCTGTAACTCTCCATTCTGTTTGTTTTAACTGTCCATTCTTTTTGAAAAAACTGTCCATTCTTAAAAAGAATGGACAGTTTTCCAAAAAGAATGGACACTTACAGGTAACTTAATGGATTCTTTGAGGAGTTAGCTCAACATTAAGCTATAGAATGGGCAACACAAACAAAAGGTTTACGTCACAATCATGTTTTAAATCAACTGTACAAGGATTCACTTAGAGAGTAAATAAAGTTAGATTTAAAAGGGCTGATTTTCTAGCCCTTCCTGGTTGTTGTAATAAAAACTTCTGTGAGAATCATAAACAATATAAAGTCTTAGTAACAATATAAAGTTCTTACTAAGACTTAAAACATTGAATGTGAACTATTTTCTCATATCAGATATGTGAAACAAACGGACAACATAAAGGTATGTGAAACAAATGGACATCATACCAGGTACGTGAAACAAATGGACAACATACCAGGTATGTGAAACAAATGGACATCATACCAGGTATGTGAAACAAATGGACATCATACCAGGTATGTGAAACAAATGGACAACATACCAGGTATGTGAAACAAATGGACAACATACCAGGTATGTGAAACATACAGACATCTTGTTGTGAATGTGAAACAAGTGGTCTTCATACCAGGTACCTGACAGATATCATACATATGTACCAGGTATGCCATACATACATACAAAACCACCAGAGGGGAATTAGCTAATTACTCAGTCACCAGTATTGTAAGACCTTGAAATGAAACCCAACTCTGCACTTAATGCCCAAAACACCATGCATAAGGTATGACTTTTTAGCTGACAATATTCTCCCATTAAAAATGCAAAAGCTGATCAATATATGTTTAGAAGGTATGAAGTAAGATAAAGGTTTTTCTGAATAGATATGTCGATAGAAACCAACTGGTGTAAGGTAAAATAAGATCAGTCATGACATTTAGAAATATCAATGGATGGCAGATTCTTCTTTCCTTAGCTATAAAATCCCCAGTGAGCTGTAGATATATATTCATAAATAATATTTTTAACCTTCTTGATAATTAATGGCATAGTTTGTCAATTAGCCAGCTGCATTACACTAAGCCTTCCTCAGACTCTATCTTTCTTCTTTTAACTTGAACGATCAACTGTGATTTACGAATTTGCTTTAATCTTCTGATTGCGATCAGAAAAAAGGAAGAGCAGTCAAATTTAAATGTGGATTCCATGTTTCTAATTACATGACCTTCAAACCTTTATACACAACCTTTCAACATATATCTATAACTTGGTAACTGTACAGTTTAAAACTTCAAAGAGTCTCAAGCAAGACATATTAAAAATATAAATAATGAATTCCAATTTTCATCAATCAAGTAAATTGAAACAGAGGTGCATGGCAAAACTTTGCCATTTTCTGAACAGAAAAAAGGAGAAAAAAAAAACTAATACACAGTGAACTGAAAAAAAAGAAGGCTGTCTTTGATATAATCGATTTCTCTTATTGGAGGGCTTTTGCACTCTAAACTTATTTCAGATACATATTGATAATAAAAAAAAATTCTTTCAATGATGTATCATATGCACTTTTTGTATACAGTAAAATACAGTTAATTAAGGTGTCTGAACACACTTATAATGAATTCAAGCTTACAGCAAAGTGATTTTCATTCACATAGTTTTTAAATGAATTATGAACTTAGGATATATCAAATAATGCTTATATAACAAATCAAAATTGCTTTTTCTGGCACTTGACTATATCACGGCCAGGAACACGTTAAGTTCCTAGACAGTACCGTTGTCAGAAACCTTTAAAGTTAAGCACTAAAACTGGTTCGTTGTCATGAACATACAGGTGAGGTTATGATAAAATCCGTCCAGTGTCATGACTTGAGAAGACAGGCTGTGAGAAATTTTTCATTTTTCAAGTTAAAAAATCTATAACAATGTCTGAAATTGCAATGGGAAACGGGGCTGACACCCTATTTGGTGTTGTATGAATTTCAGCCATTAAAAAGAAGTAATAAAAGACGAGTTTGCGTTGGCGATATTAAATCCTGTTGAAATCCCTTGTGGATTTGATTCATTTTCCTTCTGAAATGTTGTATTTTTCATAAATAGACTATAATACACACACCAATTGGTACAGACAGTATCAAGACATGTTGTAAGCCTTTACAGAAAAATTGAGAACAAATTAAAACTGAAAATTTTGATTTATTTCAATTTTTGTCCGTTGTCATAACAAGATAAGAAAATTCAATCCGTTGTCATCGGTCCGTTGTCGCTACTGTACTGTATACACTACGAAGGACGATCTTATGTTGTTTTAGGTATTGTTAAGCATCCCATCAAAAAAAAGGATGTGACGGTACATTGTGTCGTTTTGTACATATTTTCGTCGGCGACAAAATGTACCTACCCTGACTGCGCATATCGTCGTCCATCGGTACTGTGAACATTTGCACATTTTGTCGCCGATATATTGTGTTGAATATTTACTAAGGTCGTGAAGAGATTGAGAGAAAGAGAGAGAGAGAGATTGACATACATACACAGAGAGAGAGAGAGAGAAAGACAGACAGACATAAGGATAGAGAAAGTGTTTGGCTGATAAATAAGTAAGCAAGTTGTTATTATTTTGCATTGCTTGCAATATTGTAAGGAGAAATGGTGTTGCTCAGAAAATTGTGTTCAGCATTGGTTTAAATGACTATGATATGTCAAAATACCGTAATTCTTGAGATATCTGAAAAATCAGTCTATTCTTTTTTTCTCGTTATATATACACATGGAAATGAGATTGAAAGTTATTTGTTCAGTAGAAAAGTTATCTGGAATTCATTTTTTTTTTGCTTAATTCTCATACGAG